GTTTTGTAATAGAAATATCTGATAGACTTGAAGAACGATATATTTCATTTTGGTGTGCCAGTAAAAAGAATGAGTGTACTATTACTAACCCCTCCCATGTTGCTGTTGCTTCTTTTGTTTGACTTTTGTTTTTGGTACTGCTAGAGCAGGACTCCTCACTGAACCAGTCATTTCTGCAGTGGAAATATCCTGCTGATCCTCTTTAGCAGTATGGGCATTTGTCACTGTGGATATTAGAGGTTCTGTTTCTGTTTTACCAACAACTGCGGCATCTTCACTGTCTGCTCGATCGTTGTCACAATCATCATAATTTTGTTTCAGTGCTGCTGGACTCTTATGTGATGACTCCTGGTTTTCATGTTTCCTCTTTCTCACATTTTTCTGTGAAATATCACTTTTTCCATCTTTCTGTGGTAATTGTGATGGCTCTTGAGGGGAAGACCTGGTCAATTTTGATAGTCGCGCATTTCTCAACTCTGCAGCTGACGGTGCTGTAAGAAGATAAAATCATGAGAAGTATTCAACTAATACATTTCTTTAAGTTTTTTTTTCTATTTTAATGAGGCACAAAAAAAATTCTGCTCTAAATAATGGAGCTTATTTAATTAATCATGATCTGAAACTACATGGTTGTTATCACCAGAATAATTCAATATCATCAGACATCCAGATGAAATATATAAAATATAATTTTGTACATATGTATTATCAAAAGGAACTTCTGATTACTACAGATGAAATTATTAAGTTGTCCTACTTCCAGGTGGATTTGGTGTCTTTCTTTTCTTACCTCTCCCTAACTGTTCTTGTCTTTTCCGGGTCATTCCATACCCTATGGCTGCCAGCAAGAGCAAGAAGACCACAAGACCTACTTCACGAAAACCAAATTTCCATGGTGGAGTTTCAACCACTGGCACATGCCTGTCATCATGTACTTGGCCTTTTCTACTTTCAACCACTTTCAGAAGAAGTTCCTTCAATTTCTACAAAATTAAATAGATTTCATAGATAATAAATGATTTTTAAATAACTGATGTAAAGTTATTAAGGACGTATGTTAAAACAGATGTCTGGTAAATACCTCCTATCAGTAGGCATGCAAGACATCAGAATCCCTTAAGCTGAATGCAATTTAGTGAAAAACCTCTCAGAGATGGGTCAATACTGCTAGATCGATCTAGGTACACCGGAAAAGGGTCTAAGACTTGATCCAGATGCCCAGCTGAGTGATTAGACCCCACCCCACAATATTATCCTCCTCTGCACTTGAGCCACTGTTTAAGACTGGGTTCCCATCCCTATATCGATCTAACAGGATCGGTCCATCTCCACGGGGTCCCTCGATAAATTGCTTTCAGCCTAAGCGGATTCGACGTCTGGGATAGCCACTAAAGCGGCTAAACGATAGTTAATTACCCCCTATCAGCCTCAGCAGGTGTGACAGTCATTTAAGCTGCCCAAGTTAATTGCAATTAAGTGAGAATCCCCTCGGAGATAGTTCGATCCAAAGTTAGTACAATACTCTCTGGGAATGGTCTCTAAGAAGCCAGTGTGGGCAGGGTAGTTGCATAAGAGCAGACATGCTGATTGAGTGAGTTCCCACAGTGACCTATACTTTAATTTTGTATACTATTTTAGATGTCCCTGATATCAGAGGGTAATTAAAAGGTTACAAAACAATGTCACTTGATAATTAATTGTAATTTAAATATATAAGAAAAATAGAGGACTTCTCGTACAAAAATCATGAAATACCCTACAGAATATGACAAATGAAAGTTCTGTAGACCTTATCTAATGGGATCCATGTAGTTACATATAGAATCTGCGATTAAGGAGTTACATGGCTGCTTTACCCATGGAATGCATGATGACACTAAAAATTTAGTTAAATGGGACTTAGATGGGATTTGTTAACTATAAGGGTGCTTGGGACCTTATGGTTCATGAGAAGTAATGTTTACATTAACTCTCAAACCTTAACAAACGCCAGTACAGAGCACTATTACATGTATACTTGTAACACTAACAACTGCATACATGTATAAAGTTAACATTTTTAAAACAGAAATGGACATTGTTTATATACATTACCTCCTGTGATAGCCTTTCAGTAACATCCCAGACAGCTTCATCACTTTCCTCCAGGCTAAAGTAGCCATCTCTATTTAGATCATGAACTATTTTTAAGTCACTTATCTCCTAAAAGAGAAAGAAGTGATTAGAACATTTACTTTTACTGGCACTTTCTGGCAATGGTGCAAAAATTAAAATATAAGAAGAGAAAAGAAATGAAAAAATTAGGCAACAAAGTATATTAGGCTATAGTTACTCATAATCATTTACTTAATTCTTTTAGGACCCTCATACATAGATATACCTGCACATCCACATTACTTGGTAACAGTAGTGGGTGATCATCTTTAAAAGTCTGTCAAAATATGCCTATGCATTGGATTTCAATGGGGGTGCTTTCATGTGAAAGGGGATAGATTTGTCTTATTACATGTACAACAAACAATTTCATGTTTCCAAACATTGCTGTGTATTTAGAAATTTTTCATTCTTACCCAAAAATGACACTAAAACAGAGCTCAAATCTGGGACACAGACATACCAGGCCATTTTTCCAGCTTTACATTATGGAAAAGAATGCTCTCACAATAGTATTTTCATGTTTTTTGGTCATCTCAGGGATCATTTACGGCACACACACTAGAGAAAACAAAAATTGCTCTTGGTCGCAAATTTTGATGAGGAAAACAGGTTGTTATGTGTTACTATCGTTTCCGTTTTCAACTTCAGTACAAAGTATTATCTCCCGAAGACATGAACTAAACAAATCATTTCGTTTCGGGATGTCCCACATTTAAGCATTGTTTTAGTGTCATTTTCAGCTAAGAATTAAAAAAGTTTAGAATAGTCATAGCAATTTTTAGAAACACAAAATTATTTTTTTAATAATAAGACAAATCCATCCCCTTACATGAACGCAGCACCATTGTAATCCAACACATAAGAATATTTTGACAGTCTTTCAAAGATGTTGTTACCCAGTATCGTGGACGTGCAGATATATATATATATATATATATATATATATATATATATATATATATATATATATATATATATATATATATGAGAGAGTAGCACCTGTTCTGAGAGTTTTAGCTCCTTAACCAATTCTTCAAATGACACTGTTACATCTTGCTGTTTCTCTGTAGCCTCACTGCAATCAGAAAAAATATGATTCACAGTGTCAAATATTGTACAGAAACCGTAAGAAAAACACCCATAAATAAAAGGTGTCAATGGAGATTTAATCTTCATACACATCAAGATGGATTTTTGCTGAAATTGTAGAAATTCATTGTCTCTGTAGAGATGTCATTACACCATTTTTTCAAAATCAACAGATATTTGCAAGAAAAATTGATTTGAAGTCTATTCTACATGCCAAATACATGTACATATGAAAGATCATATAAACAAACAATGTGCTTACTTCTTACTGAAATACAATCTTTAAAATGGAATGGAGGGTGGGTNCAGTACAATACTCTCTGGGAATGGTCTCTAAGAAGCCAGTGTGGGCAGGGTAGTTGCATAAGAGCAGACATGCTGATTGAGTGAGTTCCCACAGTGACCTATACTTTAATTTTGTATACTATTTTAGATGTCCCTGATATCAGAGGGTAATCAAAAGGTTACAATGTCAATTGATAAATTGTAATTTAAATATATAAGAAAAATAGAGGACTTCTCGTACAAAAATCATGAAATACCCTACAGAATATGACAAATGAAAGTTCTGTAGACCTTATCTAATGGGATCCATGTAGTTACATATAGAATCTGCGATTAAGGAGTTACATGGCTGCTTTACCCATGGAATGCGTGATGACACTAAAAATTTAGTTAAATGGGACTTAAATGGGATTTGTTAAACCATTAGGGTGCTTGGGACTGTACAGTTCATGAGAAGTAATGTTTACATTAACTCTCAAACCTTAACAAACGCCAGTACAGAGCACTATTACATGTATACTTGTAACACTAACAACTGTGCATGTATAAAATTAACATTTTTAAAACAGAAATGGACAATGTTTATATACATTACCTCCTGTGATAGCTTTTGAGTAACATCCCAGACAGCTTCATCACTTTCCTCCAGGCTAAAGTAGCCATCTCTATTTAGATCATGAACTATTTTTAAGTCATTTATCTCCTAAAAGAGAAAGAAATGATTAGAACATTTACTTTTACTGGCACTTTCTGGCAATGGTCCAAAAATTGAAATATAAGAAGAGAATAGAAACGAAAAAATTAGGTAACAAAGTATTAGGCTATATAGTTACACATAATCATTTACTTAATTCTATTAGGACCCTCGTACATAGATATACCTGCACGTCCAAGTAACTGGGTAACAGTAGTGGGTGATCATCTTTAAAAGTCTGTCAAAATATGCCTATGCATTGGATTTCAATGGGGGTGCTTTCATGTGAAAGGGGATAGATTTGTCTTATTACATGTACAACAAACAATTTCATGTTTCCAAACATTGCTGTGTATTTAAAAAATTTTTATTCTTACCCAAAAATGACACTAAAACAGAGCTCAAATCTGGGACACAGACATATCACTCCGTTTTGCAGCTTTACATTATGGAAAAGAAAGCTCTTACAATAGTATTTTCATGTTTTTTGGTCATCTCAGGGATCATTTACGGCACACACACACTAGAGAAAACAAAAATTGCTCTTGGTCGCAAATTTTGATGGAGGAAAACAGATTGTTGTGTGTGTTACTATCATTTCCGTTTTCAACTTCAGTACAAAGTATTATCTCCCGAAGACATGAACTAAACAAATTGTTTCATTTTGGGATGTTCCACATTTAAACATTGTTTTAGTGTCATTTTCAGCTAAGAATTTAAAAAAGTTTAGAATAGTCACAACAATTTTTAGAAACACAAAATTATTTTTTTAATAATAAGACAAATCCATCCTCTTTTACATGAACACAGCACCATTGTAATCCAACACATAAGAATATTTTGACAGTCTTTCAAAAATGTTGTTACCCAGTATCGTGGAAGTGCAGATACTGTATATACATATATGTATGAGAGAATAGCACCTGTTCTGAGAGTTTTAGCTCCTTAACCAATTCTTCAAATGACACTGTTACATCTTGCTGTTTCTCTGTAGCCTCACTGCAATCAGAAAAAATATGATTCACAGTGTCAAATATTGTACAGAAACTGTAAGAAAAACACCCATAAATAAAAGGTGTCAATGGAGATTTAATCTTCATACACATCAAGATGGATTTTTGCTGAAATTGTAGAAATTCATTTTCAAAATCAACAGATATTTGCAAGAAAAATTGATTTGAAGTCTATTCTACATACCAAATACATGTACATATGAAAGATCATATAAACAAACAATGTGCTTACTTCTTACTGAAATACAATCTTTAAAATGGAATGGAGGGTGGGTGGGTGGGGGGGGGGAGGCACATCATGGCCTATTAACATTTTAATTAAAATTAACAGATGTTAACAAAAGGAAGTGTATATCTAATGACACATTGATACATTCCAAATTGTTATGGTCTTTTTTGTAGCAATCATGGGCTAACTAGTGTGACCTTATCATTTTACAAAACCCTCAGTCTGTATACATTGTGCGTCATAAAACTTTAGCAAAAAGGTTCGTTTTAAAACCATGTCGGCCTTGAACGGAGAAAGCACCAGCATATAATGGCAATGATTTATAAAGCGAAAGTTATCCTCCTTTCACATTTACACATTTCATTAAAAAAATTACGTTTAAAATGGTTTTACAGGTCCTTATACTTACCATGAAAAATACACTACCAAGAAAAATGTCATTAAATGCACGAGATTCAGCATGGCTTTAGTATAGCAAGGCATTCCTTAAAATAGCTAATATAACATTTGGCAGGCCGACAGTTCAGGTAAACACAACATCATTCCAGAGCGGAAATCCTAGAACTGGATCTTGGGCGAATAAAATTAGGTCAAGGGAATCCCCCCAAACTAACAAGTAATGTAGAATAACAATAAAACTGTTTAAACCAGATTGTTTTTCTAAAATCACACTCTAAGAAGAGCGTAAAGACCAATTTCTTCTTTTAAATAACCAGAGGTTTTAAACTGTTTGACGTAAACAAGATATTTTTGGGGAATTTTCCACAAATTTCTAAATGACGTGTACCGCTATGGACTGTGGGATACATTAAAGACCCAGTTATGTTGCGCACGCGTAAGCATTCTGTAGGCAACATGGCGTCGAAACGAGGCGGCTTAGAGGGTTTGGATTTGAGTTCTGATGAAATCAAACGTTTAACAAATGCCCTGAAAAATGAAGAGTTTCAAAAGCTATTTGCAGAATATGCAGAGGAAATATCTGACCCGGAAAACCGCAAACGGTATGAAGAGGAGATCGCGCAACTGGAGTCGGAAAGAGGCATGGACATCACGTTTGTAAACCCAGACCCTGGATACGTAATAAAAACAACCGTTAATGGTGAGCAAAAGGCCTTCATAAATATCTGTAAGAACGAGCACATTGATAAGCCACAAATGACGAAAGAGTTGGGGCCTAATGGAAAGACGAGAGTGGGTTGGCAGATTCCACATAGTTTCTCTCCACCGCGCGATGACTTGGACAAGGGAGGACAGAAATGCAAAGTTTACGATGTCGTTTTCAACCCTGACGCCTACAGAATGGCAGAGTCTAATGCACGGTTCAAGAAGATGATCCAAGACACTGCATTCGATGGCATTGAAAGGCAGTTTGATGTGAAACTGGATCGAAAGAATTTGAAATTTCCGAAGATGAAATTTAAAGGCGTTCCCGTGGCGACTGTGATTCGAAAACGAAAGGATGAAGGGCCTAATGAGCAAGACAAACCAGCGACAAATGTTGAAGGTGATGCAGATGATGATGATGACCCATTGAGTAAATTACCATACCCATATGATAACAAAACAACAGAAGAAAAGAGGATAGCCAGAGAAGAAGAACTGGCAAAACAAAATGCTAAAAAGGCCGAAACTGAAGCAAAGACCAAAGTTACAGCAACATCAACTAAAGATCCAGATGCTGCAGAAATTCCTGTATACCACATCATCCATCGCTCAGACATGGACTTGGGAGACTATCGTAATGCTCCAGATGCTAAGACCAGCACACGACCCAAGGAATTGGCAGTTGTAGTAACACTACCTCTTTTGAAATCGGCAGCCAATATTGATTTAGAGATATTTGAGAAAAGGCTGCTTTTAGAATCGGAGACTCCAGCTAAGTATAAGCTGGACCTAAAACTGCCTTATCCGGTGGATGAAACCAAAGGATCAGCCAAATTTGATAAGAGCAAGCGCCAGCTTATTATCACTCTACCTGTTTTGCCAGCTGAGACACCAAAACTGCCTTCATTTATTGATGATAAAGAAGAAAACCCGCCTCTGCAGAATGGAACTTTGTCCAATAGTGCTGTAGATGGCAAACCACTGGTTGAAGTGATATCGTCTTTAGAAAATGAAAATCCATCAGCCACTGCCACTGCCCCAGTGAGCTCAACAAATCACTCAGTGAAACTACAAATTCCATACAGCCTTCCTGAGTATGACATATTCCAAGATGAAACCAATGTCTCCGTCATTTTAAATGTGAGGAGAGTTGACAAGGCCAGCTGTAATGCCACTTTCACTCAGGCAGGATGCTTGCTTCAGATGACATCATTAGGAAGTGGAGGATTCCCGAACCACTACAGTATTTGCCTCAGTTTTCCCGATAAACACTGCCTGGCCAAGGACATGTGCACTGTTGATATTGGAGAGACCAATGTTGTCGTCCTCTTGAAGAAAAATGAAGATTGTCAAAGTCAGTGGGAAAGCTATTCAGTTGGCCTAAATGAAGACCATTTAGAGGTAGGTTTATAATTTTCGTTTTAACTGAAACTGGTATTTTTTTCCTACCCTATTTTATTTCTGTGAATTCTGTCGTGTTAGTGAATGGGAAAAAAGGAGTTGCCATCTGTAACATGTTAATATTATACAAAGGTAAGCTCAGGTTAAAGCAATAATAACTCTTCGTTTCGGCCAAAAAATGAATTTTCCTGGAGTAAACAACAATTTTCCCATACTTACCAATGGTTAATGAATCCATTTTTACATTCAAAGTTAGTCCCTGGTTTTTTTCTAAAAAGTTTGGTTTTTTGTTAAAATCTCTTAAGAGATTTTAACAGAGTACAGACATCAATGGAGGTCACGTGGTCTAAAGACAAGTTCAAATATCAGAATAAAAGCTATAACTGCTGTTTTTGTGGTAAAACAGAATATATTATATTTCTATGAGTTATTCACAAGGTTTTTTATTGTGAAATATAGGTCTCATACAAAGAGTTATTATGCCTTTAAATATAATCAGTAACAAGTTTGTTTGCAACCAGGAGCAACAGTATTTTTAGGAAGTTTCTTGATATTTCTTCTGGAGGTTTATAGGTTTTTAATTAAGAAGTAGGATTATTTACACTTTTGAAAATAACCTCATTTCAGGGGATTTTTCTGACCCAATTATTCTATTATTCATGGGATTCCCCACATTATGAAGGCGTGCATGATTGGGATTTGTTTATTTATGAACCTGTAATATCCCCAATTGATAGTTTATATTGTAGATGTTTGATGGAATGAGAGAAGTTGTAACAGTGAATACAGGCCAGCATTACTAGTACCTTAATATTATAAGATAAGAAACATGACACGGTAATCCAAACTTGTCATCATGTTAATCTGAACTTAACCTACAGGTGATAGTTCATGTAACACATATTGTCTGAGGTGGCCACAATGTTATTTGTCAGTTGTCCACTGACAAGATTTGTGGGAATGGTATGAAAACATCAGAGTAGTCATCACAATGTTTCAACATTAGTTTGATAGGAATATTGCATCACTGGCATGATTATTTTATGAATAATCAATTGCAAAATGATATGGGCGAAATGTGTGCACAGATGCAGTGAGGTCAGTGCAGAGTGACATTGCAGTAGGTGTGACAGCTGATTGTGAAGATGACGCACCTTGGAGGATTTATTGCATAGTACGAGGCACATCCTGGTTTAGTGCTTGTGAGATCTGATCAGCAAAACTAGGTGAGATTTGCAAAAAAGNGTGTTTTTCAAAAATCACGCTCTAAGAAGAGCGTAACGACCAATTTCTTCTTTTAAATAACCAGTGGCTTTAAACTGTTTGACGTAAACAAGATGTTTTGGGGGAATTTTCCACAAATTTCTAAATGACGTGTACCGCTATGGACTGTGGGATACATTAAAGACCCAGTTATGTTGCGCACGCGTAAGCATTCTGTAGGCAACATGGCGTCGAAACGAGGCGGCTTAGAGGGTTTGGATTTGAGTTCTGATGAAATCAAACGTTTAACAAATGCCCTGAAAAATGAAGAGTTTCGAAAGCTATTTGCAGAATATGCAGAGGAAATATCTGACCCGGAAAACCGCAAACGGTATGAAGAGGAGATCGCGCAACTGGAGTCGGAAAGAGGCATGGACATCACGTTTGTAAACCCAGACCCTGGATACGTAATAAAAACAACCGTTAATGGTGAGCAAAAGGCCTTCATAAATATCTGTAAGAACGAGCACATTGACAAGCCACAAATGACGAAAGAGCTAGGGCCTAATGGAAAGACGAGAGTGGGTTGGCAGATTCCACATAGTTTCTCTCCACCGCGCGATGACTTGGACAAGGGAGGACAGAAATGCAAAGTTTACGATGTCGTTTTCAACCCTGACGCCTACAGAATGGCAGAGTCTAATGCGCGATTCAAGAAGATGATCCAAGACACTGCATTCGATGGCATTGAAAGGCAGTTTGATGTGAAACTGGATCGAAAGAATTTGAAATTTCCGAAGATGAAATTTAAAGGCGTTCCCGTGGCGACTGTGATTCGAAAACGAAAGGATGAAGGGCCTAATGAGCAAGACAAACCAGCGACAAAAGTTGAAGGTGATGCTGCTGATGATGATGACCCATTGAGTAAATTACCATACCCATATGATAACAAAACAACAGAAGAAAAGAGGATAGCCAGAGAAGAAGAACTGGCAAAACAAAATGCTAAAAAGGCCGAAACTGAAGCAAAGACCAAAGTTACAGCAACATCAACTAAAGATCCAGATGCTGCAGAAATTCCTGTATACCACATCATCCATCGCTCAGACATGGACTTGGGAGACTATCGTAATGCTCCAGATGCTAAGACCAGCACACGACCCAAGGAATTGGCAGTTGTAGTAACACTACCTCTTTTGAAATCGGCAGCCAATATTGATTTAGAGATATTTGACAAAAGGCTGCTTTTAGAATCGGAGACTCCAGCTAAGTATAAGCTGGACCTAAACCTGCCTTATCCGGTGGATGAAAACAAAGGATCAGCCAAATTTGATAAGAGCAAGCGCCAGCTTATTATCACTCTACCTGTTTTACCAGCTGAGACACCAAAACTGCCTTCATTTATTGATGATAAAGAAGAAAACCCGCCTCTGCAGAATGGAACTTTGTCCAATAGTGCTGTAGATGGCAAACCACTGGTTGAAGTGATATCGTCTTTAGAAAATGAAAATCCATCAGCCACTGCCACTGCCCCAGTGAGCTCAACAAATCACTCCGTGAAACTACAAATTCCATACAGCCTTCCTGAGTTTGACATATTCCAAGATGAAACCAATGTCTCCATCATTCTAAATGTGCGGAGAGTTGACAAGGCCAGCTGTAATGCCACTTTCACTCAGGCAGGATGCTCGCTACAGATGACATCATTAGGAAGCGGAGGATTCCCGAACCACTACAGTATTTGCCTCAGTTTTCCCGATAAACACTGCCTGGCCAAGGACATGTGCACTGTTGATATTGGAGAGAGCAATGTTGTAGTCCTCTTGAAGAAAAATGAAGATTGTCAAAGTCAGTGGGAAAGCTATTCAGTTGGCCTTAATGAAGACCATTTAGAGGTAGGTTTATATTACTGTAAAAGTGTATATGAAAGGATTTTAAAAGATTTTCGTTTTAACTGAAACTGGTATTTTTTTCCTACCCTATTTTATTTCTGTGGATTCTGTCGTGTTAGTGAATGGGAAAAAAGGAGTTGCCATCTGTAACATGTTAATATTATACAAAGGTAAGCTCAGGTTAAATAAAATCAGTAACAAGTTTGTTTGCAACCAGGAGCAACAGTATTTTTAGGAAGTTTCTTGATATTTCTTCTGGAGGTTTATAGGTTTTTAATTAAGAAGTAGGATTATTTACACTTTTGAAAATAACCTCATTTCAGGGGATTTTTCTGACCCAATTATTCGATTATTCATGGGATTCCCCACATTATGAAGGCGTGCATAATTGGGATTGGTTTATGAACCTGTAATATCCCCAATTGATAGTTTATATTGTAGATGTTTGATGCAATGAGAGAAGTTGTAACAGTGAGTACAGGCCAGCATTACCTTAATATTATAAGATAAGAAACATGACATGGTAATCCAAACTTGTCATCATGTTAATCTGAACTTAACCTACAGGTAGTAGTTCATGTAACACATGTTGTCTGAGGTGGCCACAATGTTATTTGTCAGTTGTCCACTGACAAGATTTGTGGGAATGGTATGAAAACATCAGAGTTGTCATCAGAATGTATCGACATTATTTAGATAGGAATATTGCATCACTGGCATGATTATTTTATGAATTGCAAAATGATATGGGCGAAATGTGTGCACAGATGCAGTGAGGTCAGTAAAAAGTGACATTGCAGTAGGTGTGACAGCTGATTGTGAAGATGACGCACCTTGGAGGATTTATTGCATAGTACGAGGCACATCCTGGTTTAGTGCTTGTGAGATCTGATCAGCAAAACTAGGTGAGATTTGCAAAATAGGTTAAGATTCATTTTTAAATATTGGTAAATTGCTTCACTTGAAAGAGTTTGTTAAGCATTAAATTGTGAAAAGAGCTATTTTATTGATGAGAGAGAAATATAGCATTTTAAAGACAAATATTTCAGCTGTTAGAATATATGTCCCTAAATTTTTGTCGCTTGCACTTCTTGATATTTTTCTCAAAATTTTATTGAGTCAGAGTGTGCTGGAATTGGAAGGAAAGCGATTATGTTAATAAAAAGAAAACTACTACCGTTTGAAAAGACAGGACTGTTGGATGTCAGGGATTCATTTGAACTGATAACCTAGGCAATATTTTAACAATGCCTGGACTTGTTTTAATTAAAGCTTGTTCCAATCAGTAGCAGAAACACATTGCTATTCAGCAGTGTGCGACATGTAAAGGTGAAAGATAATGAAAAAGCCCTGAGAGATTCCAACCCACATTGTAGTCGGAAATTGAAAACCATTTTCACCTTAACCTATAACTTTCAGAAACCTAGACCTTTTAAACCCAGATTTGTAGACAGAAATAATGGAAAATCATATTCTCCTTAACCTATGTGTTTTATACTAGGAAAACGGTGAATGTGAACAGCTTAAGTAGGTGTGCTAAAGGCTGATTGCATAGACTATAAGGATATAGTATATATGGGGCATGCAAGATATAATAAAGGTAGCAGGTTTATTGCTTGTTTGTCAGCCAGGTGTGTTAATGGATTTTCGAAACGTTAAAACATCTCATTTAAAAGTGCATTAATGGTAGTGCATGGGAATTTGTTGTTTTTTTTTCACTACCTTTATCCATATATAATTATCAAAGGTTGCAGAACATTTTTTATCCGACTGAATTTTAACTTACACACAGAATACATGTAAATAACAGAAAATCTGTATTTGACATCTGTAAATAACTCTGTTCCAAATGATTTCTTTTATTCAATAAGCACTGTCCCAACATTTTTTGGGCATCTGACCTTTGATGTTATGAGTACTATGGTCAGTAATAATGAAAGGTTGGGGGGAGGGGGGGGGGTAGTGATAGAAATGGGAAATTAGAAGTCAACTCCAGTGTTGTTGAAATAGTATGAGGTGGCAAGACATTGTCTTTCATTTCCCTGCTGATGGCTAAAATTGATTATAGGATCCACATATTTTGTATCCATTTGCTGTGTTGGAAAAAAGTAAATACTGCCTATAGATCTTTGCATCCGCATGCTATCGAGTTTAACAGTTTGACAACTCAATTTACATGACAAATCCATATGATTTTAAGATATATCTTTAGATTAGTCCTGTGAGAAAAAAAAATGAGTTTTATCTTTGCTGAAAATGACTGTCATTTTAAAGTATGTCTAGATCTTTTAGAGAAGATGGAGATGCACAGTTCATGACAGTTTTGATTATGTGATGGAAAGCCGAGCTGAAATCTGGGTCGGGATTGGCTTTGTGTGAAATAGATATGGTGACACTGCTGATTTGAAAAGCTCTGCTTCACGTAACATTTGATAACTGATGTATTGTTGCTCATGATGCAAATGTTTGAAAGCCATTTGTTTAGATCTTTTTTTCTTTGGTGAAATACTGAGGTGTGGCATTTAAACCATGTTTTTTTTATTCTAGCGATTGCATTGTCTTTGCGTTCTTATGATATTTTCAAAATACTGCAATTCCCTTGAGACTGATAATGAATAGAAAACGATTATCTGAGCTTTATTGAATTGATCAAGGGGATCTTATTGATATGTTTGTGGTTAAGATGATAGAGTATAAAATCTATTAGGGTCAGATGCTCAGTTTCCATTTTAAAACCTGCTGCACTTGCAATCCATCCCCTTAACACTAATTATCAGTCCCAAAATTGCTCTAATCAGGAATAAAAAAAACATGCCAAATAGGATAAATGACCCGCAATTAAGTTATTACGTCAGTTGATTACTATTGTGTGGATTGTTACGTGTTTAAGTCCGTAAGTCATCAAATACTAATTGTTGCACAACAAAACAAGCAACAGGTTTAAATCCAGTCTTTTCCCTCTCCATTATAAATCATTGTTGTCGTCCAGGGGTTTCGGGTTGTACCTTAGGCCATGCCAGCTCATGTAGTTATACATCAACAGCATTCAGCATCATCACAAGCGTATATGAATAGATTTAAATAACAATTGCTGCAAGGCGACGTGACAGCTATCTGGTCACAAATACATGCCACACCAGTGATTTTCTAAAGCCTAACCTAGAGTGTTTCATGCAGAAAGGCTTGTGTGGTAGAGTCTCTGCAGAGAAAATGGGAAGATTGACATGCAACTGCTTGTTGTAGCGTATGATACCAGGAATAGTAAGAGATAGCTATAGTAGAAACGCTGAGTGTTAATTCTAGCAAAGCTTATTGTGAGTTACTTTGGGGAAAATATAATTGATCTCTGCATCAAGTGGTATAGACATCATCACATAAATCGAGGCTGTGGGTTTGAATCCGGGGAGTTGATGTTTGAATGGCCTGGGAGAAGATGGAAAGAGGTGGAGAAAACACGAGGCTGGGCGGTCTTCCCCTTAGTTTACCTGTAGTTCTCGAAGTGTGTGGATACTTGGCCAGTGCATTGGTGACAATATGGACCCAGTATGTGACACTGGGTCTGGTGACATTGCTGTGGGTGGTGACACATATTACCCAGGGTCTCATAGCTCTACTCTGTGGGGCAGTGGCAGTGGTTCATGTCATTGTGGTAAGTAGGGAATTGAAATTGAAGAGAGCTGCAAGACATGAAAATTGAAAAGATATAACCTAGAAGCCTAGGATATAAAGCTATTCTTTGGAAAGAAACCTAATAAATGGTTGAGAGAGAGAGAGAGAGAGAGAGAGGAAGGGGATTCTGTCTTTTCTTTTAAAAACACCATTGAAATTAAAAGATGGAAGCTTAGATTTTTTTTATATGCTGTGATCATTCTGGAGCAGCAGATTTCCAATATTTCTTTTTTCCCCCAAGATGTTGCTAATGTTTCCCCAGTGCTAATGATGATATGAAAATCCTCATGAGAGATGATGTGCAATATAGGTTGTGGATTCAACTTTGCAATTTAGTTTGTGCAGAAAACAATCTACCATCACATTGCTTTATGACAGAATTGATGTGCAAAGCACTTTTCTCATTAAGAAAGGGATTTGAGTGGTTTGTATGATGTGCTAATGGTCATCTCAATTCATTGGATTGGTATTTTATTAGAAGCTTTGTATTGAATCTTTTTAACTTTCCAATTTTGGTGTTTCAGTTACATACTCATAATCCATCTTTCTCTCTCTTTTCTCTCTCTCTCACACACACACACACGCACGTGCACACACGCACAGCCTACACACATTCTGATCTAGTATTCCTATCTCCCATTAAACAATATTTACTTAATGCCAATCAAGGATTTACATCAGTCATTGAAATCACCTATGTGATCTGTGTAATGTTCATGGTATAATGGCCGTTTATCTGAGAGAGATACTGCTAAAATGTTGATTTACTGCTGCATCAGAGTGAAAGATTAGAACATAATATCCGTATGCAGCAATAAAGAGAGATATTTTTTAGATTCATACTGTATGGGATTGGGCAGGGAGCACAAGGATTGTATGAGGAATTTCCTTGTGCTTGCATATTACTGGACTTTTATTGTGAAAAATTGCTCTTTCATGTGGTTTTCAAAAGTGTTTGTTGTCATAACTGTTTATCTTTTTTAAGTTGTTAAAGAGTGAATTCAGGAGTGAAATTTTGAACTGGTGTTTTATCATTTGAATTGAGAAGCTTTAAGCTTGATTGAAAGAGAAAATAAAACAGAAATCTCATGAACATTCCTTTCAGCCAATCCCTGTGTGGTTTTGGTAAAGACCTTTGGCATAGCACACATAATCAATTACAGTAATTACTCAATCTTTTCAATGGACAAAAATGATCAAACTAGACTTAATTTTATAATCAAAAAATAATATAAATTTCTATGTAGCATTTGTGGTGCTTTTACTGCATAGAGCAGAACCATAGAGCAGTCTGCTTTTTAATTTTGTTGCCAAAAATTATGACTAAAAAAAAATACAGTTTCTGTAAAAATCGCAATTTTCCCCCTTAGAAAGGATTGAGTAATTGCTGTAATATAGAAATACATTAATTTAAGTATGTGTGCATTTCCTAGACTAAACCCCCCTTTTTTCGTCACATTTCTAGGAGAGGCTTTTTGTAACAGAGAATACCTTGGAGAAGGAGTTAACAGGCATGAAGGAACAAAATGGTCAGGCCACAGCTCAGCAGGTCATGCCAGAAGTAGAAGTCACTGAAATGAATGACCAGAAGGTGACACTGTTGGTGAAGGTAAACAAAATTTGTTATTCAGTTTAATTTTCCTTTTACACAAGTAAGCATCCTCAAATGTAAGTAATATAATATGACACTCGGAAACCAGTCCTTAAATGATGATTATGCTGAGATGCACATTGTAACTTGATGCAAGCATTATGAAACTTTCTGAAATGACATGCAATGTCATGTGTTTATTATGTTGTAACTGTAGTCCAGAGAAGAATATAGATGCATTCCACATGTTGCATTTCCTTTTAAAATCCACTTCATGCTTTTATGAAATAAATATTTCATTTTGGCACATATTCATATTAATTATTGATTTTGGATCCCTAGGTTTTTGCCAGAATGACCAGTGTATTTTTATACATTTGTTAATGCAATAAATGAAAGGTAAAACATTATGATTCTGTGTTTGTAATACACGTATTTTTAATATTGAGTTTTCTTTTTTTACCATGCAGGGAAACAATGGTCCTGTAAACCCTGGTGCCTTCAGCCGCCAGACCCCTGATGTAGAATTGGAAGACCCCAGTGGGAATACAGCCGAAAACATAGAGGTGGTATTCGACAAAGAAGTCCCAAAACTTCACAGCATCCTAAAACAGAGAAGCACTTCCGAGTCTGGCTCGGAGAAACAGCGGCACGCATCTGGGGACTCTTCAGGAGGCCGAGCAAGGAGTACTTCAGAGTCAAGTGTAGGGAAACAGCGTACAATCTCCGAGTCCAGCACCGATGATCTCAGTGCTAGCCTGAGTGCCAGTCACAATAGTTACAACAGCGAAAGCTTGCAGTCCAATTCCAATTCTGATTCGGGGGAAGAAGGGGATCACCCCAGACTCAAGAAATCTGTCTCTTTCAGCGAAGATGTGGACAGTGTGCACTACAAGTCTGGAGCAGCAATTTCAGCATTCCACAACACTTTGAAGAACAAGAAGCGACGGGCTCGTAAGAGAGAACAGAAACAGGAGAACAGGAGAAGTCGCAGGAGGCACAACAGCAGTACCTCAGAATACAGTAGCAGCAGTGACAAAGAGGAGGGTGAATTACAGGGGCATAGTGAAAAGGATAAACAAGCAGAGAGCAACCTTAAAAAACAAACCACTTTTGAGGAGGTCTTTGATCATAGGGGTCAAGATGAAGGTCAGGTTGAAGGTCACGTAGATGCTGCAATTACAGAAATGATGCAAGAACAGCAAAACTCCAGTAACAGGGATGCTACAATACCAAATGCAATTGAAAATGATGAATTAATGACTAAACAGCAAACCATCACAGGAAATGGGAAACTAGAGACCAGTAACGAATGCGATGAAAAGAGTAGCAAAAGTGCCAGTGATAAAATGGATAAGTTGAGGGTTAAGCACAGTCAGGGAGATGACAGTGATGACAATGAAGATACTCAGGAAACCTCGGAGGAAGTTGTAAAACCAAAGGATCCGGATGATAAAGTGGAAACTGTGTTAAGTTGGGAAGAACCCAGAAAAGGTCCCAACATAGAAAACACTAAGTGTGCCTTTGATTTTGCCAATTCTCTGATGTATGATTTGGATGACTGACATCGCAGTTAATTCACATACAGCATGCTCACCATGTTGCATTATATTTTGATGATATTTAGATCATTGAAATGTGGTGAGCTTTCCGTTAAGTAAAGGGAGAAATATAACATGGAGCAGGTGAATAAAACTATTTCCTTAACAAATCTACAAAATACTGCAGCCAGCCTTAATTTTTCATTGGATTTGTGAAAGCTTGCAGAAAGACCCCATTGATACAAAAAATGATTATTTTCTTACTGACTACCAAGTTAATGTACAATTTCAACTTTAAGTCGGTTGTATTGTAAGTAATACATGTAGGTTTCCAATATAATATCCAAGAAGCAGGTTAGCATTTATAAAGATCAGTATGTTTGCTGTGTATATGATACCAGTGTAAACAGTTTAATGATTCTGTTTAAAATCTCAGCATGAAGGTCATTCTCAGAAACTGGACCATTGTAAACTGTTAATTTTGGCCAGTTTTATAAGCTCTCCAGAGAGTTGTTATCAGCACTGCCACTCAATACACTGCTATATTTTTCCAAGAAATCATCAGGAGGGAGGTGGAATCATGTGGATGTTTTGAACAGTTATCAAAAGCCTGCCTTTTTGATTTAGATACTGAGAAGTGTTTCTGAGGTCTTGTTTTTTTGTTTTTTTTTTGAAAAGGCAGCTAATTGTGAAAAGGAATCTTTCAGGAGGAGTCTTTCATAGGGGGAAGAGGATGGAATTTAGCTTTCTTCACTCTGGGATTAACTTAAGCCAAAAAAGATCTTTGACATCTTAACATGTCTAGATGACATCACTGAACTTTTATTTTTGAACTAAGAAAGTCTTGGTGTGAATTATGCTTAATTCTCTATTTGAGTATTTTAATCTCTCGAGCTGCTCAGCAGACACAACAGACACAGATATTGTGCATAATTGAATTGAAATTGTGGCTGTGAATAATGGGGTTTTTATGGATTGCTAATGGGTCTAGCTTGACAGTTTATAATACATTTAGCTTTTTCCTTAGTCTCTTATTTCGTCTTTCTTAATTTGTGTTACTTTACCTGCCAGAGACTGTTAGTCTCCTTTCTCTCAAGGTTCAGGGCCAATCAGAATTCTGCAACATGGTCTATTCTTTGGCACTCAGGCTCCTGTAATTAGGCATTCTAAGGAAGCAAAATTCCATTGTCTGATCTTCAGTTTGAATCTTTTTTTTCCTGCAGACAAAGTCAACAGAAAGTCCATGTCTTGGGCTGGTTTCACTGAAGAACTAAAGTGGAGAGTTGATCTTGACCAAAGAATTTTGTCCATTTTGATTCAAGAATATCACAACTCATCCACTTCAATGAGAATGTTAGACCTGCTTCAATGAAACTTCAAACAAACTTTATTTTCTCATGAAGCTTGGTTAATTTTTTTCTTTCAATTCAGTTCTTATTAGTAGATGGGATCTATTTTACTTTTTTGTTTTTAGAAAACAGATGATGAGATTCAAGTATCAAATGTAAATGAGGTTATTCCAGAGCAGTTGAAAGAGAACTTGTTTAAGATGACCTTAATGATGTACCATGTAATCTCCCATGTCCATTCTGTTCCTTGACATTCATTGGTATAACCATTAGTTTAAATGGCTCCTCTGAGTTCATAAGTGGCTTTTATTTGGAATTCTTATTATTGTTTTGTTTTGTTAGGTATACAAAGATATATATTTTTTGGCATGGTAAGTTTTTGTTTGTTTTCAAGAAATGAAAAGAGTGCCGTTTTCAATTTAAGGCAGCACATGTCAATTGAAATTTAAATTTCTTTTTGCAGATGTTCCAGTTATATTCGGAACAATTTACATTTGTTGCAGTTTGATGTGTGGTGATAATGCAAGCATTTAAAGCGCATAGTTTTGTAAAAATGGAATGGGAAGAGAAATTAATAAAGAATTGTCTCAAACAATGTTATTTGATTTCATTTGAAAGGCACAATTAATTTTCTGCTTTTTACAACTCTACAACATACAAGACTGAAAATAATGGATTCCTTTTAGGCTTTGTTCACATGGAATGTCTATTTTCTAAAAATCTATTTTCTATTCGCGCTATCTTATGATCACGGTCTGTGCCCTGAATATCCCGCCGCGTAATTACTGGCAGCGCGAGCCAGTTACTTGTAGTAACTTATAGTAACTGGCTCGTGCTGCCAGTAATTACGCCGCGGGATATTCAGGGCACAGACCGTGATCATAAGACATACCGCAAATAGAAAATAGAATTTAGAAAATAGACATTGCATGTGAATGAAGCCTTAGAATGGGAGAGGGAGTTGATTTATGTGCAGTAAGTGAGGTTAAGCCATCTGGATGAGAACCACCAGCAGAGTTACACATATAAGTGGATTTATTTACCACTCCAAGATCTTTAATGCAAAAGGAAAATGATAAAACTTATATCCCAAGTTGAAAAACTGAGGTGGGAAGAGTGTGTGTCCATGTATTAATAAAACTGGTGTTAGGGGATATTATCTCATATAAGAAACAAGTGTCTTGAGCATATTTAGTGCTATTTAGTTTCCAACATTTAACTCTACAGGTTAACTCAAGCTGCAACCAGAAAAAGGCCATTTTTGCCATTAACCTCCATTTTAGTCTTAAAGATGGTTTCAGAAAAAAAGTGCAAAAATCATAAAAATTGACATTTTGTGCTATCATAATAATACAACTAAACCAGTATTTTGGAAAATCCAGACAAGAAAAAGAAATGTGTACAACTCCTTCTCCTACATGCCTATTCTTCACTGTGCCATAAAGAGGAAATTAGGTGAAAATTATATGTTCAGGTTTTCAATGGATAATATTATTTAAAGTTATTAAAAGCTTTTCAACAAAATTGCTGGTTAAGACTTTTTCTAGGTTTAATGATCAACCTATGTCAGGACATTCCCCCCTACCAAGGAGGGGGGGGGGATAATAAGATATTTGGAGGTTTTTATATCATGTCATGATTAAACAGATAATTGTGTCAATTTAAAAACCTTCCTGCATATCCCATAATATATTTAGGAAGTGGTTATCAACAGTATCAAAGGAAATATTTTTTCTCACAGTTAGTACTTTTATATATTCTATGTATTTAGATTTTTTCATAACTCGGATAATTTAGTTCTGACAAAAAGTATGGTAGTACAATGATGGAACACTTCTGATTTGAAATTTTAGCTCTGATTACAAGTCTATGACTTTAATATCATGAGCATTTTAAAAGGTGAAATGATAATGAGCAAACTACATATATATCTACCAGTATATATATAGTTTATTTAAACCACTGTTCAATTGCATATATCATAACCATTACCAAAAAGGCAAGTCTATCTATAAAAATCTGTAAAAAGCACAGTAACCAAGAATGGTGTAAATGACCACAAAACTGGTCCTTATCCAATAGCTCCATAAACACCTAAAGAAACACCTTTGCCTATGCTCAAAAAAGATTATATGACATAAAGATATTTAACAGTTTATGGGAATATATGAACAGATCTAGAAATGGAAGACTAAGAGATGCATAGTTCACTTGGCCTGTATATATTGGCATGTCCACCTTTGCTTTTAAGCACCCAAAATCACATCACCTTCAAATACAGCTCTCCTCTAAAAGGTAAAATCCCTTAATTAGGTCCCTGCATCATAACTAACCCACATCATTACCCCCCCCCCCCCCCCCCCCCCCCACACACACACACACACAGTGTCACACTGTTACTACCTGCACCATAAGGATGTGAGAAAAAATGGTGTAGCGGAGAAACGATGAAGAAAAGTAAAGTGAGAGAGCACTGATTTGGAGTATATCAATAATATATATCGGGTAATATCATTCACTTAATAGGGGTGAGTAAGGATGCAAGTCAGTAAGGATGCAGTAGGATAACAATGTTAGGACCTAAAGAGATGATCCCACCTAAAAGCCCAATAATGCTTTCTTTGAAAATACATTTTTTACATACACATAATTAAGCTATGCAAATAAAAATCTATCTCTCAAAAAAAAAAAAAAAATGCAGTTCTATGCATTTACTCTATTTAAAACAAGCAAACATATAACAATCTTCCACTGGCAGCTGAAATACGCTTAAAAGATAATGTGACCAATATTGTAACAGACAATAAGTAAAAGTTCAGAATATGGGGGAGGGGGTTGCACAAACTACATCAAAGCAGTATTTATTTTAAAATATTTGGGCTAAAATAATTCCTTTTCAGGCTTTCTAGCCCCATAATGAGTTTCAGAGTTCGCTGAAAACTAACCGATGTATCAGCAATGCCATTAGCTTCCAGTTTATTTTGAAACCCAGGGCGATTTATCATAGATATATGACATATATTTAACAAAATACTGAAGGGGTATAAGACTGTCTAGACTGTGAAGTGTATTCATATACAGTTAATATCAATATTAATCTACACTTCACAATATAAATGCAACCCCATGAAATGTAAGCATAAGTCCATTGTCATATTCATGATTAACCTATATGGGGACATCACTGGAATTTCAGACTCTTCCAACTTTTGTAGCCATGCAAATTTTCAAATTGAAAACCATAGGCCTGGTTCTAAAACCCTGTTGGCTCTAATTAATTGAGTGGTAACACATAACTGCAGCAGATAGCTTAAAAGCAATCTGAAGATTTGTAAGTTAAGCACTTTCGATAATACATTTGAATCTCTTCCACCCTGTCTTGCTCTTGAGTAAAATTATGGGCTGTGCACTCCCAAAGAGACTAACATTAGTGTAAAACCACTTCTTTTTCCAATACACCTAAAATGTTCTAATTCAAAGAAATTGTGACTTTAAAAAATACAGTATCTGTAAATTTCACTATTTCCCCCCCATTGAAAAGATCGAGCAATTATCTTAGTTTTGGGAAAAAAAATCATTTTCAGGCTTTTTAACAGTGTTTAAGGTATAATATAACATACATGTACCTTTTGGTGATGTACCAAGAAATGCAATTTTCTGGGAGTTTTTTTCAAACGTTTTCAAATCCCCAGTATAACAACATAAAACTAATATTTCCTTTTCCATATATCTATCATATTAGCTGTCAAATTTGGAAGTCATCTCCAATGACATTTATGAAAAAATAAAAACCTATCTGAGTTTTCCTTAACAAAAAGGCAGTTTTGCATTCATAAGATACAGTAGAAATAAGTGTTGATGATTTATGAATTTTTTTCCCAATTTAGCGCTTAGACCTTTGTCCTTCCGGTAGTTTTGAGATTAAGATTCCCCTCACAGTGACCTTAAGAGTTGACCTCCCTCCTCAATGACCTTGAAGTTGACCTCCCTCCTCCTCAATGGCCTTGGAGTTGACCTTTCTTCTTGAGTGTGCTGGTGCTGCTCTGTTTGTCCAGACTGCGTGTAGAGGTTGGTACCTGGTTCCTGGCATTAATGTAACTGGCCAGTAGTAAGGTTAACTCAAGGATCTAAAAAAAATTGAAAAAATAAATTTCTGATGACAGCTTATTCCTTTCATTTTCTGTTCTTATCTGGGCTTGTTATAGTTTTTTTAAGAGAAGAAAAACGAGATGAGAAGTTTTCTTGTTGAGAAAAATATCTATTATCAGAGAACTACTAAAGCTATTCACCTGTGACAATCAATAAATAACCCTTCGTTATATAATATACTGCTCCATCAAATGTGAATTTCACCAAGGTACATAATATATTTGCAATCCATTTCACTGTGTAACTGTTACATCATAAATCCCAATGTTCAAATCTCACCCTTAGCTTAGGCATATGGAACTGAATTTTGCAAGTCCTCTTTCTTCTATGCTCTGTTCTTGAAGAAGTATCTTGTTTTCTATTGACAACCAACATGAAGTCGTCCCTGCAGCCTCCAAATGTCACAACGGCCTTGTAGCTGTATGATGTCACATATTGCTGCAATAAAATATATATTATAAAAGTTTTCACAGCTAAGCAAAAAATAACTGAATCTGTCTACACATCTCCATCATGGTGTTTTTGGTATTTCCAAAAGATAGTCGCAACACCAACACGGCCATCACTCTATCCCTAATTTGGGAAAATCTTAAATGATAAAATACACATCTTCAAACATTTGAAAATAGTTAAATAAAAGAAGCTGTTTCCTCACCATAGTTCCATACTCTAGTATGGCCACCCCATCATCAGTGACAGCCAACCAAACTTTTCTGATGTCTGCTGAAACCACCTGGAATCACAAATACAAAGTACGTAAGTTCTGAGGACAAAAAAGCCTGAAAAGAATTTTTTTTCTTTTTAGACATAAAATAATCACTCGATATTTTCAATGGGGGGAAAATAGTGAAATTTACAGATACTGTATTTTTTAAGTCATAACTTCTTTAAATCAGAACATTCCTATTGAGTGCTAGCAACAAAATTTTACGCAGGCCTAGGCTACTCTATAGTTCTATTCTATGCAGTACAACCACACCAAGTGCTATAAAGAAATATAATTTTTGTGATTATAAAATTATGTATCTGAATGTTTGATAATTTATGTCTATTGAAAAGATTGAGTTATTACCACAAAAGATTCATTGAAACTGACAGTCCTTGAAAATAAATTTGAAACCGGTTTGCATTCTGTACATCAAAACATGCCCAGTACTGGCATCTTACATGATCATTCTGCAGTCTCTGACAAAGTTTTTGTTTAAGCCAAATAGGCACTTTAAACCAAAACTAACAAAAATGACTTTTTTCTATTGCCTATATTATACATACATGTACATGACTACAACAGTTACTGCACTTTACCTTAGCTGCAAACAGTTCTGCTCCAAAGAAAGGCCACTTCCTAAGAGCTGTGAGATATATTCTGACACACTCGTGGTTGCTTCTTCCCTTCAAACTGGCCCACCTCTCTGCTATCTTTGACATCAAAAGTCTGCAAATAATATGGACACATAATATGATTTATTCTCTACAAAAATTACCTCATATCAAATTTTAACCAAATGCTGAAGAAATATGCTATAAAACATTCAAGAAATATTTGGTAACTTTTTTTCCAAATTCAGCTGCCTGACTGAAATAAAAAGCAACTGAGAATATCCCCCAATCAGTTCAAATTTGTTCTTCAACGTTCACTGTAATATAAGTAACATGTAAATGGCACAGTGAACAATTGTTTAAGCGATCCATTCATTTTTGAGAAGGCCTCTCACTTGACAAATAGGCAAGCCAGGAATGGAAATATATATATATATGATAATTCAAATGAAAAATGAAATGCATATGCATGTTATGACCTGGTGCATCATTACAGATTGTGAAATATTGTGGAGAAACAAAGAGAGATCCAGGGAAGCAAAGGAGTCTCTACACTCCATTTAATGTCTCTTTTAGCCTAGAGATGCAAAACATTTTATTCTCTAGCAGCCATAAATAAGCAATGATAAAGATGCACCTACGAAGATCCACTATAAAGTTGTAATATCCAAGCCAAGCTTTCGAGAATCCCTGCCTAGTATTCGAAAGGTTGGATTAGATATTACATCTTTACAGTAGATCTTCAAGGATGCATTTTATAAATAATTTATTTATTTCTTAAAGATCTATATGGTGTTTTGATATGTATTCTCCAGCAGCTACAACAGCAAAATTTTGACAAAATAAAAACTTATATAATGTCACCAGAATTGTTAGCCACCAACACTGAAAACACAGTTCTTCCGATTTCCCAATATGTGAACAAATGTGTTATTTAAAAAAATTAATGTAAAGAAAAAGTCATTTTCTTACGTCTTATCCTCCTCTGTACAGTTCTTGTCTTTGTAGCGTTTGGGGTAGAATCTCTCTATGATGACAGGCAGCTGAGTGGAAGAATTAGGCGGAGTGGTGCGCTCTCCTTGGTTGGTGCTCTCTGGGTGGCGAAAATCTCCAAATTCCACCTTCAAATGGAATATGATTATTTTTCTGTTCACCTAAACACCACTTCTAAATGCCACCCATTTCTGAATTAGATGTCATACAATTAAATCTATGTATTAAATACAAATATAGGTTTTTTTTAGTGCAGAAAATGAAAAGCTAAATTTTTTTTTTAAACATTTTCTGCTGAAATTTTCACACTCTCACTACAGATCTCTCTTAGTAAAAAAAATCTGTTGAAGAATTGTCAAAGAATGTACATCTCCATTCACCTGAGCCAGTATAGATGCCAGCTGCACAGCCATTTCCTTGCTGACAGGAAACTTCCCATTGACGATGGCATGGTTGATCTGGTAGGCTAATAAGTGGCGCTCACGCTCTGTCTCTGATGACACATTCTTTTTTAAATATAATCTGGAACATGCACAATGCAGATTTGTAATAGAATTCAGATACTCTGGAATGACAAGAAATTGTTCAATATTGTTAAAAAAAAGTACTATGTTTACTGATAAGATTAGTCACTGCAAGGGAATGTATTCTTTAAGTTATATCTTCAAATGAAAAAAGAGCAATACAAAAAAAGGATGAATCGGGATCATGTTTTGGCCTTTCAGAAAATTCAAGAAGTTGTAAGCAAAAAATACTCAGACTATCACCTTACACAATTATCATTTCCTCATTACAAAAGAGTAAATAATTTCTCAGTGTTTCATCTTGTGAATTATTTTAATTCACATTACAGACGTCAGTAGTTATAATACTGGCGTGTAGGAAACAAAGTTTAGCCAAGCAGAAATAAAGATAATTATTGACAGGTTGGGGATGGAGGGGATATCCAATAACTGCAGAAAATATGCACTTTGAAGTTGAACACTGATTGAATGTTGTCTCACTCATGACATATTCTAATAAATTTTTGAAGTCAAATGTCTGCTTATATAAATTATTAGAATATCATGTCACTTGTTAGTGAGACAAAGTTTAACCAAGCAGAAATAAAGATAATTATCGACAGGTTGGGGATGGAGGGGATATCCAATAACTGCAGAAAATATGCACTTTGAAGTTGAACACTGATTGAATATTGTCTCACTCATGACATATTCTAATAAATTTTTTAAGTCAAATGTCTGCATAGATAAAATATTAGAATATCATGTCACTTGTAAGTGAGACAAAGTTTAACCAAGCAGAAATAAAGATAATTATTGACAGGTTGGGGATGGAGGGGGTATCCAATAGCTGCAGAAAATAAGCACTTTGAATTTGAACACTGGTTGAATGAATGGTGTCTCACTCATGACATGCTATTCTAATAACTTATCTAAGCAGACATTTGACATAAAGAAGTGGACTGGGCCCTTAGGCACCTCGTCCCATTCCCTTCCTTTGGATCCTAAACAGATGTAATGAGTGCACAATTTCAGACATTGTGCTGTCTCACCTAACACAATGACATGTTCACAAAGAGCGGATTCAGAACAGATGATCCGCGGACTTAATACGGCTGACCCCATTTAAAAAGCAATGCTGCTAATTCCCCGATGGTCTCTCCGCCTCCACACGCGCCGTTGCTGTAGGAGCCTAGCAATTTAACCTCTGAGCCGAGATTTATTTTGTTTTATGGAGTGTGTGGTGGTGTGAGGACCATCAGGGAATTAGCGGCATCGCTTTTTTATGTGGGGTCGGCCATATTTAGTCAACGGATCAGTTAGACTGCGGATCATCCGTTCTGAATGCGCTCAGACATAAACTCCTTTGGCACACAACTTGGAACCCAAGAACTTTTGTATAAATATGCACGAAACTTATTCATCAGGGCAAAAACTGGACCATGTAAACACACTGTTTTTATATTTATTTAATACATTAACTTGGGTGTAACTTTTGCAAGTAGGCTGCTCAATTTTCTACACTGGTAAATGAAAAATGTCACTTTGATAAAAATATTATAAAGATGTTTGTGGTTCAACTACTGTTACATTATTTGAAAAATATTTTTCATAAAAACAATTACATAAGAAGGCTTATGTTTTTTATATAATTAACAGAATCATTTTAATCATATTATAATTTTATCATTTTACTGAAAATTAAGAAGAGAGAGATTGTGATACAACCAGAAGTATTAATTCCTTACATAACTCACGGACAAAATTTGTTATTATGTTTAAGCATAACTCTTCCAGCTTGTTATTTTTAAAAAGGATCCCAAACAAGCATGTCTAAAAAAGTGTAAAGAATTCTTGTACAGTTGTCAAAAAAAAAAAAAAAACCTTGTTCAATTTTGATAACAAACCAACTGCGCTGCAAAAAAAAAGGATTGTTTTTACGTCAACAAACAGTCATTTTAATCTATGATGTTTTCATCCCTTGTTAAAATTTAATAAATGAGCCTGTCCATGCCAGAAAATCATGATAAGTATGACCACAAGCATTCCTTATGTAATTGCACCACCTTGTAAAAAATGTATACAGAATTGAGAGACAATCAAAACAATCACTTTAATTTGACAGTACCATTAGTATTAATAAGTAGGAAAAACATGTACTGGAGTACACACCATCCTCAACATCTATTGGGCCAATTCTGTTACAGGACAAAAATAATCTTTGCCAACGTTTTGTGCCTATTTATCTACATTATCAGGTCAAATTTATTCCCTGCAGGTACCTGTGACAAATTATATCCTCAAGGCATTATTACTGATAACAAAGCATGCTAATAACCTCTTAGCATTGGCATGCCCCTTTTTTACGACATTTTTATTCCCTTCCTGTTTGTTTGCTTTTGTCATGAATCCTGTATTGTTCTCTCAAAGTCAACATCCTGAGATAAAAATCAAGCACATGTATCCCATGTCTATACAAAACAACAAGTCCTATGAAATGACCCATGCATCAAAAAATAAACATTTCAAATCTATATCTTGGTTCAAATTTATGTCGCGAAACTAGGCTAATATATTCATATTTGTCAACGCTTTCAAAGCAGGTGCTCAGACTATATATAATCCGCTACTAGGGTTAACTCAACCATAATCAGGCAGAATACAGCCAGCCTTGGCACAATAGACTTTTTTAGGCTGTCACTTTTTTTGTACTATTCCTAATCCTGGACAAGGCAAGGGAGAATTCTGTGTGTTTAATAAGGTATGTTTAATGTCTTCCTAATATGTATGTATGTAATCGCTGCTCGGATCTACTCAACCACATACAAGTAGAGTATACAGAATATGAAACTCTCTGGGGACAATCAACACCTACACCATATTGATAGTCTTGGCATATGTCTCTCAGATTGTATGATTCTAAATGTCAGCTTGGCAAAAGATATACTGTTTTTTAACAATTTGATATCAATATCCTGTAATTATACAATCCCCAATAGGAGCGATCACANAAAAAAAAAAAAAAAAAAAAAAAAAAAAAAAAATGCAGTTCTGTGCATTTACTCTATTTATAACAAGCAAACATAACAATCTTCCACTGCAGCTGAAATATGCTTAAATGATAATGTGACCAATATTGTAACAGACAATAAGTCAAAGTTCAGATTAATATGGGGGAGGGGGGTGGAACACAAACTACATCAAAGCGGTATTTATTTTAAAATATTTGGGCAAAATTAATTCCTTTTCAGGCTTTCTAGCCCCACAATGAGTTTCAGAGTTTGGTGAAAACCAACGGATGTATCACCAATACCATTAGCTTTCAGTTTATTTTGAAACTAAGGGCCATTTATCATGGATATATGACATATATTTAACAAAATACTGAAGGGGTATAAGACTGTCTACACTGTGAAGTGTATTCATATACAGTTAATATCAATATTAATCTACACTTGACAATATAAATGCAACCCCATGAAATGTAAGCATAAGTCCATTGTCATATTCATGATTAACCTATATGGGGACATAACTGGAATTTCAGACTCTTCTAACTGTTGTAGCCATGCAAATTTTCAAATTGAAAACCCAAGGCCTGGTTCTAAAAACCCTGTTGGCTCTAATAAATTGAGTGGTAATACATAACTGCAACAGATAGCTTAAAAGCAATCTGAAGATTTGTAAGTTAAGCACTTTCGAGAATACATTTGAACCTCTTCCACCCTGTCTTGTTCTTGAGTAAAATTATGGGCTGTGCACTCCCAAAGAGACTAATATAAGTGTAAAACCATTTCTTTTTCCAATACACCTAAAATGTTCTAATTCAAAGAAATTATGGCTTAAAAAAAACAGTATCTGTAAATTTCACCATTTTCCTCCCTTGAAAGAGCGAGCAATTATCTTAGTTCTGCACCAAAAATTTCTTTTCAGGATTTTTAACAGTGTTTAAGGTATAATATAACATACCTTTTGGTGATGTACCAAGAAATGCAATTTTCTGGGAGTTTTTTTTCTCATACTTTTTCAAATCCCCAGTATAAAAGCATAAAACTAATATTTCCCTTTCCATGTCTCTATCATTATCATATTAGCTGTCAAATTTGGAAGTTATCTCCAATGACATCTTTGAAAAAACAAAACCTATCTGAGTTTTCCATTGCAAAAAGTTTTGCATTCATAAGATACGGTAGAAATAAGTGTTGCTGTTTTATGACTTTTTCCCCCAATTTAGCACTTAGACCTTTGTCTTTCCGGTAGTTTGAGATTAAGATTCCCCTCACAGTGACCTTAGAGTTGACCTCCCTCCTCAGTGACCTTGAAGTTGACCTCCCTCCTCCTCAATGACCTTGGGGTTGACCTTTCTTCTTGAGTGTGCTGGTGCTGCTCTGTTTGTCCAGACTGCGTGTAGAGGTTGGTGCCTGGTTCCTGGCATTGATGTAACTGGCCAGTAGTAAGGTTAACTCAAGGATCTAAAAAAAATTTGAAAAAATATATTTCTGATGACAGCTTATTCCTTTCATTTTCTGTTCTTATCTGGGCTTGTAATAGTTTTTTTTAAAAGAGTTAAAAAACGAGATGAGAAGAATTTTCTTTTTGAGAGAAATATCTATTATCAGAATGACTAACGGTATTCACCTGTGTCAATCAATAAATAACCCTTCCCTATGTAATGATCATGAGCTGATCTATCAGATGCAAATTTCACTGAGGCAAGTAAAAAAAAGTAATCCATTTTGTAACTGTAAAACCATGAACCCCAATTTTCAAATCTCACCCTTAGCTTAGGCATATGGAACTGAATTTTGCAAGTCCTCTTTCTTCTATGCTCTGTTCTTGAAGAAGTATCTTGTTTTCTATTGACAACCAACATGAAGTCGTCCCTGCAGCCTCCAAATGTCACAACGGCCTTGTAGCTGTATGATGTCACATATTGCTACAATAAAATATATTTCGAATTTATAAAAGTTTTCACAGCTAAGCAAAAAAAAAAACTAAATCTGTCTACACATCTCCATCATGGTGTTCTTGGTATTTCCAAAAGATAGCAGCAACACCAACACCGCTATCACTCTATCCCTAATTTGGGAAAATCTCAATCATAAAATACATATATTCAAACATTTGAAAATAGTTAAATAAAGGAAGCTGTTTCCTCACCATAGTTCCATACTCTAGTATGGCCACCCCATCATCAGTGACAGCCAACCAAACTTTTCTGATGTCTGCCGAAACCACCTGGAATCACAAATACAAAGTACATAAGTTCTGAGGACAAAAAAGCCTGAAAAGAATTTTTTTTTTGTTCAGACATAAAATAATCACTCGATATTTTCAATGGGGGGAAAATAGTGAAATTTACTGATACTGTATTTTTTAAGTCATAACTTCTTTAAATCAGAACTTTCCTATTGAGTGCTAGCAACAAAATTTTACGCAAGCCTAGGCTACTCTATAGTTCTATTCTATGCAGTACAACCACACCAAGTGCTACAAAGAAATATAATTTTTGCGATTATAAAATAATGTATCTTAATGTTTGATAATTTATGTCCATTGAAAAGATTGAGTTATTACCGCAAAAGATTCATTGAAACTGACAGTCCTTGAAAATAAATATGAAACTGGTTTGCATTCTGTACATCAAAACATGCCCAGTACTGGCATCTTACATGATCATTCTGCAGACTCTGACAAAGCTTTTGTTTAAGCCAAATAGGCATTTTAAACCAAAAGTAACAAAAATGACTTTTTTCCTCTTGCCTATATTATACATACATGTACATGCCTACAACAGTTACTGTACTTTACCTTAGCCGCAAACAGTTCTGCTCCAAAGAAAGGCCACTTCCTAAGAGCTGTGAGATATATTCTGACACACTCGTGGTTGCTTCTTCCCTTCAAACTGGCCCACCTCTCTGCTATCTTTGACATCAAAAGTCTGCAAAAATTACCTCATATTAAATTTTAACCAAATGCTAAAGAAATATGCTATAAAACATTCAAGAAATGTTTGGTAACTTTTTTCCTAATTCAGCTGCCTGACTGAAATAAAAAGCAACTGAGAATATCCTCCAATCAGTGTAACATACACATTTGTTCTTCAACGTTCACTGTAATATAAGTAACATGTAAATGGCACAGTGAACAATTGTTTAAAGGACAACTCAGTGGGTAAGATTAATGTATAGAAGCAGGTTCTATGTAAAACTTTGATCAGATTTGTGTTTTGGGAGATTGTTTATTATTATATGAATAAGTCTGGGTCACAAAAGTCCTGTTAAGACAACTAGAATAAAGAATTAGAAAACGAAAACTATTTATCATGATTTCGGAGCACAGCCAGAAGTACTTCCGGCTCAAGGTCACGACCTCGATTTTCCCACGCTTACGACCAATCACAGCAGGCTTCAGTCAGCATGAGATAGACGTCACGACTACACAGCGTAACTTGTCAGACATGTAAGTGCCGCCTGTCCATCTTTTCGGTACATGTACCGATCAAAAACAGAAAACGTAAAGCCCAAAACGCTCTTATACACGTAACCAACTTTGTATGAGCACAAATATTGTCATTTATTGTGAACAGGATAATATGATAATCAGACACACTTGAGACCTGTGAAGCGCATACTCACGTGTCGAGGAGTAGTTTCGCCATTGCCTCGTATGTGAGTCCTAACTCAGCTTTAAGTGTCCTCCACCGCCCCACCTCCCTCCCAACATACACAGTCTGAGTGCTTCTTCGTCTGTCTCTAATTTTCTTTCGTATCTTTCGAACTGGAGTGGCTATTTTCTTTCGCCCCCTTTTGTCGCTCTCCTGTTCAGACTTGACGCGCGTCTGAGCCATGTTTGCTGTTTTGGCGCCAAATAGTAACATCCGGGTCTCAGCCGTAGTACTTCATTCATAGTAAACCGCGAGACTTAGCGAGAAATTGCGCGTTCTGAAGCCGTACTGTGAGGTGGTAGCTGAGTATTTAAGACGAGTCGTCTTTTATTATTTAATGGAACTTAAAAACGGTATTAGGTAGCTTCATTTTCTGAACGGTTTTGGATAGGATATACCTTGGTCATTATGGGGAAATTGGTGAGTTTTCCAGGAAAATTCATTTTCGTGCTATTTTAAGGGTTTAACGCGCTGAGACTGTCTTTAAGCGATCCATTCATTTCTGAGAAGGCCTCTCACTTGACAAAGGCCTCTCACTAGGCAAGTCAGGAATGGAAATATATATATAAGATAATTCAAATGAAAAATGAAATGCATATGCATGTTATGACCTGGTGCATCATTACAAATTGTGAAATATTGTGGAGAAACAAAGAGAGATAAAGGGAAGCAAAGGAGTCTTCACACTCTATTTAGTGTCCCTTTAAGCCTAGAGATGCAAAACATTTTATTCTCTAGCAGCCATAAATAAGTAATGATAAAGATCTATGAAGACCCCACCATAAAGATGTAATATCTAAGCCAAGCTTTTGGGAATCCGTGAAGAAGGCCTAGAGGCAGAAAGGTTAGATAAGATATTACATCTTTATCGTAGATCTTCATAGATGCATCTTTATAATAACTTATTTATTTCTTAAATATCTATACGGTGATTTGATATGTATTCTCTAGCAGCCCTAATGCTACAACAGCAAAATTTTGACAAAATAAAAACTTATATAATGTCACCAGAATTATTAGCCAACAACACTGTAAACACAGTTCTTCAGATTTCCTAAATGTGCTATTTAAAAAAATAAATGTAAAAAAAAATCTTACGTCTTTTCCTCCTCTGTGCAGTTCTTGTCTTTGTAGCGTTTGGGGTAGAACCTCTCTATGATGACAGGCAGCTGAGTGGAAGAATTAGGCGGAGTGGTGCGCTCTCCTTGGTTGGTGCTCTCTGGGTGGCGAAAATCTCCAAATTCCACCTTCAAAAGGAATATGATTATTTTTCTGTTAACCTAAACACCCACTTCTTAAGAAGAAAAATATACTAGGCCCTTACAATCATAGTAAAATCCAAATGCCACCCATGTCTTAATTAGATGTCATACAATTAAATCTATTTATTAAAAACAAATATAGTTTTTTTTTAGTGCAGAAAATGAAAAGCTTAATCTTTTTTTTTTTTTAACATTTTCTGCTGAAATTTTCACACTCTCACTACTGATCTCCCTCAGTAAAAAAAAATCTGTTAAAGAATTGCCGAAGAATGTACATCTCCATTCACCTGAGCCAGTATAGATGCCAGCTGCACAGCCATTTCCTTGCTGACAGGAAACTTCCCATTGACGATGGCATGGTTGATCTGGTAGGCTAATAAGTGGCGCTCACGCTCTGTCTCTGATGACACATTCTTTTTTAAATATAATCTGGAACATGCACAATGCAGATTTGTAATAGAATTCAGACTCTGTTATGACAAGAAATTGTTCAATATTGTTAAAAAAAGTACTATGTTTACTGATAAGATTAGTCACTGCAAGGGAATGTATTCTTTAAGTTATATCTTCAAATGAAAAAAGAGCAATACAAAAAAAGGATGAAGCGGGATCATGTTTTGACCTTTCAGAAAATTCAAGAAGTTGTAGCAGCAGCAAAAAATACTCAGACTATCACCTTACACACTTATCATTTCCTCATTACAAAAGAGTAAATAATTTCTCAGTGTTTCATCTTGTGAATTATTTTAATTCACATTACAGACGCCAGTAGTTATAATACTGGCGTGTAGGAAACAAAGTTTAACCAAGCAGAAATAAAGATAATTATTGACAGGTTGGGGATGTAGGGGATATCCAATAACTGCAGAAAATATGCACTTTGAAGTTGAACACTGATTGAATGTTGTCTCACTCATGACATATTCTAATAAATTTTTTAAGTCAAATGTCTGCATAGATAAATTATTAGAATATCATGTCACTTGTTAGTGAAACAAAGTTTAACCAAGCAGAAATAAAGATAATTATCGACAGGTTGGGGATAGAGGGGATATCCAATAACGGCGGAAAATAACCACTTTGAATTTGAACACTGGTTGAATGAATGGTGTCTCTCTCATGACATGCTATTCTAATAACTTATCTAAGCAGACATTTGACATAAAGAAGTGGACTGGGCCCTCAGGCACCTCGTCCCATTCCCTTCCTTTGGATCCTACACAGATGTAATGAGTGCACAATTTCAGACATTGCACTGTCGCACCTAACACAATGACATGTTCACAAGAGCCTCCACACATGGCATTGCTCTAGGGGCCTAGCAATTAAACCTCAAAGCCGAGATTTATTTCATTTTATATGGCATGTGTGGAGGTGGGGAGACCATCAGGGAATTAGGGGCATCGCTTTTTTATGTGGGGTTGGCCATATTTGGTCGATGGATCAGTTAGTCTGAGGATGATCTGTTTTTAATGCACTCAAACATAAATTCCTTTGGCACACAACTTGGAACCCAAGAACTAAATATAAATATGCATGAAACTTATTCACCAGAGCAAAAACTGGACCATGTAAACACACTGGTTTCATATTTATTTAATACATTAACTTGGGTGTAACTTTTGCAAGTAGGCTGCTCAATTTTCTAAATGAAAAATGTCACTTCGATAAAAATATTGATGTTTATGGTTCAACTACTGTTGCAGCTTTTGAAAAATATTTTTCATAAAAACAATTACATAAGAATGCTTATGTTTTTTTATAAAAAACAAAATCATTTTAATCATATTATAATTCCATCATTTTACTGAAAATTAAGAGAGAGATTGTGATGCAACCAGAAGTATTCCTTACATAACTCACGGACAAAATTTGTTATAATGTTCAAGCATAACTCTACCATCTTGTTATTTTTAAAAAGGATCCCAAACAAGTATGTCTGAATAAAAAGCGTAAAGAATTCTTGTACAGTTGTCAAAAAAAAAAAAACCTTGTTCAATTTTGATAACAGACTAACTGCGCTGCAAAAAAAGGATGGTTTTTACGTCAACAAACAGTCGTTTTAATCTATGACATTTTAATCCCTTGTTAAAGTTTAATAAATGAACCTGTCCATGCCAGAAAATCATGGTAAGTATGACCTCAAGCATTCCTTATGTAATTGCACCACCTTGTAAAAAATGTATACAGAATTGAGAGACGATCATAGCAATCACTTTAATTTGACAGTACCATTAATATTTATAAGTAGGGAAAACATGTACTGGAGTACACGCCATCCTCAACATCTATTGGGCCAATTCTGTTACAGGACAAAAATAATCTTTGCCAACGTTTTGTGCCTATTTATCTACATTGTCAGGTCGAATTTATTCCCTGCAGGTACCTGTGACAGATTATATCCTCAAGGCATTATTACTGATAACAAAGCATGCTAATAACCTCTTAGCATTGGCATGCCCCTTTTTTACGACATTTTTATTCCCTTCCTGTTTGTTTGCTTTTGTCATGAATCCTGTATTGTTCTCTCAAAGTCAACATCCTGAGATAAAAATCAAGCACATGTATCCCATGTCTATACAAAACAACAAGTCCTATGAAATGACCCATGCATCAAAAAATAAACATTTCAAATCTATATCTTGGTTCAAATTTATGTCGCGAAACTAGGCTAATATATTCGTATTTGTCAACGCTTTCAAAGCAGGTGCTCAGACTATATATAATCCGCTACTAGGGTTAACTCAACCATAATCAGGCAGAATACAGCCAGCCTTGGCACAATAGACTTTTTTAGGCTGTCACTTTTTTTTGTACTATTCCTAATCCTGGACAAGGCAAGGGAGAATTCTGTGTGTTTAATAAGGTATGTTTAATGTCTTCCTAATATGTATGTATGTAATCGCTGCTCGGATCTACTCAACCACATACAAGTAGAGTATACAGAATATGAAACTCTCTGGGGACAATCAACACCTACACCATATTGATGGTCTTGGCATGTCTCTCAGATTGTATGATTCTTAATGTCAGCCTGGCAAAGATATACTGTTTTTTAACAATTTGATATCAATATCCTGTAATTATACAATCCCCAATAGGAGTGATCGTAGGATTACAGGGACAACAAAGATTAGCATTGCTGGGTAAAACTGGTATGAAAAGATTGTAAACACACTAATCAGATACACTGTAGGGAACACAAAGGCTCATGTCATAGACAGTATTTTTTTAAAATAGAATTTGACCTTGGAAATAGACTCAACTTGTTAAATGTTTTCTTTTCATTCCCTTTCAAATGTATTTGCAAGGGCTAGCCCAGACTTCACATCTTGTGATGAGAATTTAAAAACCTGTTCTAAGGTGATATTTTTTCTTAAATAGTCTTGCACAAGATGAGCACTATTTGTTTAGGGTTTCTTTAATTCCATTCCATTACACTAGCATGGTTCTGTTAAGGTTAACAGCAGGTCTAATGTCATCCTTAGGGCGAGTTACTGCTGTGAGCCAGAGCCGTTCCTTGATTAAATGGCCTTGTATTGTTCAGCATTTTTTAAATTTATTTCCACATTTAACCCTGTTTATAAACAAACCAGCGTGATTTTGGTATAAATTACATTATAGTGTTTCAGAGAAAGGTTGAGGTAATCTGAAACTTCACATCCCCTGACTTAATTTTTGTTTCCTGTGAAGTGCTGCTCATCCTTTCATACAGAATAGTCCTTCCCCCTATGTTGCTTAAAATTGAAAGTCAACCACATTTACAATGGTGAATTATAATGATTGCATCTAAGATGTCTTAATAAAAAAGATCTTGAGTATACAATATTTTTATGCCAAAACTGTGCTCATTAACAAATTTCAAATATTTTTCCAGTGCTCTAATATTTCATTCCAGATTATCATTTTTTTAAAATTGTTTTCTGCAACTGTAATTCCTCGAAATTATCGATTTAATTTGTTACAAAAAATGTTGTAAAATAGAATTTTAAATGCTAAGAATCCTCTTCTTCATGTCATACAAATAGCTTAACTGCTGGGGGTATAAGAATTATAAGATTTTGCTTGAATTTAGAGAGTAGGAAAATGGTAATTTAATTTCAACAATGTGCTGTAAGAGATTCTATCCACTTCTAGTGTAAATGATGCCCTCGGTACATCCTGGTAACATTAAGTGTTGAGAAGATATTGATTGAGCTCTTCAAGTACCATATGTGCCTATCACTAGATGGCTGCTGAAGTACTGAAGGAATTAAATTACTTCAGCTCAATCTTCTTTGCTGCAAAGCACACACACTAAGGGTCATAAGAACACAGTTATAGTCAGTCATTTATTTGACAGTCCCATCAAAATTGCATAACAAATAAAACTATGCACATTTGGGTACTTAAAAGTCCAATGAATAGTGTAGACATTTGTTAAATGTTTTTTACTTTTTTCGTTTTCATCATAGTTGACACGTGTGGCAAAATGATAATTAATGTTTGTGATCTTTCAATTTTCATCAATTTTCACCATCTGTTGCATCTGGCTTATCCACATGAGGTCATAGAATATAAATGGTTGTATTTGTTATTTTGACATTTCGGCTTTTACAAGTATAGTGTACTCCATGTGAAGTAATTACACTTCATTTAGTAATTTATCATTCTACAGCTTATTTCAACAGGTTAACACATGGCCCAGTCACAGTATCTGTTCTGGCAACCACATTTTCTTAAAATCTGTTTCACTTGCAATATTTTTGTTTTCATGTTTACAAATCTATTTTCGCCTCTCAATATGGCACTGGGTCTTTTTTTTTTTCCTTCTTCACACATGATGTTGTTCTGTCGTTTCAGATCTAAAAGCACCAGCTCTATCTTGTGAGGTCATAGCAGTGCTGTCTAGGTGTGGGGGTCAGAGTTCAGAACTGTGGTTGTGGGGGCTCAGTCAGACTTGGCACAACAGAGCTCACTGAGAGAGCACGTTTTTTAACATTATCGCATACACGAGGAAACGGAACACCAGCAGCTTGAACTCTGAGGTAGGTGGACTGTTTTACAATGTTTTTGACAAACAAAATAGTGAAATTATAGTCAGAGTCAATCAAGGAGCAACTGGGTATAAAAAAGCGGACAAGCTTTTCATTACTCTACAGTATATAAAATTCCCAACATGTGAATAGAGCTTAAAAATGGACACAATACAAGTAATTTCTATCTGAACTAGGTGCTGCTTTCATCCAATTCATCCCATCAAAGTTGTTTTGTACCTCTGTACCTGTGATGTAGTTTTCATGCTACCTTTAGAAAGATCTTAAGTGATTTGAAGTATCCGATTTTAATTTAATTTTTTTTCAAGTATATCTCAATACCTACCACTGAATAACAATCAAACTGCATTGTGCTGAGATGGATTTTGAAACATCCTGTTTCATTTATCACCACATGCCTGAAGCATGTAGATTAAATCATTCACTGAGAAAAAATGACAGAGTTAGCCCGTGAATAAATATGTTGAATTCAACTGTAGAATACAACACTGTGGCAGGACATGACCCCATCTATTACATACAAAAGAGGTATGATTCAAAGAAAAACGCCTGTTTTTCGGCCTAATGCAGAACGTTGATTCAATTTCTCAACAAAACAGGATTCCTCAAAGTACTGAACTGCATGTAATTATGGTATAGAACACCTATTTATTTGCTCATATTTCCTACTGCTAGTGATTAGGTGGAAAATGTCTTCGACTATGTTTAATGTATCCATATAATCATAAAAAACATACTTGTTCTATTTTCAACGTCTCAACAGCTTTGTCATAATCATAAAAGGCCATAAAAACCATTGAGCTGAACATTCCCATAAGTAAGCATCATAATTTACATCACTATAATTCCCCGACCACAAAATATAACATATTCTGTTTTCTACAATCTGACAGCCGTGTAACTATGTTAATAGGCCAGAAAGCCACTTTGAGTTTTGTATTTCAAAAAGAAACAATTGCACAAACAACTGAAATTTATGGGTGGGCATTGGAGCAGTTCTATAGGGAAGACAGATAACTTCTCAGGGACAGCACAGGTGGTTACCCATGAGTTAATGTCCAGCATTTACTTACAAAAGGGAGGGTCAAGAATTCTTGTGAAGGTGAGCAATGCTGAACTGTGAATGGATTGGGGATCGCCACAGATTTTTTTCACGGGAGGGGGGGGGGGAGGATTGCACTTGATTAAGCTTTTGAAGTCACAGTACTTAATTCCAGATATAAATACTTGGAAGGAAATGAAATAAATAAAATGGTAGGAGTACTGTTCATATGGTATCATTATTATTATCACTAGAAAAGAGAAGAAAAGAGAAGAGAACTGTTGAAGAGGGAGAATGGGGAGTTTAAGTACTTCTGCTTGAAATGCCCCTGAAAACCTTCACACTACATCAATGCTACATACACTATTCCTCACAGTACTTGCATGAAAAGACCAATTCACCCACATTCATATTCATATGTGTTAGAAATCAGCGACAACACGATATTGGCATTAAAGTTTTATATATAGCTGCCTAACTGACACGGTAAAAAATGTGACACAACACGTAAGAGTCACTTAGTGCAGACTAAAACTGTTGTTTTTTAAGTGTGCAAGTATATTTGAGTTAGCTGGGCCGGTTACTCAATTGTCCAGAATAATATGTTATTTACACTGTTGTGAACAGCACTTTGCAGCACTACAATTCATATCTACCCCCCAAAAAATGCAAAAGTCATGGATAGTTACACTGGTGAATCCGATATATACCAATGATACATATCTATTATAATGAAGTATTAACATTGGAATTCCATAGATTATCTGATTAGTTCTATAACCAGACTTGACGTAAAGCTTAGAATGGCTCCTTGATTGAATCATCATATGTGAAGCATCCAAGTGTTTTGTGGAAACGATCCCATCTGAGGCCAAATGTGATCTTAACTCACAAGTTTAAGTCATTTTTCTGGTGAATCATTCCAGAGTAATGAATTAAGTCAATTGTTTTTAAAGTCTTCTAGTTTGTGAGAGCAGTAACTATACATATATACATATATACATATAGCAATAATTTCCTGCTTTAAGACCGGTTGATATGCAATCTCAATTTTTGATATGCAATCTCAATTTTTTCTCAAAGAGATTTTGTTTTACAAACAATAATGACTCTCTATACATTGCCCAGACTAGACCAGGTGTGCACCTGCAGAAAAAAAAAATGACCCCCTTTTCTCAATGTATTAGACCAACCACTACAGATCTCCAATAGCATATATGAACATTTTTGAGCCCAAACTTCAACAAAAAAAGAATCAAGGTAGAGCCGCAAGGCTTTTGGGGGCCAAAAAAACTTAACCGTAGTTGCAGGCTCACGTTGTACACAGGAAACCCGACACCTGACAGGTTCATTAAGGTAGATAGATTTCAGTAAAAGTAATTGAATTTTCAAAAAAGAGCTAATGGAAGCCATACTGTGAAGGCTTTAACAAGCATGACCCACAGCTGGTACCACATACTTTCAATCTTATATTCTTATTAAGAAAAGCTTGACCATTTTATACATTGGTGTTTACATAATTTTCTTTAATGTGCACTCTGTATGCAAACCTCGGTGCCAGACACCTGCCAACAATTCTATCGCCTTGTTCCTTAGGTTAAATGCATTAGGCTGGGTTAAGACATTGTTTAAGGTTAGCCTCAAAAGTTAGCTTCAACAGTTATAAATACATCACAGTGTGATTGATCCCAACCTGATTTTACCTGTAGTTTAAATATTGAGCCTAATATGCTCTCTGTCTCTCTGTACAGCCAACCACAAGCAAATGGACTTGAGAAACATATAATTTTGTGGTTCCCTTTTGCAAAAACCACCGCCACATACTTTTTACACGTGGAGAAAAAAGTGTACAGCCATTTTTTCATTATGTGTAATCTTGTTTCTATCAAAATCTTATTTGTTTTACAAGGGCAAAGACCTCTCATCTGTTTCTGCGTAAGATTTTCAGCAAAATGTGTTAAATAAATCAACAAATTTAAAACAGTTATATTTAAGTATTCTTCTTCTCATTTAAATTGTTTTCATGGCAAATTCATATACATTGTCTGGAAAGACAACACCCCTCAGAGTTGCCAAGTAAAATATTTCCAAAATAAAAGCATACATCCCAAATGATGGCCAATTTCCCTGAAATGCTTAAAAAAGAAACTAAGTTAATACAGAAAAAGTGCTCAAGAATATAAACAGTGTATCACAGTCAGTGAAGCAACTTTTTAAAGTTAAATATGTGTGTTCATATCTTGAACAAATTTCAGCAACACTATATAATTTTTCTTCATTCTTCGCCTTTTCCAGCAAAAACAATTTGAATATGTCAGCTTCAGTTGCAAAATTTATCACAGTTGGCAAAGCATCAAGATAAAATTTAAAAGATGCTCACATCTTTAAGAAATATCAGTAGTACCATAAATTTGTGCACTCTTTATTCTTCCAGCCACAACACTAAGAACATGTCAGATACAACAGATCTTGCAGCAGCAAGACACCAAACTCCACTCGAGGCCAAATCAAATTCAAACCACGAGGACAAAACATCCCTTCAGATATCATCAGAAGTGACTGTGCCTCTCCATCGCCATACAATGTCCGACTCACTTTACGTAGACCAGGCATATCCTTCCTCTTTGACAGTGGAATCTGAAGGAGTTGGCCAGCATCACTATCTCGATGAGGTGATGCTGAAGCAAATCGGTAAGGCGCACATCTTGCACCATCACCACCACCACCACTCACATACGCTCCATGGTGAGCATCACAACCACGGGCACCACTACTGTCACCACCGCCGCCATTCACAACCTCTGGAACCAAAGGCCCATGCAAAAAATAAAAAGGAACACAACATCTTGCTCCCGATGCAGAAACTATTCACCATTGATACCCATATGGAGTCAGAACAAAAGTCTAGCGCTTTGGTCAGTATATCTGCAAACAGTGACAATGATTTGTTTTGCATAGACCAGAATAATGAGACCCTCAAGAAGTTTTCTGCAAAATGTAACTACGTAGAGCATGTCCAGCTGATCAAAGATGTCCGTTTCAAAACACTCTCCAGCATCACTGTTCTGCCGGACGGGAAAATGGCAATCACGGACCGAAAGGAGAAACTGTTGAAAATCTTCACACCAGAGGGCACACTGCTCAAAAGCATCAATGAACACTTCAAAAACCCATGGGGAATTACCTCAAACAAGCAGGGACAAATCATCGTCACAGACTTCTGTACGCTAGACAACAATGGCTCCATCTATCTATTCGACAGTGAGGGAAAATATCTAAAGAGAATTAACATGCATGATAAAAAGACCTTGTTCAAGCACCCATGGTATGTAACCACCAGTAAAGCCAATGATAATATCATAGTGTCAGATTACTGGGGGTACAGAATTACAGTGTTGGACCCCCTGGGGAATTTTCTCTACAACTATGGCTCGCATAACCCAGGGGTGGAACACCTGTCCCGACCCAGGGGGGTCTGCACTGACCAGGAGGGGAAGATATACGTGGCAGATACCGAGGCAAACAGAATTCACGTCTTATCTCAATCAGGCAAGTTGATTGGTCACTTGCATTCAGATGAAGAGATGGCTGACATGACGGATTTGGAGTTTACCAATGACGGGAAACTGATAGTTTGTCAGTGGGAAGGAAAGATGCATGCATTTAATATAATCTAAAGAAAAGAAAGAAGAAATATATGTACAGAGAAATATTTGATTATTTAAAAAGATGTAAGAGAAGAGGATTGTCACATGGTGTTACGTGTAAAAAGTGAAATTACTGACAAAGATATCCTTAATTTTTCTTCAGCAACAATTGACATTTTGTAATACAACCATTCATATCCATAATTCAGGAAAGTACTTACTAAAATGTTTTGTCAACACAAATTATCCAATTTAGTTATCTATAATTTATACATGGGTCAAAACTGCACGAATGCCTCTTTGTTTTTGTTCTACCAAACTTTACTTTTATGTGTAGTGAAAGCAGTAATGACCATAGATTTAAAACCACTTGTAAATATCTGACAAATAATTTATAAACATTGATATCATTGTTAATTTAAGGTCAGCCTTAGGTTCAGTCTGCTCTCACAAATGTCATCACAATGCTATTATAGTCCATGATTATCTCTATTTAGATTAGATTAGTATCTGGCACATGAATGAAATGTTTACCATGATATAGACAAACTGTTCTGAACAGTTCATCAAAACCTTAATGACCAGAGCTTTGGAACCACAAATTACTTTTTCTGTAGAACTTTTGACCCACCCAGTACTTTCCATCATAAGATTGTTATTCTAGTCTGTAATGTAAGCATGTAGCCTGTTGTTGTAGTAAGTTTATATTACTGGAAATAAAATTTCACATTCTGTGAGTTGTCATTTTCATGGATCATATTTACTAGGTGCTGAAAAACATCTAAGTACAGCAGACTTTCTCATAAATATCTTATGTGTGACTTGCATGGGTGAAATGTCTGAAAATAGCATGGTGATTAATTCACATAAATATCCTGTAAAAATAATGAAGTCAATCAGTTCTTATTTTGGACATTTGAAAAACTGCAATAAATTTTACATGTGCTTTTGTCATTGAGACTGAAATCTGAACCAACATTATGCATTAGGATGAAAGTTAAGGGGAAAAAAGTTACATAAAATAATGCCGAAAATTTGAATTGGGAATTACTTCCATTTTTCCATATATTCATTGCCCATATCTTATCCATGTTGAGATAACAGCACATTTGGTGACACTGTTGACAGTGACTTATGGATGATAACATTGCGTGAGGCAGGTTAAACTGGCCTTGACACATGATGACATGGTGACCAGTGTCTCCAGGTGTATAGCCACCCTCTCATACACATTATTCAGCTTTGAAAAAAAAAAAAAGAAAAGAATATGCATAAAAATATATACATATAATGCCAAATCTGTGCCCAGGCAGACATCGAGGCAATGACATGGCAAGGGGAGGAGGAAGAAAAAAAGAACTGACAACTGGACTGACAACTAGATAACTATAAACATAAAAGCATGGGACAGGACAAATAAGGCGCCTTTGGCTCAATACATAAATAAGGAAGATATTGTTGCATCAGTCTGCTTACTGCTTGACCTGCAGCATGTAAGAGATACTGAAGCATGTTGGCCTACGCTTGAAGATGGCATACCAAAAGTACTTGCATGTCAAACCCACTTTATTATTTCTACAATAAAAAATCTTCTTGCTTCCTGATTGTGGTTTCAAGCTATTTCTCGCCTAGCAACTCAAAAGTAATCAACATAACCACAATACGGAAACCAGCATCCTCTCTTCAGTGGTAAAATGTGAGATATTCATTCAAAAAAACACTCCCCGCATAAATTCTTCCACATAATGTTCTTTGCCCTAGGATTTCACAACTATTTTCAACAGATGTGATCGCTTTCCTACTCACTTCAAACAGTAAGATACAAGAGTTGGGGATGTCTGTTACCAGGCTCCTTCCCAGTAGGACTCAAGTTGTACAATGTTTATTGAAATTCCAGTTATTAATTTCAGAACCACATGGCATTTACACAGATTTTTCCGATTAAACTTTCAGTTGTTTGCTGAATTTTTATTCCAAATGTTCTTAATGCCATGAATAATTTTATTATCCCCGTACCAGACTCTCCTACAATGGAAAATTTGAAATAAATTACATTAAATTACATAAAAATTTTCCTTCTCTTCTCATTTATGATATATACATATAATTATTGTATCTTTTATATATATATATCTATATATATATATATATATATATATATATATATATATATATATATATATATATATATATATATATATATATATATATATATATATATATATATATATATAATTATAGCATCTTTTCTGATTGAAAGGGGGGGCTGAAATAGTCCAATTGAAAGCCTTTACTTCTTCCAGACATACCAAAGAATCTTCCAAATGAGTTGAAACTTTTCTCAACATAGGCAGTTCCAATGATAAAAACAAGCAAACTACACAAAGTATGACACACAGATTCCGGGTTAAATTGTTCCATACCTGCTGATCTATCTCACCATTCACACACACAGGTGGATCTATTTAGTACTGATTATTTTCAAAGGTGACGGGTTTTTAAAAATAACATGACCTTATCCATTTTCAGCTTGGGATACTCTTGCTAACTATAGAATTTGGCCGTAGACGGCATGCAGTGTTTGTTGCATTTTGCTCTTACACAACTATATTCATCTCATTTTTTGTTTACTCCCCTACTAAATAAATAATTTTATTACAGGCATTTCTCACTTTACAATATTTTACAAAATAATTGATATTGGATCTCCTCACTGCCCACATGTGGTTTACTTTCATATGAGAAAGTACTGCACTTAATACAATTTTATGTCTTTTTCAAACCACAGCCCATTAATATCTATATATGTTACCACATCCAATACCTAACCCACAGCTGGACCCTTTCCCTTTTTCTCTTTAAAAATCTGAGGATTTTTGTTTTTTTAACCTTTCCTTCTCATGTTCCTAAATTTTTGGAGCAGGTGATTCAGGCTTTTTTTCTCCCTTGACGCTACCAAAGGTTTTCATAGTTTACAAGTCATTTCCCTCTAAATGTTTGTGAAACATACTTTTCCATCTACCATCTAAAACCACTGCTCCTGTTACCCAGTGTTAGTTAATAATGACCTTTTTCCTCCGGCTTTAGTTCGAACGTGCTGTCTCTCGGATACAAGGAAAAGTAATCATACCTCTCTTGACATTTAAGACGCACTTAAGTGCCCCAGGGAGACGAGAGACAAAAAATTTGACAATTTGCTGGAAGGCATTGAGATAGAAAACCCATGATGAAATCTGACAAATATGAACGCTTTAAGTAAACGCTTTATATATTATTTCATCCTCTGTCCCCCCAAGTAAAACCAGCCTTGCCTTATAATTCATATTATCATAACACACATATGCTATTGTCCTACACATAGTTCTTTGAGGGGTGTGAGGTGAAACCACCTTGTATTATTGTCAATGCCTAAGTCCTTGTCATGAAATATTCTTCCATATACAAATATAAAATACCCTCAACAAGCTTTTTCACCAGAGGAGAAAAGTCTCTTGTATGCATACTCTGTCAACAAAGTAACAAGAGAAAATTGACGTGAAGGATGATTCATGGGCCATTACATGTTATAACAGAGGCCACCATCAGAAACACATTTGATTTCCCATAACCAAAAAAACCTGATTTAATCCTGTCAACCCATATAATCCCCCCACCCCAAAAAAAAATTAAATAAAAAAATCATACACAGATGTATTCTAACACAAAAACAACAGCATAGGAAAGAAAAATAATTAACTTGAACATCCGACCTACAATTTTTTCAAATGAGGGTCTGTACGAGGAAACAAGCATATCGGTGGTATATGCCTTATATTATGCTGGTGGGGGTCTTAATACATTTGAGTCATTTTACAAAATTCAAGGGGGGTATTCAAAATTATAGTTAAATTTCCACATAGCCTGAGGTTTATAGTGATGGCAAAATATTATAAAAGGCACAGCCAATGCATACCACATTAAATGGAGATTATGGCCTTGTCAGCTGAGGTCTTCTGATCATGAAATCTCACGATTAATCTAAGGTTCGGGTGGACTATATATTCATATCTACTCAGAGGTTGTAGGGATAGGCTGCCAAACATTTTCATACTTAATTGTGGTACTAACAACCTAGCATAGGATTTCAGGCAGTGTGCCTTTTATTGTTTTAGCTTCAAAATGACTGAAATTTGAAGATACTACATTATCACGGGGTTTTGCTGTATTACAGGATACTTTTGATTCTTTGTAATGAATATGTTTTTAAAATAAAGGCATCTCTGAACATCATTCAACAATGAGTCCAAGCAATATACACAATGACTGATTCAGTATCTACAGTTTTTTGCATGAAACCAAATACTGCTTTTTGTGCTGATGAGCAAAAAATGTTCATTAGACTAAGTTTGGTTGATGGATCATAGATGAAAATTATTAAGCACAAGCTGAACATTTCCCTTCCTACCGTGAGCTTGAGGCAACACTAGAGGCCTGTGTGTAATAACTCACGGCAGTCTGATAAAGACCTATGTCCATGTTGGCCACAAGCTCACTGGTAGGGCAGATACTACTCTGACCCATAATCACTACAGAATGACAAACACCTGCATAAAGGTATTCTTTTATATTTAATGATATTTCTTTTAAAAGAAAAAAAAATCTCCAGATCAAATATCTAAGTTAAGGAAATGGAGCATACAGGAGGGAATAGTTAATTTTTTTTTTTTTTTTTTGCAATAAAACAAGCCTGAAAAGTTATAATAGTGGCATGTTGCAGATAGGGAAATACGAGGGGCATGACAGGTCGAGGTGATGGTGACACTGTTGGTCATCAATTACAACAGCGAAATTTATCAAACCTGTAACAGCAGCAAGATAAAATCATTTTAAAAGCTTTTGTATCAGTGCATCATTGGACACCATAACCATGCATTAAAAAAAAACAAAAAAACAGCACAGAACAGTAAATAGCTCCATCATGTACTCATTATCAGTTCTAACATGTTTTACATGTTGCTGACGGTGCAAAACCACTTTGGATGCATGATTCAAACAAGATGGTTAGACTATGTTTCTTGAAAGACATTTCTGTCAAGTCCACAGAGCTGGTTTGACCACATGACTATCTCATTTGAATTTTGAATATGCCGGGTTTAGCCAGACTGTCTGGCAGAATGCCCAGATAAAATATGAAACAGAAAAATTGCACCATCTTTGACCAAACCATGAAAAAAGATACATACTTGATTTTGACAGCTTGACTCACATTTAATTAATGGTAACCTTAAGTAAAAAAAATGTTAATTTTTTTACCTGTTTTTGTATGTAAACTTCACTGTCCTGCTGTTGTCTGTCCTGTCTCCAACATGTTCCTTATAAACCTGTTCCCACTTAGATATCACATCACAGATCTGGAAGAGAAAAACAATCTGTTTAAGTAAAAAAGAAACAAGTATAACAATGACTAAATACAGGTGTTTCTTGGTTTAACTGCAAACAGACAATTGTTAGCACATAGGGCTTGAATAAAAAAAAGACAAAAACTTGTATACTTCATCATTCTACACTGGATTAAACTTGCACAAAAATAGATTTCTTTCTTTTTTAATCATGTCAACTCACCAAACTGTCTTTTTCCATGCCCATTGAAAAGATTTCATTTTGGTAGGTGGATGTTTAATATCAAAAAGTTTTGTCATAAAACTGAAAATAATGCCCAACCACGTGATTGGAACCTTTAGTCAAACAAAATGAATCAATAATGAAATGACTGAAGATATCCACATCGCCTACCTTGACATGCGTCTGCAGACAGTGTTCAAAGTCTGCGCCAGTAGGATCGTCCGAGAAGAGAGCAAACCCACTGCTGGCCACGTCTCTCATTCCAAGCTCCTTGTTCAAACTCCACAGGAACTCTTCCACTGTTGTAGAACCATCAAAACTGACCACCTTCAAATGTAAAACTTAAACTATCAACATTTACTTCAACCATCTACAAATATTCAACTACAAACATCAAGACAAATCAATCAGATGAAGTATTTGTCTTAAATAATTCAGTCTAAAGTTAACTAGTGAAGTTAACTGCAAAGGGAAAATAAAAGATGAGGAAAGTCTCTCATTATTGAAGCCATGACGTAATGCGATATAAATGCACGTATCATACCTGGTAAGTTCCATTGAGTAAATGTACAGGTATGCTGATTGGCTGTGAGTGATGATAAGGGTTTCTCAATAAGATGGACAAAATCTCCATCCTGGAGGGTCTGGCATCCCTCACACCTTTGGCTAATGTTCTCTCCAGAGCCCTCTGACAGAACACGCCATACTGGCCTATTTCATTCCTGGAAAATACACCAAAAACAATTGTTTCTTTTTTTTCCATTTATTTTCTCTGCCACAACAATAACTATTATAAAACAGTTTTAAAAATCAAAATATTCATCTGATCACATCACAATGAAAATTATAACTCTTTTCCTGATATTTACAAATCAATACTAATTTCAACATTCTTTATTTGTCAGTCAAGCAACCCAATTGTAATATACTTTTTAAAAAATCTCACAACATTCTTAATCAAAACTAAAACCAAGTTATCAATCATATACTATAATTATGTAACACAATACCAACCTTGGGTCAGCATTCCTCTGTAAATGAGCCTTCAAATGCCATAGCATGCTCTGCTTAGGTAAGAACAGGGACACACAGAGGGCTATCAGTTGCCAGCCCTGGACAAAGCAGAACTGGGGACTGTTGGAGGTGGAGGCCAGATCGGACTGCGACCCCTGGGGCGAGGTGGGCTGGGCGTCGCACAGGGGGAACCAGGTGAGGGGACTGCAGAGGATGTTCAAAGCCTGGAAATTGATGATGATAATAACAACAACAAGAAACTATATACTGTAAAACTACAAAAGTTATTTTATGAAGGTTATTGCACAATCATCCAATTCAGTTAATATGTTCAGATTTTTTTCAATATTTGGGCAAATGTTTGCTTACAGATGATTACTCTATGACAAAACTGTGTCCTTGCGAGGACCTCAGCTGAGTCCTGATGGTTCGTATATTGATTCACCTGAGCAAAATGTTGACAGATATAGCCTCAAAAATATGTGCATATACAGACTAAATAGGTATATAAGCTTGAAATAAGTTATTTTACCAAGAGAAATTTTTTTCTCTACACAAGAAATCAAAATTGAATTGACCAAGAAAAAAAGCTTCAGATTGTAAATACTTGTGTCTGGAGAACTTGCAAAATATTACAAATGACAATCTTTTTAAAAATCCACACACTGTCAGTAGGATATCGATGTCTAAACCCTGTGGAGGAAAATTGTGCCAGCAAGATTTATTGAATGCAATTCTTTGATGTAGCACTGGGCAAACCATGCCAAGTGAATCAAAGGATGTTCACTGTCCAAGAATTATTTTATTATGCATAACACTTGATGCAGAATTCTGCAATGGTTTACTATGTAACTAGTATATATTTTTCTCTATTATTTCTTAGCATGACTGGTAATCTGAAGTGATTAATCATGTTTTTTTTTTATTTCAACTCAATTCTACATCTTATGTGTTGTCCCCTATCCCTCAAATGATTAAATTTCTCAGAAGCCTGGAGCTACTTCAAAGCAAACTAAAGAATCGCCAATCTTAATCAATCTTCTGTTATTAAGTAGATTTAGCACTTACATTACAGCAATAACAAACCACCCACAATGACAAAACAAATATAAATAGCACACAATTTTTTCATTACAACTCCTGTTAGAATTAGTCTATGAACATTATTAGATAACCACTTCATTTAATCTAGACCCCGATTTTAAAAATGCACTTGTGGACACGTTTGTGGTAAATTTGTGTATGAAGCCCAGAATTGCGAAATAATCAAACACAAATGAATGTCACATAACTTACCTGTATTCCTGTCTTTCCCTGGGGTCCAGGACTCTTGGATGTCTGCCGTATGAGCTGGCAGTACATCTCATTCTGCAGCTCAATGTGGTCCATACAGGTCTGCAGCATGTTCTGTGCCAGGGTGACGTGGTAGTCTATGGTGGGAGACTCGATCTGGGTGTTGATGAACAGGTGGATAGACTGAAATCAAAATGAAAAGTTATTCTTACGGACCCCATTCAGAATAGGGTACTAACTAGTCCGAGGGTCAAATATGGTGACCCACTACAAAGCTTGCTACCTAATCTGCTAATAGACACTTAATAGATATCCCATGGGGAAGTATTCAAGTGGGTCAGCCATATTTGACCCTCGGACTAATTAATCCCCTATTCTGAATGGCCCCTATCACTGTTTCAGTTGAAACCTAACAATCTACAGTAACTACAGAATCCAATATGAAAGCTCAGTCTGAAGTCAAACTGATGTTTCACAATTTGTTTCACAGAAGTTCAGTGCAGCATAAATAAATTCAAGGCAAAAGTATTGTTAGAGCCCTATCATAACCTCTAAGAAGCTGTGATGAAGCAAGTAAAGTGAATGTTGCCTTACCTGTGCCAAGTCCAGTGCTTTTCTCTGTAACTGCTCCGAGGGGAGGGTAGTCAGTGGACTCGAGATCAGATTCTTTGTTTGTACAAGAAGGGGGTGTTTCCAATACATGGAATCTGTGAAGAAAAAAGATAAAGAGATGATCTACTATTGACTCAAAGGACACAAATGCATGGTTTTATATGTCATATATTTATAAAATCAAATCAAAAAAAAAGTTTCTAAATAAAAGGAACCAAAGAAAATTACAGTGCTAAAACACACACACACACACACACACACACACACACACACACACACACACACACACACACACACACACACACACACACACACACACACAAGACAGGAAAACACACTAAACAGTGTAACAAATACTGTCTAATACTTCTTACCCAACAAACAACAGGTACTAACAAAAACTAACAGCTGAATACAATCAATTGCTGCTGCAGCAATACCTGTCAGTTCAAAGCTCACAGTCTACCTACTTGGATCTCCATTTGCAGCCATGAGTTTAGCAATCAGCTGTTCCGACTCTGTTCCGATATTTCCCACGTTTCCCAAACCTCCCCCAGAGGCCACAGTCAGGTGGTACAGCCAGCTGTCCTGTAAAGCAGAGGAATAATGAAAGACTGAGAATGAATTTCAATGTGGGTTCAGGACCTCCAGGTTTAAAGTTAGACTAGCAGCTTTTTTTATTCTTGTGAGGTTGCATCTCATTTTAACTTTGAAATTTGAACTGACCAAAAGCTTTTTAGAGGGGCAAACAGCTTTTAGATGACTATAGATGAATGCCTGTGAGACAATAATACTGAATTGATAATCACAATGTTACAGCAACAAGTTTTTATCATAATGATTCTTTACAAAAAAAGGTTAATGCCACAGCCAAATTTCTGCATGGTTATCAAATATGATCACTACATGTAAGAAATGTGAACAGCAAACCAATAATATATTCATAACATTAAAGTAACTTAAATCGAAATGATAAAGATTATCACTGCTTTAGTAACAAACCTTTTCTCTTTTGGTGGGCAGAACTAAATAAATGGGTCCTTCTCGTGGCGGCCATATTGCCAAAATATAGTTGGGCAAATCTGCATCCGAGTCTTCATCGGAGTCAACAGACTTATCAATGCTTTCAATACGGGCACCAAACAGGTCCACCTGTCCCATGGGGGCCTGGGAAGAAAAAGTATTCCTTGAGGTCATAGGGCTATTGACTTAAAGGGATAATAACTGTTCGTTTTGGCCAAAAAATGAATTTTCCTGGAGTAAACAACAATTTTCCCATACTTACCAATGGTTATCAAATCCATTTCTACATTCAAAGTTAGTCCCTGTTTTTTTTTCTAAAAAGTTTGGTTTTATGTTATAATCTCTAACAGATCTAAATGTTCAGCAGGGTAAGGAATGATGATACACACATAAAAAAGAGACTTGGAACTTGATTTTGCAAACATGCAAATTGTAGTGGAAAGAAATACTTATTCCATGAATTCATCCTGCTTTGTCTTTCACAAACACATAGACAACCCTCTGATGACTAAGTGACTACAATTTTGACAATTAGTTCACTTAACCAATTTTGATATCATATTCAAAAGCATGAGTTTACGGCAAATTCCATCTACATCAACTGAAGTTTTATCAATTAAAGTTGTATTAATTACCATTTCATCAGGAGCTTTGGAGTAGATGAGAAACTTGCCGATGAGAACACACCAGCACTTCTTGGCTATACCATTCTTCACCTGTAAGAAAATATAAGATCAGTTACTACTACATCACATGGTGCTAAATATTTCACAGAGGCCTCTTTTATCAAATGACATTTTCAAAATATTTCTCCTCTTCTCTGAAAATGCAAGACTTACTCTATTGATATAATATCTTTGGAATAGCTTTAGTACCATCAAAATAGTTGAAAAAATGCCTTTATATATAAATGCATGCATGTGTGCAACGGTTCTATGCCACGTGCTAAATATCCAAAACTGAATGTGTCTATTCCCTATAGTCCCAGTATAAATCTTACCTTCACAGCCCAACCCTTCATCACAGCTTTGGTATTAGTTTGCTGCAAAACCAAATTTGCAGCTTGTCTTTTCAGCACATTTTGCATAACTGGGGAGTAAATAAATAAATTACAATGTCAAATGGCAGGAAATATTTTTCAAATTTCAAAGCACTACTCCTAGTGTTCTTGTACTTGAAAATAACAAATTCATAAAAACATTAAAAATGATCTAAATATAATTTTGTGCTATTTAAAATTACAGAAAATGGAACAGATTTTACCAACTGATTTTCATACTTTTATTTACCTTTTATCCATTCATCCATTTCCTCTTGAGTATTTGTGGTGAGATAATAAGTTCTCTTCATAGTAACAATCTGAAAAAAGTGATATTTTGACGTCACAATGGAAATCTACTCATGTATATGTTATATTCAGTAGACTGTTTAACAAAAGAATTTAGGACTCAAACTTAGTCTTAACTGGTGTATGTTGACACAGGATAAATCACCAGTATGAAACACTGAAACCATTTCACAAAAAGAAAAAATACAGCTTATGTTTTAGACTTAATTTAAGTACAACTCATTTATCTTGAACTGAAGTAGGCCCAAAATTTTAGAAATTACCTGGGGACCTCTTCCCCACGGTGGTGTTCAATATATTTTTCCACAAAATGATATTTATAACCTTACCCTGTCACATCATTAATGATATAAAACCTTAATGGGATGTCTGGGAGGTGTCTTTGAGAAAGAGGCAAAACTTTGTCTTTGGCACGATTGCAAAGTCGACTTTACTAGCATGTAGTCAGCTATCCAATTTTAGCCAAAGCTAAAACATACCCCATGTCTAACATGGCACCTTGAACCATAATAAATATTTGTTTCTTACCTGGAATGTATTTGCTCCTTGAGACTTGAGGATTTTGGTAGTTCCATCTAGACCAATTATTCCCTGAGGGCGCCTTACAATATCATTCTGAAAAGTTTTTTTTTTACTCAAATACAATACTTGAATACAGCAGAAATCTCAAAGTTCATGCAAGTGACTAATGATTACTTTGGAAGAAATGACTTCATGTAGCAACTGTACTTTATATAAAAAATCCAACTAAATCACGTATGGCAAGTTAAACCATATTGTACAAAAAGAAACAATTTTGAAGTTTGTAAAGCAATGAAAATACTACACTGTCTAAAGGCATCTACATACTGGTGTCTTGTAGTACAACAGCTCTCCATTCTGTAGCACAAACCATCTTTTCTTCCAATTCTTTACTTTTCCTCCAAGTTTGGTTAAATAGCCACACTTCTCAAATCCTCCCTATAATATGTATAAATGACCAAATTAAAAATGCAAAGCTAAAGGACTTAAAATTCTTAATCCATTTTAATGTTTCCTTACTAAAACCTGCAAATGTCATTAGAGAGTGATATCTTTAACCAAATGTTTTAACGAAAAAGAAAAACTTAGCAACACCAAAAAATGATTTGGCAAACACCTTAATTAAGAAAATGACAAAAACAGCTGTCAAATATCAATTTGTGTCTAGAACCATTCAACAAATCAATAGGACTGGTAGGCATTTAAAAAAAAGAAAAAAAAATAGTCTCATTCACTATTAACCAGTCAAAAGCTACAGGATCTTCAATTATATCCAAAATCTCAACTACTAGTCCTATATGACTTTTGACTTTGAAAAATTTACTTTTTTTTACATAACAGACTTAAATATAATGAATTTCCCTAACCTTGTTCATCCCATATGTGGCATATTTAAGCAGTTTGTGTTCAGGTTCAGAGCTATCACTGTCTATGTTCATGGACATAAAGGCGTCTGGGGGAACTGCATAGTCACCTGACGTCTCAGAACCAATGGAATGTGTAGAAACACCTATAAATACAAAAATGAAAAAGTCTCAAAGTTCATTACATTGACAAGAACATAACTATTAGACATAAGTTTAATGGACGCTGAAAAACTATATTCTCATTCAAACATAAAGGCTCCACATATCTTTAAACTATTTCTGAAAATGAAAATAAAACAAAGTAGCGTAACTAGTTGAAATGCTACCATAACATCAACAAATTTTAATTCACCCATGAGTACCCATAATTAGTCTTTACATTTTATGATGCGATTGACATTTGACAATCGACACCAAGAGTTTTGATATCATTTTTTTGAAAAGCACAAAATTAGTAGAAAGAAAAGCTACCTCTCTTTAGAGCTCCAGAGCTAGAGTGATTCATTTGCTGTCTGCTGTCAGAGATACTGGTTGTTGTGGTTGTGCCACTAGGGCCCGCCACTGTCATGATATTCTCGTCATGTTCTTTGGTGTCAACCTGGCGCTCCTCACTGTCATCTGAGGAGTCGCTGGAACTCTCTCCAGAAAATGGTGTACTTCGAATAGGGGCAGCTTTCTAAAGTCGGTGAAGTAATTGTACATAAGAGTGATTTCTAAATGACCAAAACATATATGGACCAATTTCATAATAACAGCTTTGGCAATGAAAATCAAGAAAAAGTTTAAATTTTTGCCATAAATGCCGTTTAACTAATATTCTTAGATATAATATTTTCTTTTAATGTGCTCATGTAAAGTCCTACATAAATGTTTATGTGTAAAAAGTCACTTGGAGAAAGTATCATTTGCCATAGATATTATTCATTTAAAGTGTAATCTGTAGCTGAGAGCAGATTGACAGAGTAAAAATTTTTACCCCTTTCAGAGTAGCATACACTGGTACAGACATATCATCATATGAGTAAAGCCCATCAGATAGTGTGCCACTTGAGTCTGGAAATGTAGAGTAAAAATTTATTATTTATTTAACTCTAAAAACTGAGCCATTCAAAATTGAGAGAATATATCAACAACTTGATTTAAAACAAAAATGTCAAATTTGACATTAGAATTTGCGTTTTATCTTTACTCATAACTGGTCCCAAATAAGTCAAATTCTCACCTGTACTTAATCTGTTAAGTGCAGTCTCAGAGACACTCAACCCTCTACTAGCCAGGGCATAAATGCGACTTTCCTAGGAAAAAAAAATCCACAGATAAATCTAAAAAACTGAATAAATTAAATCTGATGTCTCTCATTTGCTTACATAACCTTTGAATGAAAATTTTTCTTAGTGGACGGAGGGAGGAGAGAGAGATCTCCAAAAGTAAATCCCCCCCCCCACCACCACAAACTCTCCCCCTCGTCCTCATCATCATTTTCCTTACTGATGCCCTGGCTCTACCAGTGCTGTTTATACTCAGACTTACCCAGGATGGCAATCTGTGTAGTGGTGGCTTAGGAGGCAGAGGAGAACAACAACCCTCACTCCTCCTCACACTCATCAAGTCCTCTCGGTCAGTCTCTTCTCCCATCCACGACTCTGGGCTGGTGTATCCCTCGGATTTAGAGAGCAGGCGATCCCAGTATCTTCTGTGTCGAAATGACACTGTGACATCTTGGTTAGGGCTGAATATTGATAACAATGGATGGTACCTCTTGGCTCTAGCAGAAGGTGCTGCCACATAATGGCTGTCTGTGCTGACTAAAGATACAGTGTTAGAAGAATTTGGTGGTCCAACAGGAACGGAGGAGTGGGCAGATGTCATTTCATCCATTCCTGTAATCAAGGTGGTTGGCGAATCAGTGGGCTGGAATGTTGGAGAATTCTCATGACTTTCACCTTCATCCAAAATATCCTGGCTGTCGCAGCTTGACATGGTTATACAACTCGCCTCCTGAAACTGCTTGCGTTCAATTTTAAGTCTCGGGGGTGCTGGTCTTGGAGGAGGAACTTTCTTTGTAAGCACAGGAGGGGGAGGCCTAGGTGGAGCCACCAGTTTTCTCTCCTTCATTTCCGGCGTCCGTTGGATGGATTCTGACTCGTTGTCTGCCATGCAGCCATCGCTGTCCAGGTACTGGAGACTAAGACTGTCGTCAAGACTTATGTCCAAGCTGGAGACATCTTGCTCTTGTTGGCGTAAAGAATACAAAATGGACGGTCTCTGCGGAATGTCTGGCGGCCCACTGGCCTGGGAGAGGTCAGACTCTCTTTGCAAAGAAGATGCATTGCTTTTCTGGAAGCAAATATGAAAGAAGGTAATTTTCCTAGCAGAGAAAAGCTACCATCATATTATGAGATTTCCAAATACTAAATGTTTCAATCTCTTTAATAATGCTTCATCCACCTTTACGAAATTATGTAAACTCTCACATCTTACTCTTTTCCTCTTTTTTTTAAATGCATTCTCTTAGTGCAACTTGAAATAAAGCCTACAAGTAAAATTCCTCATCAGATTATGAATAAAAAGACTAAAGACACAAGACTAAGTAATTCATATCAACAAATCTTACTTACTTGGAGACCAGCTCTGTAGATAATCTTTGCAGCTGAAGCAGGCAATGACTGCAACCTTGAGCGTAACACATCTACTTGTTCTGTCAGAGTAGCACTGGACTGCTTTAATTCTGAGTTCTCTTCCTCTAGCTGTTTTTTGGATGGATATATGGATATAATCCTGATTATAGCACACGGCTGCATTTATTTATTTATTTATTTTTTTAGTTACAGTGATATTACATTTTTAAAACATGTGCTTTGGTCTGTGTGAAAAACTTATAAGTTAATTATCACATCAACTAGTTCCAACATTCATATCTATACCTTTTTAACCAAAACTTATAGTATGACAGTAAAAAATACACAAATGATTAAGAATGTTTTAAGAATGTATATTACTTGCAATAATTATATAAATATAAACAATTATAAATACAACAGTGTACAACATTCAATGGTTTCAAATTGAAAAGGTCAAATAATGAAATTTAAAAAGATGCACCACACCCAACCACTATCATGTAAGTATTTCAATCTAAACATTATGGATCTTACTTCTTTCAGTCTTCCTGCTATAGATTCTTTTATTTTCAGCACTTTCCCTTGGATGATTTTTGCATCTTGATCTCTTAAATGTTTCTGAAATAAACATGAACTCTGGGATTTAAAATTGGCAGGCCATCATAAGCCATCAGAGACAAAATTAACTTTTACTTTAATTAATTAATTAAAATTTCAGCTCTTTTGAGTCTTATAAAGCTACTACAATCTTTCTTGGTTTCAGTATGAGGTGTCTGCCATCTGAAAGGACTAAGTGATTTCTGCAGCTCAAACAAATATTATTTTCGGTTTCCTTTAACATCAAAGCATTACCTGTTCTTCTACTTGTCTCTGAAGATCATATATAATTTTGTCTTTCTCTCGACATGCCAGATACACAGCTTGTATTCTGAGCTCAGATTCCTGCCCTGGTTGCACCTGAAGCTGTTTTTCCAGAAGTTTAACCTGACAATGAGAAATTAGAAAATTTAGTGAGCCGAAGACAGAAAATATCCATGAAAAGTTAATTTAAAGATGAGAAAAGAAAAGAAAAAGTCTTGAATGGCTGATCATATATTTATCCGGGCAACACTATTTTTTCTTTTCATTAAAGTATTTTAAATCTGTAAAAAATGTAATAATAACTATGGTATAAAAACATGAATTAATAGATTTAAAAGTCTGAAATGTTACCTGTTGTTCTGCCAACTGAGCCTTCTTTTCTGCTTCTTGGCACCTGTCACTAAGACTTTCCATCTAAAACAAAAAATATATAAAGATTCCTTAAATTTTCTTTAATAAATTTTTTTCACTCACAAAACAGAACTGCTGTGAGTTAATGTTATATTTAAAAAAAATCAAAAAAAAAAAAAATATTATATCTTTACTCACATATCACACCTGAGAAGGGTATTATACATTTAAGGAGCACAAGATAAAAATCATACTATGAGGTCTTGGTTACGGTAATGTGCCAAACAATTCGACGAAAATAAATTAATTATATTCTCAGCAACATGGCTTTTGTCGAATTGAACGAAATACAAAAATTAAGACTTCCAAGACGGTTGGATTGTTTGAGTCATCCACGAAAACGCTCTTCTTACCGGGAGTACGTAATATGTGTCGCTCAAGACAAGCCGTTCTATGTTATCTTTCCTCTGTTTAAAAATTTTACATAATTTTGTACCTTCCGATAGTATCCAAAATTAAAATAATAATAATAATAAATCGCCGATGTCGCAATACCAAATTATTCACTAAACTTGGGAGACGGTAATTTTTATATTTATATTCCCCTTTATGCCCCCGCACTGTGTACTTCCCGTATCTAAATTTCCCCACTGCACGGAAAGAATCACGGTTAAAATTTGGTAATTGTGCAATTATTTAATAAGCCATGTTAATTTAAATTTATGACCCTATTAATTTTTTACCCAAGGAGAAAAATAAACCTGCAGATCCCCAAAATAAGTGGAAACAATCACTGAAATAATGATGATGCGTAACATAATTAGAAAAACAAAACTAAGTAGTTAAAAAATACCAAATCCTGGTCTTTTATTAATTTCAGTATCTTACTAAAAAAAGTGATATGCGTAAACTTATTTTTAGTGCTTAAAAGTTCAAAATCTCTATGGGAGTCATATCTACATTCTACATTTCTATACATTTTCTTTAAATCTGCATTGTTCATAACTATTAGGCCTGGGTAAAGGTATGAGCATTGCTATTGTCTTTTACAAAAAGTCCTTAAAAGGATCGTCACACTCTGTAATGTCCTCTTGGTTAAATCCTACGAACTCCTCTCCGTCGCTGTCGCTCTCTAGCATCGGTACATGTAGGCCAACGTCGCTCTCCGGCGCTGAAACATCACGGTCTCCCCTTAGTGACTGCAAGATGCCAGTAACAGAAAAAGACTTCTGGATCATGGCTGCGGGGACATTGTCCCAGGCAGCCTTGATCCAGTCGACTATTTCTTGTTTACTGGCAGTCTTCAGTTGGTCGATGCGCCCCTTCGCAGCTGCGACGTTGTCGCGCATCCTCTCCGACCACAGCCGCCTAAGATGGCCTTTGAACGGCTTGTTCAATGACACATCTAGGGGCTGGGCCTTAGAGGTGCATCCTCCAGGGATAATTGCCGGTTTGGCTGCCACTCGCTGCAGTGCACGTGTCACCCTCTCTGTGGTATGCGCAGAAAAGGCGTCCATTACGAGTAGAGAAGGACGTCGTTCAGTATATACCTTCAGGATTTTGGCCACCCATTCCAACATTAGCTCTTCAGTCATCCAGGCTGTAGGGTTTGCTGTTATCAACCAACCCTCTGGCCCCTCCAGCACTGGATTTCTCTTGCCTGAAATAATAAAAGGACGACATCAATAGTGATATTTATAGCTAAACTCCGTTACTGACTGAAATGTACATTTACTCTCAGGGATAAAGAAAACTGCAAAAAGATGTGAATTTTTTAAATGCAGGTAAAGTAAAACTTAGAAATATGTAGATATTTATAACAGTCAGCAATTGCTATTGGAAGTAAATTATCTGTAGATTTTAACAATAACCTAGCACAATTGCCCTCGCAAAACTATACAACTATATATCTAATTGTAGTAATGTTTCTTCATAAATAATCATTTACCAGTCAAACTATACAACATAAAGAGTTTGCTAAATTACCTTTAATTATTATCATGCTAGGCAATTTACTGCCGTCCGCAGCGACGCTCTGAACGACAGTAAAATGTCTTTTTTCGGCCCCTGACGAAATTATCCTGACGTCCTTCTCTCCTCTTGTTTATAGTCTTTGATGGAAGCAAGTCGAAGACCATGGGGACTTCGTCCATGTTTATGATGAAGCGGTCTTCGAAGTCTGACTCCTCTTGCACTTCCCTCAAATGCTGATGAAAGACACCCAGGCGTTCCTGAAGATCGGCTGGAAGACGCTGACTGACAGTAGTTGTGGAGCGCATTGACAGGATGTTTCATTCCATGAACCGCCTTGCCCATCCTCTGGACGCTTTAAAGTCGATCCCTTGAGAGGCTGCTAGGGCATGGGCTTGACTACATAACGTTTCCACGGAGACTGGCAGGTGCAAATCTCTTTGCCCCAGAACCCAGGCAAGAATATCGTCCTCTAATTCTTTGCCCAAAAGACACTTTTTCCCTGTACCTAGAAAAGAAAAAGATCTATTAAGACCTTGTGTTAGCAATCGACCTTATGCAAAATATCTTTATATTCGTCATATTTACTCCCTCTAAAGTCAATTATCACAATGATTTTATATATTGATTTCTAAGAAGTGTTCTCGAAGATTCTATTATATCTGGTACAGGTGACCGTAAACCCTATTCTCCGGCGTGGCAAATTTAATTAAATTGTCTTACACGTGTTTAAAATAAATGTTAGAAAATACGTAATTGGATATATTGTTGTTAAAATCAAAGACCATAATTTAATTATTTTTAATTTCTTATAATCATTACCTTGTTTCCCTTTACAGCTGATTTCTCCTAAATGGTTGAGCTCTGCTATCCACGTGGAGATTGTTGACCTGGGGATGTTGAGTTTCTTTGCAATCGAACAGACGCCATGTAGGGATGCCAATTGTGCGATTTCTTTTTTTTCAGTCAGGTTGTAGCTTCTGTATTTCCCCCGTTTGCTAAGAACAGGAGTGATCTCCGCATCATCCAGTCTGCGCTTAGCTGCTGATCTCTCGTTGGAAAGCATCAAATCTACCACTTCTGGTTCAGCGTCCCGAGTTACCGCAACCTTCTTAGGCCGTCCCACAGGCTGTTTCTTTGGTCTTTCTGGCAGGGGCTCTGAGAGCCAAGATGCTGGAAATGTGTTCTGAACATCCGATGTCTTCCGAAAAAACAAGTCAATCTTCTGTTGAGCCATACTTGAGTGTCTACAGAAGGTTAAACGTGTCCACCTTATATACCCCCTGCAACCCGGCACGCGTAACAAGGATTAATTAGATGAAGGGATGCTTTTCCTGGCAGGAGGTGTTGTAAACATCGCCGTCAGATTACTCCCTCCGATAACTATCTCTTACAAACCGGTAATTAGCTTAAACAACTTACCTGGATTACAGGTATGACATCTGCCTTTTGACATCAATCTTTAATTGAAATCACCAGATACCTTTACTAACTTTACTATAGCTTTACTATACCTATACTTAAAACAAATTTAGAGAGTCAAGGTATTAATGAAAAAGTCCAAAACTAATGCAGCTAATTTAATTTTTTATAAACTAAAAGGTATGTTCTACCAAGCAAAACAATCTTCCAAGGCTTGTAGTCGCAGTGTAACACAAGTGACGTAATATCAGCGTTTTGGGGCTTAAATTGTCATTTTTTTCTCTTAAACCAAAAGCCATATATATACTAAATACGATTGAAAGAGCTACCTAAAGGTAGCACAAAAAAACAGTAAGCTGATTCAGAATTTTCTCTTATTAGTATTACTTTTGATTTTATTTCGATAAAACGTGAATTTCACGAAATATATATGAACCCTCCACTTTCAGTATTAAGAACTTCAAAAATAAAAGGTAAGTCAAAAATTTGAGGGTATTACCTTTAACTGCACATCTGTTGACCAAATCTAGACATAAGCAAAGATATTTCCCTAGTACTCACTTGTTTAGCCAGAGAATGTCGCACCCTGTTTGCTTGTTCCTGAAACTTTTGGAGAGACATTTCAAGAGCCAAACAACGTCCCTCCCAGTCAACTGGCTCCATCTTGTGGTCACCTGAAATACTAAAGAACAGACAAGACTAACAAAAGAAAAGATATTTTGACTGAAAAACAATTTCCAAAACTTTATAAAAACATGTAATAATGTCTTTAAACAAGTTAAACAAGGCATTTTACCATACATTTGAAAATGCATCATGCATACTTATAATGAATAAAATTTACATTTTCAAAATTGATTGCAGAAGTATAATTTTATACACTCCTTTGTTACAAAGGCTTAATAAGTAACTTATGAATTCAAAATTGATGACCATGTCCTAAATATCCAAGGTAAAACTTATGAATTCAAAATTGATGACCATGTCCTAAATATCCAAGGTCAGACAGCATTGAAAGTGATTAAAAGGTTTAAGGAAGTCAGGCTTAAACTCACGCTTAGCAACATAAAGAAATAAAAAAACACCTTAAGTTCTTTCTAAAATATCATATGCACATGTATAATGAAATGTTAGAGCGTACCCTCTGCAACAAGGAGTTTTCTTTGTTCAACTTTCCACACAAGATGCCATCATCTCCCTAAAATAAAAAAAATCATTTATTAAATATATATAAATGAGCAAAGAAGAAAAGAATCTCCACAAAATATATCGTTCAACTTTGTTTTTGTATTACTAAACACAAAATGTATAGTTCCAAAACTATCCACCGTGCATAGTCTGTGTATAGTAGGTTGTCACTATCTCTCACTATACAATCCTGATGTCCTATCGTAATAAAATTAAAACTTCTAACAAACAACACAATTTAACTACCTTGAATCACCAACACATACCAAAATATGCACTCATTTTATGACACAGAGTTCTTCCATGACAAGTTAAAGTGGGACAGCAATATATATGTATATATTAGATGCAGAAATGGGAGCACTACAAAACTGAATTAAAAACCACACAAAGGTGGGATGAAGTCAACTAAGGCCAGAGCCCTTATTTGATCATTAGGCCTTTCAAATTCTAATGCAGACTCTCAAGTCTTCTACCTCTGAAGCCACAATACTGCTATATTATATTCAAAACAGTGCTATATGGCATGAAATGATTATAATGCCCCCAGAGTGTATTCACACCAGGGCTCAATAAGACCAGAAAAAAACCATTTGATGTCATCCAACCACCAAATTGTAAAGAAAATAGGGATCCTCACTGTGTCGCAGTTTTTTTAATAATGTCATGCAACAATAAGTACATTTCTAGTGTGTGTTAGACTGAATGTGAACTCACAAAAATTGGCTATTTTAGCTTGCTGATTACATCATTTAGTCTATTGATTGTAATATTAAGAATTCCATTGAACACAACCTGATTCAGATACATTGATTTGCTAGTGATAGTAACACAATGAAAGTCTTTTTTTTCCTAAGTTAGACCAAATTTGAACATGTCCCAAGTTAGCTATTTTGGCTTACTGGTGACATTAATTACCCTTTTAATCGTCTTACATGGGCCTAATTTGAACACATCTAAATTCAGCTGCATTAGTTCACTGATAACAACAGTAAGTCTATTTTAGTCTTAGTTGATCCTGTTGTGAACACATCCCAATGCAGACACTTTGGGACCTCATGCTGCCATTAGGTTAATTGCCTCCTGATCTCAGCTGGCACCCTGTGTGAGGAGACTGAGGAATGATACAATCTCAGGATAATTTGAGCTTTTCATGACTTTCAATATTGCTGTAATAAGACTGATTATCATAAAGAGTGCAGGACTTTTGAGGGTTGTGGGTCGCATGGGAGTATGGGCTCATTCCCATTACACCTACCAGTCCATAGAGAATGATCCAACTCTGCAGGGACTCTCGCTGAATGCAAACAGTTTTACAGATTCACACGCCTCCCTGATGGACAGTAGAATACAGAAAAGGTGGCTATTATACAAGTAAGTTGGAGACATGTTAATCTGTGAAACTGATTGCATTCAGCAAAAGTCTCCTGAGTTGGATCAATATACTTAGACCAATAGTTGCAATGGGAATGAGCCCTATACATGTGGCTATCTACACTTGCCCTTTACAGTAATGAATAGCTGGAGACAGATCTATCAACATTTTTGTAAAATTTTTTTTCTTAAATTGGCAAAAAGCTTAAAGCCTATTTGGCCCTCTGTACAAATTTCCAAGATCAAATTATTGACAAGAAAATCATTATTAAATTTATCAGTGCTCTTGTCAGCTTAAATACAACTGACATATACTTGCTACTATCTTTTTCTTTTATGTCAACATATTTAACTGTATTGCAATACTTCTCTAACTTGATATTTAACCCATTACCTTTTACAAAACACTATTACTCAAACTGTACTAGAGAGGATATTCATCTTTACAGAATTCGTATACATGTTGTACCCAAAAATGCTACCTTCTCAAAGTAAACATTTTTTTCCTCAGCTTCTTTGCAAATGCCCTACCTATAAACATAACATGACCAACCTGGCACCAAACATACACAGTGACATAAATAATTTATCTTATGTTGAATTAAGCTTAGACTACTGCCTACAAACTTAAAAATTTTAAAGCAAACATTTACCATCCTACATTTCCTCTTTTGTTACACCTTTAACAACCCCCCTCCACAAAAACACATGCATGCACACACACACACATACAGAGAGAGAGAGAGAGAGAGAGAGAGAGAGAGAGAGAGAGAGAGAGAGAGAGAGAGAGAGAGAGAGAGAGATGAATTAATAAGATGAACTGGTTTTACTTTTTCCGCAACTAGTTTATAAATAACCTGCAAGTTTTTCACACTTATTAAAAAATTTTAGTACGGTATATTATCTTAAGGCATTACAATTCCATATTTGAAACAGGCAGTTTTCTAACACCTATCATATAAAAAAACATTTATCTCCTCAATAAATGATATCCCTCTTCCAAAAATAAAATATAGTGGTTCACCTCACCTGGCCCCCGTTTTTCCATTAAAAATGGTAGTACCCTACTCTCTCCCCCCGTCCCCTGCTCCCCTTTCAAGTAGCATCTTACTTTGAAACCCAAACAAAAAACATCTTTATTTTCATCTTTTCTTTACTGACTTTATTACAGTTACCCTCCCATTTATACAAGATATTTGTGACTTTATTTCAACTGCCCTCCCACCTAAACACAAAATATATGTATCAATCTTGCCCAAATGATATGAAATGAATTTTATGATTGATAACCATTAAACACCATGTTATGTGAATCTTACTTCATTAGTAATAAAAACCTGTAATTCAAAATCGTGCATGGAAATTAATTTTGGACAAACTACCAAATAAACAAGCCAAAAGGTAAAACGGTTTTTCACTTATATCATGTTATTGGTGTTGCATATGTGCTGAAAAAAAGTGAAAAAAACAGCATACCTTCCATAAAAATGACCCAATCATGCTGATTTTAGAACTCGACCTGTGTATAATAGATATTCATCAGTTCTGTGAGTTTCAAAAGGAAAAATGGTTTTCCACTTATGGTGTTATTGGTGAAAGTGCATGGCGACAACGGTGACGACAGACGCAGGTGACGGCTATGTGTACCGACACATCTGTGTCTGTACATAAAAATGAAAATTAATGTGATTTGGAAATTAAAGTAAGGGCTATCAATACCCCGTTCACACTACAGTCATTTATTCGAATAAATAGCAAATTAGGTCCCGATTCGAATAACTGTAGTAGTCTGAAGTGCGGGTATCTATGAATACTGGTTTATAACTTTAGCGATTGCACCAAACGTATTTGGAGGTCACCACTCACTACAACATGAGGAAACAAACTTATTTTGCCATCTTATACTTCCCAAGAATTTTGGAATGTCTTTTGAGTTGCATTTGCCGTTACAAATTTTTGTTGGCATTTTGAGTTTTCCTGTGAGGTGCATGCGTGAGTGTTCAAAACAGGAAGTTAAACCTGAAATTTTCAACATGGGATTCGGTTTCGCTGCTCATGTGTGAACGCAATACAAAATTGCCAAAACTGAACACAACTTACAATGAAAGTGTCAAGAGCTTTATCAAAATTCATTTCACAAAGAACAGGCCTGCCCAGTGCAACTACCAGACACGGCATGGAAGGATCCAGAATTCACCATAGAAAGGATCATGCTACCAGATTTCAAGGTGTGTATCAATACTCGCTTCTAAGTATCAGATGCAGCATCCTTTTGCCTGGTACATGATAATAGATAGGATAGCGATGATGGGAGGGTACCACATCTGATACTTCAAGTGTGAACAAGTCTACGGTGAATTCTGGATCCCTACGTGCCACGTCTGGTAGTTGGGAAGACCTGGGCCCCGTAACTCGAAAGCATCGAGTGCAAGTGTCTTGATTCCATAACTCGCCCATACCCGCCCCATATAATACACTGTAGCCTCTATGTGATATCGCTATTCGCAATATGCAATGCTTTAGAGTTACGGGGCCCTGGAGAACTTCTTACCAATAATAATCAAGTCCCTTTCACTTTAAATGATGTGTCAAACATTGACTTCAGTATCTAACCCCAATGGTTCTATAATTCTTAGGAACACATTTAATCACAATAAACAAATTACAGCAATGTTTTTTTTTTTTAATTACCATAAAGACCTCAAACTCCTCAGGTAAAAAAATTGACTGTTAATTAAACCCTGCACCAAATGCACACACAAACACAAATAAAAATCACTAAACATTAACAAGATAGTAATTGGAGGTTCATATCTCATAAACAAAACAAATTTGAAGCAAAGGCTAGAACCAGATCGAATTTTAAACCCTTATCGTCAATCATATCAATATTCATGATGATATCTGGCTCAGTTACAGCGCAAAATGATCACTATCTTACACCAATTTACAAATTTACTGAGTACTAGTAGTTAAATTGATAACAAATGTGGATGGGGGTTGGGGTACAAAATAAATGGGGAAAATTTGCTTTGACCGATTTAGTCATATTATTGTTTAGATATCCCTTAGAGATACTTATATACAACTAATATACAATTTACACAAATATATAATCTTACTTTGATTTATAACAGTCTTCCCCTATACACTGTAGAGTAGCAGTGACCAGCTATGCAGTGACCACATGGAGCTCCATCAGACTGGTCATTTGTCAAGATGACAGCAGTGATATAGAGACAAGACCAGCTGTGCTTGGGCGATGACAAGGTTATATAGAGTTCAGTCACTACCTGACTGCATGCATCACTGGGATCATGGATGACAGGAAGAAATATATGTCTGTCTGTCTTTGTGCATATGTGTATATGTATTTAAGTGTTTGTGCAAATGTGTGGACAAGCACATATGTAGAAATATTATGTGTACATGTGCCAAGCAGCACACAGATGTACATCTGTTTACAAATAAATATCACACAGACGTGAGTCTAAGACAAGGTCAAGAAGCCAATTGTGCAAAATGAATAGTACAAATATTTATAACCTACATAAGATTCTTTATATATTGCATATAACTTTTTGAGCAGACAAAGAACCATATGATATATGATTGTCATCAGAGCACATAACATATATATAATATGGTTACAAACAAATGGAAATAAACAGAAAAAAGGGCATGAAAGCTGTCAAATGTACAGACAAAATGCAGGTAATAATAATGCACAAATTAGGTTATTTTGTTGCAGTATTACATGCTGAGAAAGAGAAAAAATCAACACCGAATTTAAATTATGTAAAACAGATTTTAAAAACAGTAAGAATGTGTAACTAGTATATGACTTCTGGGCCATGAGAGTTCAAAAACAAACCATGAAAATCCAAATATTTGAAAAAATTTAACATTTCACAAAAATATGCTGCATAACTTTAGGAAAAAGAACACAACCGGGCTGGTTTCCAACTCAAGCTGTATCTATGTCTTAAGAATCACCTTTGTAAGTTTGAGCATACGTAATAATAATAAGCACAGTTTTCCTTTATACTGCTTATGGGCTGGCAGTGCACAAAAAAGTATTTATGTCAATTTAGATGCAATAGAACATAATGCTCAACCACACAATCACAACCAATTTTTATTATGCGTTGCAGGGAACACGTACAGACTTTCAGAAAATGCAATTAGCATAGGGTCCCAGAACCATAAAAATGTCTAGAAAATGTCCATAAAAAGGGCTAGAATCTACCATACACTTTGATAATTAACAATACAATATAATTTGAAAAAATAAAATTTTCATGGAATTATTCTTTAACCTGCACATGAGTGATTAATCATATCATAATTTCTCAAAAGTGTGTTTTGTTAGCATCATTTGGAAAAGGTAACAGAAATTTTGGAAAAAGTAAATTGAATTCATGATATTTATTGTACTTAAGTTTTAAGTAAGACCTCTTTCACATTGAGGGGTACAGTTTACTATACTGCTTCAGTTTGCAATGTTGACAACTTAATATCAAGACACCTAAATGAAGGGTCCACACTTGAGAAGGCCAGGTAAACAGAGTAATTTTGATTTTACATAGGTGCTTGTGAAAGGGAGTAACATGTACACCTTTCCCTAGCGTAGTTATACTAGTAAGTTAGGACCAGTCAAGCTGGAACAGTTCAGAAAACTGTATCCTTGATGTGAAAAGGACCCAAATTACAAAATATTATATAAAAATTTGATAAGCCCTCCATTGTTTGTCACTGCCATTTCAAAATTTGGAAATTCAGTGGTTTAGTACTATCAAGTGCAATGTCATCTGTATAAATGTGTTTAGATTATGTAAATGTTCATATGATGATGCATAAAAAAACACAACCTTTGGTGTGGACTATCTAATGACCCTGAAGTCAAAACTATAACACATTATTCAGGCACCATTCTCCATGTTAACTGAATACCAAAAGTTTGTCATAAAAGTGTTAGTATCTAAGTAGAAGTATAAGGGCATTGGTATGGAATAATGAAAGCCTTTACCTTTACAACACCTTCACTTTTCATGTGTACTGATAACAAAACTCAACATAGCATGTAATATTATGACCTATTCCCTCTGCCTTTTCATTTTAGTTCTTATTTATATTTTAAGAGTGACAGAGATTAGAGACAGTGAAAATGTAAACAACTACAACTGTATCGCTGGGCATGACAGAGCACACAACTCAATGCAGGCAAGTAATATCGATAAGTTGAGACAGGTGTGTAAAAAATAGCGGTTCGCACCTTCACCTTGGCTTAATTTCACGACACCTAACTCCCGAGCCGGACCGAAAACTTTTCTGATGAAGGCCAAGTTGCGCTTTAGATACAAATACAAAGCACCTCATTCTTCAACTATAGTTAACCAGAACACATAACTTCATAATACGCCACTATCTACTGCAATTACTAGCTTCGTGAATCTATGGTTTAAAATTTTTGATACATACCTCGTTATCCAGGGAGGACAGGTGCCATGCGAAGCTTACAAACAAATATGGCGAACCTGCACACGACCTTTGACCTATGACCTTACGTCTGCAGGTGTATCTAGATGGCGTTGAAGTCATGCAACACACTTTTTAGTAAAGTCACATATTAAAAAAAAAAAAAATAAAGCAATGAATTTGCCATTCTAATTCATTTTTAACAAAAACAACGCAACTGCATCCAAGAAAAAATTGAAATCTTATCTAATCAATGGAACAGATACTGGTAATATGAATTTTATGCTTTTTACTTCAGTAAATTTTTTTCAGATCTGGGAAATAAAAGCAATATGCAGAAAATATTCAAAAAATTCAGTTGGTTTTGTTGCAAAAGGCTTCTTTGAAGTCCCTTTTTTATACTGTCAAAACCAATCCAATTGTCTGTAAGTCAATGAATCAGAAAGACTTCGAGGACAATTAATTTTGTCTAGTCATTTGATGTTTCATCTTCATTGTACTTCTGCATTCTTTCTTAGATTATGAACCAAAATGCTTTATGTTATAATTGCAATTTTTCAAAAATATCATCTTACTATATTTGAAAAATTAATTTGACCTGTCAGTTACAGTTTTTAGTAATATCATACCCTGTCCATATTTAACAGAAATTTCCCCCAAAACACTGTAAATTTGCTTCAGTTTTGTACCATTTTATATCATATATCTCAAGCATGTGTGTAATCATGAATTATAATATCCATACATGACTCGAGGCAGTTGCAGTTTTACAAAATATTGAAAATATTTATTTATTAACTTTGGTACAAACATATTTCTAAAAAATAATTATTAACTAAAAAATACAATATATTTGTATATAAAAAATAAGACAATGAAAATAAGCAACATGTGATACTTAAGTTGTTTTGACTTATAATGACATTGAATTGCATGGGTTGAATAAATTGCACATGCTGTACTTATACAATATAGTGGCTAAGTGGTGGCTGCAAGGTGATTGTTATACAAGTTATTATTATCATTCTTACTATTCTCAAACTTAAATAAATTGTTAATATTGTTTTACTTAACCAAATGTACAGATTATGAACTTTGAAGCAGTACGTACTACATGTATCAGTACCTCATAACTGTAAAAAGTCCACAGAACATTGCTTACATGCTTGACAATAAAAACTAACATTTCCACAGGCTTTCAGCAAGGAGTACTCTTTAAGGACATTGAGTATGTTTGTTACCCTTGCCTTCTCACATCATTAGTCAACATATACTGAAAATATTTAAATCTTTACTTTATTTGAAATCCTGCTGAAGAAACCATCATCAAGATTTCAATTATGTAAAGGCCTAAACATCATGAATATATTTCAGTAAAAACATTACTGTACAGTTCCAAAGAAAGTACCGATATTTCTCATAACTCAACACAGCTAAAAACCATCAGAGTTGACACATTGTAAAGCTAGTCTTACCAAGGGTTCTCACTGCACAAACTAGAGGAATCTTGATAAGATGTGTTTATAACACCTAATATTTACTTTTGTACTACTTTCATTAAAATGTTTTAGTCTAAATGACCTGTGAAATGTACATAACCAAAATAACTTTGTCATATTGCATTAATTTACCATGCATTTATCTATAGTCAGCAATTTCTTTTCCTGCAAAAAAAAGGCACCATTTCACCTACAGTGTACTTACATGTAGTTGACCCAACTTGAGAAATGGCATAGAACTTAGTTCAAATTAGAACTTCTCCAGTGTCTACCATAAAATTACATCATCAACATCATACAGTACATAGTACATCAAAGTGATCAAGGTTATAAAGCTCCTGGAAAATACTTCAACAATTTTGAATTAGAGCATCACATGAGCTTGAATGCTAGGAAAAATACATGTACAGTGAAATTCATAATTCTATAAAAACATCAGACGGCCGATTTTAAGACTGCTTGAAATTCAGGAGCCATTCAAAATTCATGGCACATTTTTTAATGTTAACCTAGTTATAAAAACCAGAACCACTAAAGGGCTTGAAAGCTTATTTAAACTACATTAATAAGTTACATAACTATAATAACAGTAATAACTTAAAGTACATATACATGTATGTGAATGAATTGCAACATACTTCAGTAGATACAGGTAGCAATATTACTAAGAGCTGCTATTCAAAATTCCTGATACTGCAGGCAGTAAGTGAACATCAAATCGTATAATGCCATTGTAAGAGGCGCCTACCGCCCATATGAGGGACAGGAGGGTGGAAAAATCTTTGATCCTTATGCTTTAAGCCGATTAAAAGCAAACTGGCATGAGAGCCCTAACGCAATGTCCATACTTAGTACCCTGCAGAAGACTTGGGTATTGGTCAGCCAGATCACGTGACATATTTGAAATCACTGGCAGTTAAGCCCGGCAGTGTCCCTCTTGTGGTGATTTTAAATACCATTCCCACTGGGAAAGGGCACTTCATGAAGTTATCAAGTTTTTTAACAGGTTTGATTGCACCATGCACCTTTTGTCCTGTTGTTCTTGGTCTACATGTACATTCCATTCCACGGCTATAGTGTTACAGGTAGATCTACCCAGTATACTCAATTGGGTTTACTTGGTCTTTCATTCTCTAAGATTTCAATTTCTAGTTGCAGCTTTTTTTGCTTTAATACCATTAATTTTGTGCTTTCTTCAAGGTATTGTTTATAAATTTCGTAAATTTGTCTTTTTGTGGATTTGGATTGACCTGGCAGCTGCAAAATAAACAACTGTACAATAAAAAACTTTTCTCACAATTTATTGCATGCATACATGTAGTTCGTAAATGACAGTAATGGGAACATTTATTTCTTGAGTGCTTTTTAGTTCACTAAATTTATTTACTGTTCTGTCAAAAATATACATACTTACACTTTTGTTACTTTCATTTTTTCCTGTATTTTCATCTGTAAGCATTTCATCCTGTAAAAAGAAAATACCTCAGCTAAAGGGACCTCAAACCAGCAGATATGGAGTACATAATTTTAAAAATGTCAGCAGAAATCAACTGTAAAAATGTGCGCATGATGTGGGGTTATAACCTTTAAGCAATAAGGGTGAAACTCACTGCACCATGAATGTCTTCTTACATGTAGATACAGTACAATATAAAAGTAACACAGTTATTTGTATAAAAGTGAATGTTATGCAGCTAGCATACTGGCAGAATATTCAATTTGTAACTTACATATTAAAACTTTGTTACAGTTGTGAGTAGTTGCATCTACTTTATTTCTAATACTTGTCTACTATATTGAACTCAAATAAGTAAAATTGTTAAATAAAAAAATGTTTATATATATGCTGCACATCACATTTGTTTTTGAATTTTACTTACCGGGGGTACACTACCTTCTTCTGATGCCAGATTTTCTTGCATCACTTAAAATGATAAGACAAATCTTTTTTAGTTACAAATTTATATGTGCACAGTATATGTGCATAGTGCATATGCACAAGGACATTCAAAAGATGTTTAAAAATTAAGTGTGGAATCATTAATTATTAACATTTTAAAATGAAGTCTGATTTTTTATTTAACTGAACTCAGAATTGAATGTTACTTTTTTGGTCTAATATCTTTATGGGACCATTTCCAGAGACTATCGTACTAACTTTGGATCGATCTATCTCCGAGGGGATTCGCACTAAACTGCTATCAACCTAAGTGGCTTAAATGTCTGTCATACCTACTAAAGCTGTTAGGGGGTAATTAACTACCAGAGGCCAAGCGTGCACGAAAGTTAATTACCCCCTAGCTGATTTGTGATACATTTTATATTTAAAATAAAACTTGACTCATGAAAATGTAACTTTTCTCCAACATTTCTCACCAAAGTATAGCCCAGTTTCAACTGAAGATGAAGGCCTTGAAAGCCTTCCTTCCATATCTCTTATGATCTGATCCTCTGCAACAGACAGAGGAATTGTTGGTCCTCCCTCAGTTTGGTGTCTACACGAAGCATTCCTCTTCCTTTTGGCTAAAAGAGAGAGAAAGAGAGATTTAGGTCATTTTTTATGCGTAGTATAAAATATGTATGATACATGTTCATATATTTATTCTCCCATTTCAAAGCAGCAGCGACTGATGCAGCTGAACTTTAAATCCGTACAAAAAATGGACTGCATATAAATATTGAAATTGCCCAAGCATGTTTATCGAACACTGCCATACATGTAGGTACATTTTTTATTTGTAATCCAGAATTTCATTCATCTGATATTGCTTCTTTGAAGGCCATCACTATGATCTTGAAGTAAAAAAAGTAAATATCCAACACACAATTTCACCAAAAATAGTAATTTAAGATGTGATAAATTAGAAATTTATGTTGTTAGCTTACCACTTTGAACAATGTTTTTATATTTCTTTCTGACTTCCTCAGTGCTCCTCTTGATGGAAGGGTTCATGCTTTATACAATGACAGTGTAAAATATCAAAATCACTGATATCAAAATTTCAAGCAAAAACTGATCTGCAAGATGCCTGTTGATAATATCTATTTAAAAGTGGTCTTTAAAGTCAATAAAGTATGGAAATGATAAAGGACAAGCATTCTGAAAGGGGAGTTGTATTATTTTGTAGCATTCATGATTGATAAGATATAAAAAATGAAAAGAAAAAATTGTCAAATTCTGAAGGATGCAATATTTGTGGAAAAGCATTAGCAGTGTTATACCCCAGTAAATATGTTATGAATATTTAAAGCATTTCTTTGGGAATTTTACTTCATATTATTATTATAAAAGAATATTCTAACATTTGCAATGACTTCCAACACAGAGAAAACAACAATGTACCTATTTAAAATACAGGCAATCTCTCCCCATAATTCACGTTTACGACTTAGGGTTATCTTTGAGAAGACTTTTCCCTCAAGCAGGTCCCTTCTTTTGTTGTACTCTTCCACGAGAGTAACTTCTTCCATTCTGGTGAAGCATGGTTTTCTTCCTGCCTTGGCACTGGAGCTTGGTGAGGGTTGGTTGCTACATAATTCCTGCAAGGGAAACAATTAAACCACAGCTGCTGGGTAAAAGCTTATATTCAATTTCAAATGAAAATTTCACTGAGTACTAGTGCATCCACATGTATACACAACACTGAACAACCAGCAAGGCACTACAAAGTCTTGAGACAAATATACTATTCTGTTATTTGAAAGAGTTTTGTTTATAGTTTTAGTTTATAAGAAATATTGATACTGTATATCACTTACCATGCTTGAAATGTCTCTGCTTTCTACCTGAAGTAAAACATTATATCTGTGAAGCAACATTTACAATAAATGTACTTATACAATAGTATTTTAGTACGTGTCCTGCCAAAATAAGCACATTGCCAAAATACTCCATAGGTACTAGAAGTATCATATGTGTATTCTACTGATACAGTGAAACTGTTAAATGAAATATTGTCCACAATTTTTCTTAAAGGAACACCAAAGTAATCATTTTAAATTTAAAACAAATTTGAAAAATATGATGACTTGGAGGGTATAATTTTGATGACTATCTTTCAAAATGTGTAACTAACTATTTGCACCATTACATATACAATATATTTAATTTGGTGGGCATAACATAAAAATCATTCTCATGCCACCCCTAATTTTTACCACCCTTCTGTTATGGTTATTTCTAAATTCATACTATTTTAATGTTTTGAAATATCTAAAACTGTGCTGAACAATCTCAAAATCTGCTGTTTTTTATTTTTGTAAGACAAACACTGTACTTATTTTGGGATGACATACTCAATATGAACAGCACTGTATCCATGTACATGTACATTTCCCGTGCCTGGCACATTCAAACCATTAAAGGCAATTCAGTGCTATTACTTAGGCTTTCCTCTGTCCTTTGCATTCAGACCATGGCAATCAATATGCTGTTCATAAATACTGCATTAATATTATTATTGTTATTAATTGTTTATTTATTTTATTGTGATTATTATCATTGGTCAATTAGCCAAATTGTCATGTTATGAGAGGTCGACAAGACACGCACACACCCAAAAAAGGAACAATAATACAGGACAACATGCTCAACTTAGATGTTAATACATCACAATTATATAAAAATTTAACATAAGTGTTCTCTGAAATATATCTGGTGCATCAATAGGCTTTCAAATTCAAGCTTCATTCCTTAACCAAGCAGGGGCCGACCAAGCAGGTATCATAGACTTTACACACCAATTTTACCTATTCGGATTTCTACCACACCCAAATCTTATTTTTTAAAAAGACCAACGTATTATATGAAAAATTTATTATTATTAAAATATATTTTACATTTTTACCTTTGTCGTGGTAATTTAACTCGAATGATTGAAGCAAACCCTCACCAGATTCTGGCAGACGACAGCGATTTCTTCCTCCTTTTCAAAAAGATTTTAGCAGGCTGCTGGAAGTGAAACGCTTCTAGAACAATACGTGGCCGGGTATCTACTTTAAGCAGTCTAAGCTTAGCCCAAAAACGTTAAACTTTTATTTAAAGTAACTTTCACAAGAATAGCCAAAATACTAAAACCAAATTCAGCGAAACTCAGCGTCTAGTGCTCTCCTAGTTTACAGCGACATCTATAGATTTACTTCCTCGAGACCGAATTGTTTGAAAATGGATGCCAGAATATAGCGCAAGTAATTCACCTCTTCACGCACGGGCTGTAGATTATACTACGAGATCTATGGTAGGTACTTTACACTTTGAAACAATTTGGATTAGGGTTAGAAACCATAATAGACCTTGAGCCTTTTATTTCTTGCTGTTTCTTTATGTTTTTCTCATTCAAATGTAGAATCGATTTACATCTATTTACATCTAGTAGTAGTATTTATTAACACTCTTTTCTTTAACTATGATTTAACCTTAAATTTTTTGTTTATTTCTTTTTGCAGATGCAGCGTAAAGGAAGTAAAGGTAGTTTAGGTTCCCCAAGCCCTGTTACAGGAGGAAGTCGTGCCAGTGGTATCAACAGCACTTCACAATCTCCTGTATCGGCGCACCCAGTGTTACCACCAATAATAACAAATGAAGCTGACAGGTACAAATACAAGTGTTAAGACAGTAAGAATAAACTAGAACTACAGTGAAGCAGCTACACTACATGACGGAAAAGCAATGGGCTACCTTGCACAGATGCAGTCTCATAAGCCACTTACCAGGGGCGGATCCAGAGCTATTTACTGACAGTCTTCCGAATTATTTTTGTTGATTCATCCTCCAATTTTGACCGTCTTCCAACAGAAAAAAATGAGATACCCGTCAATGTTAACTTGAAAATCTGACCGTCTTCCGGAAGACCCAGAAGACGGCCTAAATCCGCCCCTGACTTAAATTACTGTACTGTTCTATATACAGCAGCTTGATATGGCTACCCAACATATAAGCTTAAAGACTCCCATCAGACTACCGGTAATTTGATGGGATGATGGGATGAATAGAATAATTTTGGAGACTAGTGTATTACTTAGAAAAAAGAACACTATACAGTAAACTATTGGTAGAAACAATTGAGGAAATCCGATATTGAACACATCTTAATTTTTTTACATTGTCATGCTAAATTGTGCTTTTTTTTCAGGTTGTTTCTTCAGGAACTAAATATGTTTATCAGTCATGAAATGAACAAGGTAGACCCAAATAATGCAGAACAGAGATACACTGTTCACAAGGCAGCATTTGATAGGGTAAGTGAAGAATGATTGCTGATTAGCAGTCATACTAAAATGCACAATTCAGCACAGCACATTGCAATGCACCAAGGAGAACCACTTTAGACATGAGTGAACATATCAAAAGTTCACTGACATGAAAAAAGGGTGATATAAAAACAAATTATATTACTAGGTAATTAATATCATTCATCAAACTTGACAAATAGGGATGGTTTATTTATGTCAGGGCATCAGCCAAATTGTCAAGAAGAGCCAATAGCATGCAGTTCTTTGTGAGTAGATAATATGGCAGATGACCCGAGGATAGTCAAATCATACCAATTTCTTGTAGGATGAACAATATTAGTTGCCTAGTAATACATTTCACTTTGCTATCATCCTATTTTCTTGTGAATGGTATTTTCCTGTGTTTACTTGTGACCAGACCCATTTTTTCTGGTATGTTTGTTGCACCACATGTGTTGCACTGTATCATGATATATACCATATTTTAGTATGACCTATTGATAAGATGAAATATTGTACAAAATTGCACAACAATCTTTCATTAACTTTATTCGATTAATGATTTTTCATCTTTAATCAAGAACAACATATCTGAGATATGTACATTTATAAATAAAAATTATTTATTCTCTTTTTCTTATTTGAAGGTTGGGAGCTAGATAATTGTATTTTTTTGTCATTGTTCACAGATACAATAAAAGTAACACTTTTGTAGGTGATTGAGCATGTCACAGCTTATAAACCACTTCTGACTGCTGTGAAAGCTGAATATGAGGAATGTATTGACACCATCCTTAGGGGAAAAAGAGAGGCAGCTTTTTTAAGTGGAAAATTGAGAGCAATGGCATCAGAGCCTTCCACCAGGAGGAACTACAGGAAGAGGGCAGATGAACTTGAACATAGGTACTAGTATTTTTCCTGTTATTGTCTTGAAATACAGTAATTACTCAATCTTTTCAATGGGGGGAAATTATTAATTTTACTCTATTTTTTATGTCATAATTTCTTTTAATATTAAAATATTAGAACATACCTGTTGAGTGGAAGCAACAAAATTAAAAAGCAGTGTACTCTATAGTTCTTTTCTAGGCAGTAAAAGCACCACAAAAATGCTTTATAGAAATATAATTTTGTGATTATAAAATTATGTATCTGAAAGTTTGATAATTTTTGTCCATTGAAAAGATTGAGTCATTACCGTACAATGTTATTCATGTGATAGCACTTAAGAAATCCACAATTGCAAATGTAAATAAGTTCACCAGTATTTCCTTTAAAAAACAACAAAACTAGGGACATAGGCTGAACAAATCCAAGCAGGCTATTTGTACTGCCTGCTGTACTCTAGACACTGTCTGGAGGGAAAGTATGAAATTTTTGATGAATACTGGGATGAGGGGCAAACACTTCATAAAGAGCCCCTATATTTTTTTCCAGAAATCTCTGGGTGGGCATCTTTCTTCCTTCCTGTCCCCCAATCCCACAACCTATGACCCTGAGGACACAGAAATCTCTCTCTCTCTTCTCTCTCTCCCCTCTCTCTCTCTCTCTCTCAATTGTGCTTGGTTTTATTCTGAAGTCACAATTTTTATGTTGGCAAATAATTTTTCAGACTTTCAATTGTAAAAGAAGACAATGAACGCCTGGCCAAACAACTGCAGAACCTGAGAGAGGCTAGATTGGAGAGAGATAAACAAGAGAGAGTGATGACCAATCAAACTCCTAAGAATGCTGTTAAAAAAGAAAGGCAAAGAGTACCAGGTAGGACATTTCTTAAGATTAAGTGTACAATATGCCTTGGGTATGTGCATTGTGTGCATGTCTGATACATTATTAGCATGTTATCTTCCTAACTACTGTAGTACAACTGTTGTTAGATGGCTTATAACACAGTGTTACACTGGCTGTTTGGTTAATTGTAACAGTTTCATATTGTCTGTATTCCTCTAAACTCAGGGGCACAACATTTGTTTTTGTATACATAAACTGTTCTGGTACCTCTGAGTCATTTTGGTCTGTAAATGGTTATCAACAGTCCACTTTACATCAGTACAACTATGGGTAATGTACATGTAGAAGCTGATTTTGTCACAATTATTAACTCTTGCCTTGCATTGATTTTTTTCATTAGCTAAATGACTGCCACATTATTATTTGAAAATATGTTATTATCAGGGTTGACAACAGAGCAGGCAACAGATATTAAATATCTAAGCAAGGAACTTGCTAAACTTGAACAACAAGCCAAGGAACTGGAAATTGCTCAGAAAACAAAATACACTGGAAAGGAGACCAAGGAAAGTCTTAGAGAGCAGCTAAGTGACAAAGTATCTCGTAGGGATGAACTGGAACAACGGGGGATAATGTTGAAGGTACATTTTATTTTCAGTGTTAATCTTGGGGGATGCTTGATATTTTGAAATATTGGTGAAATGATGAAAGAACATAACACAAGTGATTTATACTGACAAATAAGATATAAGTGTTTTGCTTTGACTATGCTGTTTTAACAACATTTTTGGAGGGGACGGGGAGAGATCAAATTGTCTTCCATGAAATCAATTACACCATTTCTCATTAAAAGTGTTAACAATACAGTTTCTTGATCAAATGTAAACTTATTCTTACCAAAAGGCTAAGAGGCAGAGATTGAGGACTGCCCTGGATGCCGCACAGCACTACCTTAAGTTCCAGCCCCTCCATCAGACAGTTGGGGATGCTGTCATGGTGGCACTGGCACAGAACAAAGGAGATAGAGGTAACATATGTATGGGTTCTACAGAGGAGTATTTTGAAGTATGCATGCAATACAATTGGCAGATCTAGGATATTGCTAAGGGTGGGGCACGTATAAAATGATGAATAAAGACAATGGTACTGTAGAATTAAGTGGGCACAGAAATGGAAAATTGCTTCATGTTGGCTTTGTCTTTTTTTTTTTTTTTGATATGATTACACTACAGTTGTATCCATTATTTGACAGTCAATACATTTTAAGAGAAGACTTACTTACAAGCTAACAGTTTTTCAAAATCAATATTCTGTCAAAAAAGCAAATACATTGTATAGTGCCATAAAAAAAAGAAGAGCAGAAAAGAAAGCAGAAAAAACCTGTGAGACCCAGAACTCTATTCATAGGTACCCCTGTTTTTTGTATCTGTAATAAAATACTAAAATCTTTTATAGGCGTGTCTCACACTCTGGTTAGGGACACTCCCAGTACCTCATTTGATGATGATGACCCAACAAGAGAAAAGGAGGCAGAAATGATGTTGGAGTATATAGAGAAGTTCAACGAGTTGTTTGAAGAAGGGTCGTATGAGGAAGCAGCTATCCATGCTGCAAACAGTCCAAAGGGAATTTTAAGGACTTTGGAAACCTTAAACAGATTTAAGGGTAATTTTATGAGATTTGCTTATTCAAAATTGTATAGAGTGATTTAGAAGGGTGGTATGGTTCTTTGGGACAAATATAACATTACTGTTTGCTTAAAAGTAAACTATCCACATTTGAAAAATGTTCCAAAGTCACATTTTCTATCAATATATCGGCATATTCTGCAAAGCTACTTATATTTATCTTACCCAGTTCACACCTTAAAAACAATAAAATCCATCAAACGAAAGTGCCTGGTGACAATGTATCCCTCAGAAATGTACAGGAAGACATGGCATTCCAAGCAACTGGCCAGTCAGTCCATTTATTTATTTTCCCCTATTATATTTACTCTTTTTTTGTGTGTGTGTGTGAACAAAGATGATGTTGTTTTTCTAAATCATTTATTTTCATTATTTATTTTTATATTTCAGAATGCAAGTTGACCAGTTTTATAGCCATTGACAAATATTTATGCCAATATTTTTTTTAATTATTTGAGGAAAATGCTTAAAATTTTAAATTAAATTTACCATTGTCACAATAATTTAGATTTGAAAACCAAGGTTGGAGGTCGAAGTCCGCTCCTTGCCTTTTGCGATGCTCTAATGTCATCTGTATTGGCCATGGGTGTCAGACCAAGTGAAACCATCTCACTGGAGTGTGTTAGATGTGCTTTGGAGGAAAACAGATTTGACTTGCTGTCACACTGGGTAACTCAAGAGAGGTGAGGAACATTCTCCAAAACTTTGTTAAATACATGTATATGCAGTAGTAAATATTTTTCAGGAAGTTTTTGAGCCAATTTTTTAATTATATTTATTACCAGATCTTAATGTTGTAAGGAGTCGGGGGGGGGGGGCTTTCTCACAACTTTGCTGTCACAGTGGTAGTACGTTATTATCGTTCAAGAGGTATATATTTGAACCAATTTGTAATTATATATTTACTACAAACTGAAATGGCATATTGAGGTTGGTATCTTTTCAGCATCTGTGCTATAGTTTACATAAATTCATGGATGTGTTGCACAAATGGAATAGTGCATATTATATTTTGAGTCAGTTAAAACATTTATCCACACTTGGTTATGACTGTTGACTGATTGACTGTTTTACCTTCAGGCTGACAGTAACAGAAGAACTGGGCAGCCTCATCACTGAGCAGTGTTCTGGTAAAAGTAAAAACCATTTGGCTTTGGCTGAGTCTGTGTTTACCAAAGTTGGTGCCCATCGTCCTGCAGTGGAGGTCATGCTTCAGCAGGGCAGAACACAGGCTGCTCTGGAGTATGCACAGTCGGTGGCACATTTCAAAGAGGAGGACTACTTATTCCTTCTCAAGAGAAACCCCACTGTGACGGTTGCCCAGTTATTGGCACAGCTCCGCCCTCTCAGACCTGGTACAAGTTCATCCGATAGTGAACCTGAGGAGAAAGATGAGAACCTGTCCAGGAGCAGCCTGGAGCAGTTCCAGGCTCTCTACACCAGCCCGCTCCCGCTTGGACTGATTGTATCCACTTTGAGGGATGAAGGAAGGGAAGATGTAGCACGCTTAGTTTTACAGAATATTCTCAATCAAGACACATCTACTGGTGAGTAAATACATGTTTGTATTATGATCTTTGGAAGAAATAATGCTATAACTTCACTCATTCAGACTCCACTTCACACAGAAAGGCTGAAAGGCTAGGACTATTTTGGTTTGAAATCTATCCAATGTAAAACGCTTTTCTTTCTTTTCATGTTTCTTCAGTTTTTAATATGGGCCATTTCACAAAAAAAAAAAAAAAAATGAATATTTTCATTGCAGTACTGTACACAGGATTGAAATGCTGAGATAGGCAAAAAAAGTGTTTTAATAATGGTTGAAATTTGTGAACTGAATGAATACTACTACTACTACTTTAGATTGGACTTTTGAATAAAGGCTTAATTGTTCTATTGTATATCTAGGTGAAGGTCCAGAGAACACTGCTATCAGAAAGTCCGTCTTTGCTGATGACCAGACCAGTCCGGAGCAATGGCTGGCCATCATCAATGACCTGCAGAAAGGCGGCCATGAAGAAGTGGCCCTGGAGATTCTGGCCGCGGTCACTGTGCTAGGGGCTATGAAGCGTGCTGTCTCGGTCACCTCTTCTAGTCAGGGACGCCCCAGCACCACCCACACAGAGAAACAATCCGGACAGTAATTTTGTGTGCTTTCTTTCAATTGTGAATTTTTTTGTGAGAAGTATGTGTGAAAGAAATGATGTAACATATTCCTAGTGATAACAAAAAAAAAAGAGTTTTTTGTGTATAAAACCCAAGGTAACTGTCATTTAACAAAATTTCAACTTTTAAAAAATCCTTTTTGAAATAGCAAAAATGTCAGATATGGCATTCAATAACAAGTAATAAGTGACATAAAAGATATATTGTTAAACTTGTACTACCCCTCATTGTATTATTTGATGATGCTTTTGCATTGTAATATATAATAAAATTATATAAAGGAATATTTTGGTAAGAAAAATAAATCGTCATATAAAAATTCTGCACTTTGCCTTCATCCATCATTTTTTAATGTCAATGTGGAAAAAAACAAACTAGAGAGAAAAGGACATCCAACCTCACTGGTATCAATTCAGTAGTGTTTTTTTGTTTTTTTTTAACTGAGATTACTGATTACTCACTGAAAGTAATTTATGCACTGGAAATCATACCGTTATGTAAAATAAGGTTAAAATGCTGCAAAATGTGTCACAACCTGTGAATACTGGGAATCCGTAAATATTTTCAAACAAGCAATGTCAGCATAAAATCAAAAGGGGCATTGCTTTTGAAATCTGTCTAGATTACTTGGTAAATAAAAAAAAATCAGGTCTCACCCTGTAACAAAAGAGAATAACTTTTTTAATTTATGGTTTGTTCAATTTTTATACCTTGCTCAATCGCATCCGTTCATCGACCACATCATTGAGATCTCAGGGCTCACTCCCAATGAGACTGTTGCAGATCGATCATACTATGCTGGAACTCTCGCTAAATGCAATCAATTTAACATATTAACAAGCCTCCTCATACCAGCTTTTCTGTTTTCTACTCAGTGCCAGGAGAAGACATGTCAATCTGTTCATCTTACTGCATTCAGCGAGACTCCCCACGGAGTTGGATCGATCTACCTAGAACAATAGTTTCATCGGGAATGAGCCCTTAGTGTGCTTTTATTGGTTTTTGTGGAGAAATATGAAACGGTTTTTTGCAAAACCTAACCGCCACAGCTACGTAAATTACATGTACAGGGGTAATTTATGTGAATCTTGGGGATGAGGGAGATGGAATCCTATTACGTTGAAAAATAAATGTGTTTTCTTGAGTCTCCTCCCCACAGACCACTATCTTCTGTTTCTAAAGCGTTTAGTGAATAACTAAAATTAAACGAGACAGATCCATCTAGCTCCGTTATATGAAAAGCTCTCGCAAAACCATACCGCCAATTTTGTAAAAACCACGTTTTCAGCTTGGGACACCGGAAATGTCGGCAGGTTCTTCTGTATGCATGCAACAAGACTACTGGCTTCAATATTGGCAGCGGTGGTTTTTCGTTTGTGCAATTCTTCTCAATCGATTATTTACCACAAATGACTTACATTTTCACCTCTGTTTAACGAAAACAAAATACGCATGACGTGACGGATCGAGTTTTTGCATGCTTCACAATGAGAGATGGCTGATGTTACGCATACTTCTGTTTGTTTTAATGAGATTTCTGTTTGTGAATTCCCTTTCGTTTCACCTGAGAGAGATATTGTTACCGTCTATCTATTCATCCGCTTGATTCCTTTAATTCTGACTTCCCGCACGCAGAAGATGAAAATAAGTGAGATCGTCTTTACCTTCTCAATTTTCAGGCAAATTATTAATTTTTTTTTCATTCCTATTTTTCGATCTAAAATACTTCTGTCGACTGTTAACGATTCCGAATTTTTGACTCACGAAGCTCAAATGAAAAACGAACGAATATGAGATGAAAGCGAGCAAATTAATCATGTTCTCTGCTCAAATCCTTGTCACTATTCCCGTTTAAAACTTTTCCAAAGTCACATTTTCTATGTTTTCCATATCCTGCAAAGGTACAAGTGCTTATCTGTCCCAATTCAGAGATGAAATCCCACAAATAAAAGTAGGCCTGCCAGATGTTGATATATTCTTCTGAAATATACAGGAAGGCATGGCGGAGTAAAACGCTACGGGAATCATTTAGAACTACATTATTTAATGAAAAAATGGTATGAAATATCCCGTCCAAATTTACGGACAGGTCGAGCAACAATTCGGGAGCAGGAAAAAAATTACTTCTTTTTCAAGGAAAATTCGATTAGGCTGGAAAATCCCGGACAGGATGCTTTTAAATAATGTCAGAATATACGAATACAACTCATGAAAAATATAATAAACCATTCCAGAAAGTTTTAGGAAGAGTTTGTGCGTTTTCACAAGACTGAGAGATTCGGGTTTTCAGTAACCAGGCGACACTTTGTCTTCCTAATCTAACTTAATAACTGTTCTCTGGTTGACGCAGGACTTTTCATCTGAAACAAAACTGATGTCTTTATTTTTATTATTATTATTTTTTTTTAGCCTACGGAAAAACGATTGCTTTTGAAATATGGATAAACAAGCAGTAGAGATATACTTCATTCAATGACATTATTTCATCGTGTTAAGTACACGAGGACGGCGCGTGTATCTCAGTCATGCATTGTGATAGCGCGCGTGCTGGTGGAAATTAAGCATGACAGCTACTGGGTTTCTTAATTAGCCATATGGAGTTAGGTGATGTAAAGAGTAACGAGAATGCTGCAGTGGAGAGCCCAGATTTAATCAGTCATTTATTCATTCCCTTTTATAACCAACGTTGCCACATGATCGGATTGTCTTGTTTTGTTTTGTTTTTGTTTTTGTTTTGTTTTGTTTTTCTTTTCTTTTATCCATCTACAATTATAAACATTACTTTATTAATTTCTACTTATCTGTTCATTTATTCATAAACAGAAATTTGGTCAGCATTATTATTGCCAAGAATGTCAAATTGACAACAAAAAAACGACGAATCTATCTCTAAATATGTTGTTAAATTCAGAATAAACCTTTTTTCGTCAGTCCATAGTCTCCGTTGAATGTTCATGTAGACATATCAGAGGTTTAGAAATAAATTCTTTTTTCTGATTATGAATGATTTCATGCCACCTGTCTGCCTTAGTTTGTTAATTCCATTGCTTTCATTTCTTTTCCAGATTAAATAATACATTGTGCACTTTTAATTTAGTAAGCGGTTGGATACAAGACGCGTAACTAGTGGCAAATGTTACAAGCGAGAAATTAATAAACTGAGCACGACATGATTATATCAGGGTAGTAAGTAAACAGAAGAGAATTTGGGTTACTTTTGCAAACATGAATTATATATTCAAACTCATCACATATGATGTGGCATATTGGAAATAATATGTTACTTCGACTGGGCTAGGTCTTTGCGGCTTATTTCTATTTATAATATGTCTAATGTAATGACGCATTATGGCCTGCACAATGGTATTAGATCAACAGGTTACGATCAGGTGCCAAAGAGTCGAGGGCAACAATGCTGCATATTTCACGTCTTGGAGTCACTTCTGTACCTCTTTTCATCAAACATAAACACAGAGCCTGAAATTCCCGACCTTTCACTATTTTCTACGGTCTAAAAATATTGTATGCGTCTTATTACCTGCGGCAAGAATAGCGTATGAAACTACAACGCACCAATCTATTGAAAATTGCAAACAGAAGGTCAGGCAGGAGAAAAGGGTGCTGGTCTAGCTTTTTTACCTTGTTACAAAAATGGACTATTATAGTGATTTGGAACGGAAAAGTAAATACATTGATATTTATGAGAAAGTTATTTATTTGGGGTTCTAGTGAATGCGTTATTATTGTTGGAGTACAATGTCACTCGCGTCTTTACAATGCGGCTGCTCTCTGTATAAACTTTCACACAGTCACACGTAAAGGTGAGTTAAAATTAAGACTTGTTTACTTTTGATTAATTCCCCATTTCATACTCGATCGTCTCTAAATTATTGTGGTATAAATATTTTGTCAGTTACTTTAGCAGAGCTCTCGATCTGTGCCGTTTTTATTGGATGAAAGGAGACGGAAAGCCGACTTGACTTATTATTTGCCCCCGTGCAGTAGCCAATCGCATCGCTTTTAATCGCTATTGTCATCGATTGATATTAAAGCAGTGCATACAGAGAGGAGTGGAGCGGCTGAAAACACACAGAGGCACAAGGTGAGAGGAGTCCAAACAACCTGGTCTACTGGGGGAAAGAAGCATGGCAGCAACGGACCACACGGCGGCCAATTGCGGCCCCAGTCTCTCCCGCACGGCCTCGCCCTCGGGAAGCATGTCTCCACACTCCGATCACACACCGCCACAGCCTTTGAATGACAGTACAGCGCAAAAATCTGAGCCCAATACATCGGAATTAATGAACAGTAAAAATATGACTTTCTCGCCAGAACAGGTGGCATGTGTGTGTGAGGCGCTGCAACAAAGTGGGAACATAGACCGTCTGGCCAGATTTCTATGGTCTTTGCCGCCCAGTGAGTTACTCCGGGGGAGCGAGGCGGTCCTAAAAGCCAGGGCCATCGTTGCTTTTCACAGGGGGAACTTCCGAGAGTTGTACGCTATTCTAGAGAGCCATAACTTTGACACTGTCAACCACTCCATGTTACAACAACTTTGGTACAAAGCACATTATATGGAGGCCCAAAAAATCCGCGGACGACCTTTAGGGGCCGTAGATAAATACCGATTACGGAGAAAATACCCCCTCCCTAAAACCATATGGGACGGGGAAGAAACAGTATATTGCTTTAAAGAGAAGTCCCGTCAAGCGTTGAAGGAGTGCTATAAACAGAACCGCTATCCCACCCCTGACGAAAAGCGCAACTTAGCCAAAAAGACTGGTCTCACATTAACCCAAGTTAGTAACTGGTTTAAAAACAGGCGGCAGAGAGACAGAACACCCCAACAACATCACCAACAACAGCAACAACAGCATCAACAACAGCAGCCACAGCATCTGAGAGGGTAAGTAGCTCAGTGTCTCTAATTTAGGTAACCCTACATAACCCTGTGCAGTGTTAACTGTGACAGCAAAATTGACACCTTAAAAAAGTAAATTGATGATTTATGATATTGACGTAAATTACTTTGTATATAAAAAAACTCTCCTTAACTTTCTGCCAAAATATGTCTCGTGCTTCACATATTCGCTCTGATGATTTACAATCACTCCTTTCTTAATTTTTCTCAAACACGGAACTTAGGTGTATTGAGAAATCAGCAGTCGTGCTGTTTGGTTTCATACTTTTGTTGGAATCCGTGAACTTTCCTTTGAACTGTTGCTAAGTAGAGACAAATTATTTTACATGAGTTCTCATCCGTTAAGCTGTAATTTATGTTGCAGTATTGAAACGCATACATTCGCGCCTGAGTCACAACCGGTGCTAAGGGGGCTGATTTTATAAAACCACCCAAACTGAAAGCCTCAACTCACAAGCACAAATAACCTCCATGTCCCGGGCGGACTCCCATTTAATTCGTCTGAAATCTCTTTTATCTGTTCAGTGTTGGGCTCTACAGGTCGCATAGAAAAGTTTGTGACCAAGAATAAAGTTGTCACTACTCAAATCCTAATCAGTGCGTGTCCTACTGTGTAAAGAGTGGACCAAAAAGATGGAACAGAATATATATCAGTACCGAAGGAGCACATGAATTAGATTATTCCTATGAATCATCTGCCAGGATGATTATTTTGTACGTAGTGTTTGGTTATTATATATTACATAAATTGCTTTATAAAAAAAGGCTTTCTGGATATGATTGCCAGAGAAAGCAAAATAAATAAAATCAGCAACTCGATGATCACGCAAACTTTCGTTGCGGATTAGATTTATGAATTATCACACAGAAGCTATTGTGTTCTAAAAAGGATTGGATGAGCTTAAATGTCTACAGAACTCCAGTTCCTCAAAGTACGGAAACTTCAATTCTTATAAAAAGAGAAAGGTATAATCTCTCCCCAAAAATGAAGTGAAACAGAATAAAATGAAACAATGTAAGATAATTTTCTAAGAAAATAAAATGAAATGACACTTTGGACTTACAAGAAAAATATTCCGTTTCTGTTATAGATNTAGAACTTCAGTTTCTCAAAGTACGGAAACTTCCAATTCTTTTAAAAAGAGAAAGATATAATCTCTCCCCAAAATTAAGGTGAAACAGAATTAAATTAAATGAAACAATGTAAGATAATTTTCTCAGAAAATAAAATGAAATGACACTTTGGACTTACAAGTAAAATATTCCGTTTCTGTTATAGATCCGTGAAGACGTTTTGTTAACGCACTTCACCTGAAAAGCATCTTGTCAAGTAGAAGGCTCGTGGGGTTTTTCCTTTGTTGAAACAAACAATCGGCTTTTTAGGATAATTCCATATAGTACAGCTTAGCGTAGAAGGTGTGGGTATAAAAAGAACTTTCTCCATAGGCTCTTAACTTCAAATAAGAAATGCGTGTCTTAAAGAGGGGAGACCACCTAGAACGCGCTGTCACGAAGGAAAGAACCACGTCGTTGAAGGCCTGAATTGTCCTGCTTTGACAGACTGTGCAATTGTACAAACTTAAGTTCATAAAAATAAAACTCTTTAAACGGTTCGCCTATTTGTCATGGAAGTGCTTATTCAAGAAATGCACTGGGAAGACGTAGCCTTCTTACCAGAATTTTTCTTTCTACGTCGTGGTTTGGCAGTGTATATATAAAGGAACTTGTGTCTTCCTCCACATTAATACGTGAGACAACCTGCTTCCGTACTGATAAGGTACATAACGATATCACAAGAGTTGCAGTCTGGGATATTGCATCTTGATTTATATTCAAATAAATTGTTTTTATGCAATTTTTATATTCATATATGGTTTTAACAGAGCTTTCTCAAAAGCGTTTTTTAATTTTTATTTTATTCCCAAATAATTAGTATCATGATTTGCTTCAATCCATAAACATTCTCGTTTCCTACGCTTTCAAAAATTCTTTAAAATATGAAAATGAATAATAATAAATACCTCTTCAGAACAGTTCAATTCTTAGTCAAATGATAAATTTCATGTTGCAAGAACGCGATGGAAATTGATTAGAACTGCTTTTTTTCTTCAGTTAGCTCACGTAAAATGATTTACCTACAAGTTTTGAAAATTATGTCGGCAAGAAAATTGTTGACTGGGTAAGCAATCAATTTAGGCGTGGCTGTTAGGTGATGGGAGAAAAATGTTTTTCTCTTTGTTAACGACCTTATAACATCTCTATTCAGTTCACAGTTTAAAGAGACTACTATTTGCCTCAAGGGAGTGGTCTGGGCTGACTTCTAAAGGGAATTTTACCTCGTTACTTATCAAACTACATTCTAGCTTTTCTAGGGGCCTGCGTGATCGCCAAGGGGATTTTTCTCTACATCAATATACTTGCCATATCTAACATATATGTCAAATCTCGATAAACTGTTCTTTAATTAATAATTACGTTTGCAACATGCGACAAAGTGGATTTTAGCTTGAAATAAATCTAAGGTCACTAACTATCCCAGAACTTATTTTGATTCACAAGAAGAACGGCTGCAATCTGTTTCCTCTAACAGGATTTGACAAGGGAACTATTTAAGTACGTGCGAATGTAATCTTTAATAGTGACTGTTTTTTTTCCTTTTCATAAAACAAAGTCTATATTTCGTTGCAGAAACGGATTTTGATGATACTTTTTTATCAATTTCAACTTCACATTTCTCGTTCTCTCAAAAACACTGTATACCTGCACATTTCCTCAATATCAACTTCACTTTTCCCGTCTACTCAAAAACGCTGTATAATAAGAAATAATTAATAATTTATATATGCTGGCCTGACCGGAATGGTTTACAATTTGTTTTCGCTATTTAAAACTTCCGTGCGTGAGCTCGTATCCCGATGTAGCTTCAAAATTTATTCCGTGTAAATGTGTAAGATATGACAAATGAACGCCTTCTAAACCCAATCAATTACACCAATTGCTTCATTTTGGCATTATGAATTCGTTTATTTCCCTTTTTTCACACAAGTGGTTTATTTATATTGTATAAGACATATATCAATTAAATGTATAATATAAACTAAAGGCTAACCCTCTGAAAACTGCACCAGGCGATATATACGCCGGTGTTCTATTGATTTTGATACGGGGTATTTATTCTATGGCTTTGAGTTGAAACCATGTATTTTTCATACTTCTCTGAATTTGGGTAAATATAATTTGCTTTTTACATAAATTTCCTTTCTCTCAGGGAAGTAGAATCATAAATATTGCTTCAATACGTACAATGGGGACTTATTCCAATCGATTTCTATAAGACAACTGGAATTGTCAAGCTTCGTTAATTTTTTATATAGTTTACGTTTTGTATGACAAATTAACAGAAATTCAGGTCTTGCAGACATTTTTAGTTACTGTTTTTTATCTTTGGCTTTGTCGTGTATTATAATATCGTGATGAATTAAATCATTCATTTTTTAATCAACTCAATACAATCTTGGGAATGGTCGCTTCAGATGCACTAGATCACCAACTGGGAAGAATGTTAAAAAGTAGTGTAACTTCCTTAAATTTGGAATCTTCGGATAATTTTCTAGTTCTCACACAAGCGCGTCGTTTGTCAATGATAGAGAATGTTTCATGTCAACTCAATTAAAACAAGGATAGTGAAACCGTTGGGTAGCGTGATCATTTGTCCGATGGCGGCTGATATCTACATATTATCCTTAAGTGCACTAAAGTCATGATTTAACCCGCCGAAATTACGTCCTTCACACGCGGCAGGCTAAAAGTCGCACTTAACCGCGCGACCTCTACGGCCTGGGTTACGCAAAGTCCCTACCGCAACAAATGTTATGTCACTCAAAACAAATGGGTATTTAGTTTCAAAATATTAACTATAATGCCGAAAGCGAGGATAATGTTTTCAAAGATTTGCCATTGAAGTTCAATACGTATTGCAGACTTTTGGTGATGGCTTAGTCGAATAACATGGTGTGAACCTTCCAGTGACACATTTTTGTTATTAGAAATATATATTTAACGAAACTCCGAAAAAGAGGAATGTATGATAGAAGACAAACAAAAGACCGTATTAAAAAAACAAGCTATTCATATATATACATATAGAACTAAGCATGTCTGTGTCAATTTAATAACATCTAGATAAGCGGCAGAGCTTCATCCTATTGAATGTACATTATTCCGTGTAGTTTATCTTTTTTAGATAATTCTAGGAAACTTAATACTTACTGTCATATATTTATCAGTGAAGATACGGATTCAAAGTCACATCATTCTATAATAACATATTTGATTGTAACTGTTAAGCTCACCTAACACGCAGATGGCCACATTCAAAACAGTTGACAAATGTTTTACTAGATAACTCCCCACGCGCAAAAATAATAATGATAATAATAAAATCTGAATGTGTTTTAGTGCAATACTGTAAAGAGCGATTTCAAAGTTGCCTTTTTTCCCCCAAAATATGCGCAGCATTTTACTTTATTGGACGCTGTAATTCTTTATACAGATATACATGAAACTAAGTTAAGTAAACTATAATTACCTATAACAAATTGATTCTAAATTTGTTTTTCAGTGGTTCTTAAAATGACGTTGGGGTTCAGATACAAACATTGTCAATATCAGACATGTTTATTGTTTTTGAAAAGATAACATAAGAAAAACTCATCTCAAGGACCAAAATATTTCCTTTAATTATGGGTATTGCGCTTTCTTAATTCTATTCCTGGTGGGGAAAAGAACCTTTTAATGCCATTTCCAGTGGAGAATTAGGCCGTATTTATGATGGCAAATCCCAAATACGATATTAATCCCAGCTGGCAGATATTAAATTTTATAATCTCATGTGTTCTAAACATTTTTGTCTTTATAAATGACCAAAGCATGATCCGTCATTGGTATCATTGACTAAAACATTTCTTGTTGTTTATTAAGTAATTAATTTATTTGCAATCCATATTATGTATCAAGGTCATTAAGTAATACTATGATGCATGTTCAAAATAAATTATTCTAAATTTTCAGTTGAGAAATACGATGTAATACTTGAATAATTATATAAGACTTTTGCAGTTCATTTAGTCAAGACTTCAGTTGCGTCGGGAAATTTTTAGATGAAGATTCGTAACTTATGTCTATCTTTATGACAGTTTTGGCGTGGGATCTCATCTTTATACATTCATATTCCATAACTCCTTTCTTATATATCACCAGAAATATGAAATCAATAGAAACAAAAATGTTCAAAGTTCGCACGTCTATTACAGAGATATGGGCCTCGGTGAAGAAAACATGAACCTGCATCACCCAGTTACCCACGCCAATGGTCATCCTGNCAGAACTCCAGTTCCTCAAAGTACGGAAACTTCAATTCTTATAAAAAGAGAAAGGTATAATCTCTCCCCAAAAATGAAGTGAAACAGAATAAAATGAAACAATGTAAGATAATTTTCTAAGAAAATAAAATGAAATGACACTTTGGACTTACAAGAAAAATATTCCGTTTCTGTTATAGATCCGTGAAGACGTTTTGTTAACGCACTTCACCTGAAAAGCATCTTGTCAAGTAGAAGGCTCGTGGGGTTTTTCCTTTGTTGAAACAAACAATCGGCTTTTTAGGATAATTCCATATAGTACAGCTTAGCGTAGAAGGTGTGGGTATAAAAAGAACTTTCTCCATAGGCTCTTAACTTCAAATAAGAAATGCGTGTCTTAAAGAGGGGAGACCACCTAGAACGCGCTGTCACGAAGGAAAGAACCATGTCGTTGAAGGCATGAATTGTCCTGCTTTGACAGACTGTGCAATTGTACAAACTTAAGTTCATAAAAATAAAACTCTTTAAACGGTTCGCCTATTTGTCATGGAAGTGCTTATTCAAGAAATGCACTGGGAAGACGTAGCCTTCTTACCAGAATTTTTCTTTCTACGTCGTGGTTTGGCAGTGTATATATAAAGGAACTTGTGTCTTCCTCCACATTAATACGTGAGACCACCTGCTTCCGTACTGATAAGGTACATAACGATATCACAAGAGTTGCAGTCTGGGATATTGCATCTTGATTTATATTCAAATAAATTGTTTTTATGCAATTTTTATATTCATATATGGTTTTAACAGAGCTTGTCTCAAAAGCGTTTTTTAATTTTTATTTCATTCCCAAATAATTAGTATCATGATTTGCTTCAATCCATAAACATTCTCGTTTCCTACGCTTTCAAAAATTCTTTAAAATATGAAAATGAATAATAATAAATACCTCTTCAGAACAGTTCAATTCTTAGTCAAATGATAAATTTCATGTTGCAAGAACGCGATGGAAATTGATTAGAACTGCTTTTTTTCTTCAGTTAGCTCACGTAAAATGATTTACCTACAAGTTTTGAAAATTATGTCGGCAAGAAAATTGTTGACTGGGTAAGCAATCAATTTAGGCGTGGCTGTTAGGTGATGGGAGAAAAATGTTTTTCTCTTTGTTAACGACCTTATAACATCTCTATTCAGTTCACAGTTTAAAGAGACTACTATTTGCCTCAAGGGAGTGGTCTGGGCTGACTTCTAAAGGGAATTTTACCTCGTTAAGCCCCCTTTACACTGGATGGCGTCCTTTCTGCGTCCAGCAGTACGGCCCCATTTGAGAGTTAAAAAATTATAATACTTTACGTGCCGACAACTGGCCGATCATTGAGCATTCATTCTGATACAAAATCAATGCTCGTGCCTCCTTATTCAGACCACAGCAATGCCAAATTTCATGGTCGCAGAAAGGACGCAGAAAGGACGCCGTCCAGTGTCAAGGGGGTATTACTTATCAAACTACATTCTAGCTTTTCTAGGGGCCTGCGTGATCGCCAAGGGGATTTTTCTCTACATCAATATACTTGCCATATCTAACATATATGGCAAATCTCGATAAACTGTTCTTTAATTAATAATTACGTTTGCAACATGCGACAAAGTGGATTTTAGCTTGAAATAAATCTAAGGTCACTAACTATCCCAGAACTTATTTTGATTCACAAGAAGAACGGCTGCAATCTGTTTCCTCTAACAGGATTTGACAAGGGAACTATATAAGTACAATGTGATCTTTAATAGTGACTGTTTTCTTTCCTTTTCATAAAAACAAAGTCTATATTTCGTTGCAGAAACGGATTTTGATGAACTTTTTTTTTATCAATTTCAACTTCACATTTCTCCTTCTCTCAAAAACACTGTATACCTGCACATTTCCTCAATATCAACTTCACTTTTCCCGTCTACTCAAAAACCCTGTATAATAAGAAATAATTAATAATTAATAAATATGCTGTCCTGACCGGAATGGATTACAATTTGTTTTCGCTATTTAAAACTTCCGTGCGTGAGCTCGTATCCCGATGTAGCTTCAAAATTTATTCCGTGTAAATGTGTAAGATATGACAAATGAACGTCTTCTAAACCCAATCAATTACACCAATTGCTTCATTTTGGCATTATGAATTCGTTTATTTCCCTTTTTCACACAAATGGTTTATTTATATTGTATAAGACATATATCAATTAAATGTATAATATAAACTAAAGGCTAACCCTCTGAAAACTGCATCAGGCGATATATACGCCGGTGTTCTATTGATTTTGATACGGGGTATTTATTCTATGGCTTTGAGTTGAAACCATGTATTTTTCATACTTCTCTGAATTTGGGTAAATATAATTTGCTTTTTACATAAATTTCCTTTCTCTAAGGGAAGTAGAATCATAAATATTGCTTCAATACGTACAATGGGGACTTATTCCAATCGATTTCTATAAGACAACTGGAATTGTCAAGCTTCGTTAATTTTTTATATAGTTTACGTTTTGTATGACAAATTAACAGAAATTCAGGTCTTGCAGACATTTTTAGTTACTATTTTTTATCTTTGGCTTTGTTGTGTATTATAATATCGTGATGAATTAAATTATTCATTTTTTAATCAACTTAATACAATCTTGGGAATGGTCGCTTCAGATGCATTAGATCACCAACTGGGAAGAATGTTAAAAAGTAGTGTAACTTCCTTAAATTTGGAATCTTCGGATAATTTTCTAGTTCTCACACAAGCGCGTCGTTTGTCAATGATAGAGAATGTTTCATGTCAACTCAATTAAAACAAGGATAGTGAAACCGTTGGGTAGCGTGATCATTTGCCCGATGGCGGCTGATATCTACATATTAGCCTTAAGTGCACTAAAGTCATGATTTAACCCGCCGAAATTACGTCCTTCACACGCGGCAGGCTAAAAGTCGCACTTAACCGCGCGACCTCTACGGCCTGGGTTACGCAAAGTCCCAACCGCAACAAATGTTATGTCACTCAAAACAAATGGGTATTTAGTTTCAAAATATTAACTATAATGCCGAAAGCGAGGATAATGTTTTCAAAGATTTGCCATTGAAGTTCAATACGTATTGCAGACTTTTGGTGATGGCTTAGTCGAATAACATGATGTGAACCTTCCAGCGACACATTTTTGTTATTAGAAATATATATTTAACGAAACTCCGAAAAAGAGGAATGTATGATGGAAGACAAACAAAAGACCGTATTAAAAAAATAAGCTATTCATATATATATACATATAGAACTAAGCATGTCTGTGTCAATTTTATAACATCTAGATAAGCGGCAGAGCTTCATCCTATTGAATGTACATTATTCCGTGTAGTTTATCTTTTTTAGATAATTCTAGGAAACTTAATACTTACTGTCATATATTTATAAGTGAAGATACGGATTCAAAGTCACATCATTCTATAATAACATATTTGATTGTAACTGTTAAGCTCACCTAACACGCAGATAGCCACATTCAAAACAGTTGACAACTGTTTTACTAGATAACTCCCCACGCGCAAAAACAATAATGATAATGATAAAATCTGAATGTGTTTTAGTGCAATACTGTAAAGAGGCATTTCAAAGTTGCCTTTTTTCCCAAAAACATGCGCAGCATTTTACTTTATTGGACGCTGTAATTCTTTATACAGATACACATGAAACTAAGTTAAATAAACTATAATTACTTATAGTAAATTGATTCTAAATTTGTTTTTCAGTGGTTCTTAAAATGACGTTGGGGTTCAGATACAAACATTGTCAATATCAGAAATGTTTATTGTTTTTGAAAAGATAACATAAGAAAAACTCATCTCAAGGACCAAAATATTTCCTTTAATTATGGGTATTGCGCTTTCTTAATTCTATTCCTGGTGGGGAAAAGAACCTTTTTAATGCCATTTCCAGTGGAGAACTAGGCCGTATTTATGATGGCAAATCCCAAATACGATATTAATCCCAGCTGGCAGATATTAAATTTTATAATCTCATGTTTTCTAAACATTTTTGTCTTTATAAATGACCAAAGCATGATCTGTCATTGGTTTCATTGACTAAAACATTTATCGTTATTTATTTGCAATCCATATAATGTATTGTCATTAGTAATACTATGATGCATGTTCAAAATAAATTATTCTAAATTTTCAGTTGAGAAATACGATGTAATACTTGAATAATTATATAAGATTTTTTGCTGTTCATTTAGTCAAGACTTCAGTTGCGTCGGGAAATTTTTAGATGAAGATTCGTAACTTAGGCCTATGTCTATCTTTATGACAGTTTTGGCGTGGGATCTCATCTTTATACATTCATATGGCACAACCCCTTTCTTTCTATCACCAAAAATATGAAAACAATAAAAACAAAAATGTTCAAAGTTCGCACGTCTATTACAGAGATATGGGCCTCGGTGAAGAAAACATGAACCTGCATCACCCAGTTACCCACGCCAATGGTCATCCAGGTCCGGGACACCATCACCACCATCACCATCACCATCACCACCACGGCCAGCCGGACATAGGGCGAGAGCTGAATTTGTCTACGAAAATGTTAGAGGACGCTCGGGCGAGCGCCCTGGGTGCCATGCCCCTGATAAAAAACGACCACGGCATTCCACCGCACTACATGTGCGGAGGGTTAGGCCACTCAGTTTCCTCGGTGTAACCCGCTCTGTGTGAAAACCTTGATTAAGAGATTTCTTATTACACGACTTTTTTTTTCCTTCGTTGTTGAATTTCATTGTAGCCTTTTTGTTCGATTATTTCGCGTAACAAGCGGCATATTTTTTAACGTTTTGTAAATTGGTCTGAGATATTTTAAATGTGTCAGAAATATTCTGCGTCCTTGGTATTTTTTTAAGAACTTATTTTAAAGAATAATTTAATTCAGTGTTACCATGACGATGAAAGTGTTTACACTATAAATGTCTTAAGTGTGTAAATAATTAGTTCTGGGATAACATTTATCCTGAAAATTCTATTTATATAATACGTGTGTTAGCTTAGAGATAGAGAAAGAGAGTTTAGTGGAAAGGGGGGGTCAGCGGGACAATACGTCTTATAAAAACCATACCAAACGTTGTCCGTTCAGAAACAATTATGGAGCGAAGATGAAACATAATAACCAAACAAGTTTTATGCTTATACCTTTTTTCATTTTTATTCATCTATCCATTTATTAAACCTTTTTTCGTATTACTCGTTCGGTTTTCGTGGACAGTGATATATATAAAAAAACCCACAGAGTAAATGCTGAATATACGCGCTTGTAGGTTTCATATTCGCCCTAATATAGCGCAGATATGTATAAATTTACTGATACTTGCAGGTTTCCATATCAGGTGCTGCAATGCTTGGTGCTATAATTCAAGAAGGAACGTAGATAGAAAAATTGTATAAATTGGATGCCATAGCACTCTAATTACATTATCTTCCTAATCATAGCAACTACTGCAATTCAAATAAATTTTTGAGAAAACCCAAGTGTTTGTTTCTTTAATTAAAAAGGAATATGGACATTCTGAAAACGCCTTAAAAAGTCCGAAATCGAAACATTTTAAATAAAATGCCATGGTTGACTTCAATTCTGTCATCAAAGCTATCAAAAGAAAATGGCGTTTCTATGATCATTATTGATTTCACAGGTGACATATGTAAAGTGTTATCAGATTGAGAACAACCCAAAGCAATAGGTAGATTCACACTAAACTATTCTAAACTAATATGACAATAAGTGGTACATACATATGTGAAAGAAGCATTATAATAAATTGAACTACAGTCAGATAAAGACTAATTATTGAAAAAATGGCAAAATAAAGAAAGTTAAATGACCCTGATGACATTAATATTATTTTTTTCAATACGTGACATCATATATTTGGTAAATTCATTAATATTATATACTTCCATTAAGATAAAATGACATTGAGATGTACACAAAAGACCTTATGCATTTAAAAACCACTGTACAGTTGTAATTTATATGGTATATTTCAGACGACTTTATTTGCCCGCTATTATTGTTACTGACTATGTTACGAGATACAAATGAGGCATACTTTTTGTTGTGACAGTACTGACCTCTTCTCAAAACATTGTACTATGTACTTGGTCACTATATTTATAACATCCCCATAGGAGGTAGATTTTTCTGTTTAACCACAAAGGTTGATGTGTATTATTTATGTATAATAACTAATTATACGAGCGATTTACGATCACAAAGAAAAGCATTTAAGACCACTTCCAGAAGCAGCAAGATTTCGAGGGTATTTTTAAGTGTTATACACGTCTTCTGTTTAGTAAACATTGTTAATATTGTTGTAATAGTCCAACTAATTTCTTTTACATTGAAAATTTTCTTCTGATCTCCATACTAAATAAAACCCTATTGCTTCGACATAATACAGATAATTATTCAAATGAAGATCAATATATATATATATAACATTAACGCTTCTATATCTACTTACTGGTGGTCTTTATCCAAATTTGAAAAACGCAAATGTCAAAGTACATCCTAAATTGTTTACATTCATTTGATAATCGTTAATGGAAAATGGAAAAACAGAAAATGAAACGATTTTGAATGGCAACGACCCGTCTCTTTTCTAGATCATGTTCGGTTATACAAAGTCTAATCATGGATTCTTTGTTAGTCTTTGGTAAAGTATTTCGTTTCTGGAAAAACACAACAATAGATATGCTGCTCCTCAGTGTAATGTTTAGGTAACAATAATCTAACCTAATGAATGGCTTACCCGGCGGATTAGCTCGTGCTGGCGATATTTCGTTACATTTCCATTCATCGCAACAGTTTCAAAAAGTCACTTTAAGGACGCCGTGAATGTTTTCAGAAACCTCAGGAGTATTAAAGCGATACGTAGCTAATCAAAAATATAGCAGTTTGTTAGTTACGGCAAGGGAAAGTCACGCCATTTTCTTACCAATTTTCCCGCAAGAGTATTACTTTAATAATAGTCAATCAGACTTTCAAGTGTTGTTCACTGCCTCGTACACCTGACCCCCCCTTGCTGTTGATGATAAAGCGACAACAAACGACATGGCTTTGCGTGTCAAGAATCAACCTCCCGGGTCCTATTTCATTATGATTAAAGCCGGTTAATAAGTAGTCAAATAATTTAATCATGCAGAAAACAAAGTTACTAACACATATTGTGTGAAGTCGAAACATGAGCAGCAGTCGCATCGTATTGCAAAGAAATCAATTAAAGCTAAACCTGACAGATTGAAAATGAAGCCACCAACAGTTCGGCAGGTTTTCATGTTTTTTTTTCTGGAAGAATTGACCATGCTTTCGCGTTTATTTTGCCATTTATGATGAAGAAATATTAATGTAGGTGAGCATCATAGTTTACTCAAGGTATGAAAAGTCATCATAAGGGTGGGACTTTGGCGCAACTCTTCCCGTTTTCACTCATTCTGACTGCCGATTTCTTTGTTTTCTGTTCGCATTCTTACGTTTAAAACCCCAATAAAACTGGATCCCCTCATCTTTAAAACTAATCTTTTGTTTACCATGTTAATATTCTGATAAAAATATACTATTCAATAATTTCAATGAAATTTATTTTTTCCTTTACTTGTCTGCGATCAGCAACTAGAAAACCTCACAATTTGCTGATGATTATTATACGTTAAAGAAACCGATCTTCCCGCATAGAAATATGGACGCTATGTGCTGGAGGTTAATTGGCAGGCGATAAAAATCCGCTTTTTTGTACCTTTAATCTCATCTTCCGTCTGTGTCTTCTGACTTTCCCGTCGGGTTCAACTTTGTTCACACTCGATGTGTCAAATCTATGAACACGATGGCTCGAAAAGTACCCGCGAGCGATACATGATCAAATTGAATTGACAGGAGCGATTTGTCGCTAAAGATTCAGTGACATTTGATACGCTGTATATAATGCAACACCTTCGACCTGCTCGTCTTATTCTATTTCGACTTATCTGTGCTAACAGAGAGCGAATACCTGTTCTTTCGTGTTTACACATTTTATCAAAATATTTCTTTTTGCGCGGACAAATTTTTCCATTAAAAGAATCAATGGGGATTCAATGGCAATATCTACGTGGCCATTGTTGAGGGTCGAGTGTTCGCAACTTATTTCCTCCCCCAACAAAAGGTAGATACACAAACGTATTGAATTTTCTGTTTGATCATTAAGAGTGGTGCTCACAAAAGCTATGAAGGCTTCACATGTTAGAGCCGCTTTGGTTTACACTTACACCCAAAGGCTATAAAATTTAATACCATGCTTAATTCCAAGTCTCTTCTTTATTGAAATTTGATACGTGGCAAAAAAATCTCAAAGCAAACTTTGTACCACACAGGGACATTGAGAATTGAAAACAAATTTCTTCCATTAAAACCTGGAAGGTGGTGAAGTGAAACATCGCCGTCTAATACTGCAGAAAGCAGGCATTCTCTTAACATATATTCAGTAAAATATTATAGCAAACGATAGAAATTAATTATTCAGTTTGCTTTATAAAGTTCTAAAGAGAAGAGGCGCCTCGCTAGTTTTTTTCATCGTTACATCATGAATATGACTCAGATACATAATTTACATGTATTATTACAAAATCATTGAACGCGGAATGGAAGCCAACCGATTGAGTGGTTCGGTAAAAAGCGATGTTTGTAAAAGCTGCAAACAATACAGCAAATATTATGAGAGATAGACAAAATAACCCCGGATGACTAATATATATTTATATTAACATGAAATTCCGTTTTAACAAAAACATAGAAAAAAGGGAAACACACTTTCCACGTATCTTAGCTGTCAGTTACATCCTTGCAATGAGCGCGTAAGGGATAGGATGAAGTGCTTTTGTGGGACCAAACAGAAGCGATGAAACGTCCCGACTAGACAAACCGAAGAAGAAACGTACGAGCGGCCTGCAGTCAAACGGAGGGGGGGGGGGGGGGCGGGGGGGGGG